GCCATGCAACAAGACTGTCAAGAATCTTTCCTCGTGTCTTCCTCTATCCCTCCTTCCACATATCTTTCCAGTGGTCACCACATGTTCCATTTTCCCTCATCTTATAACATGGCCGAAAAATGATGACTGTCTCCTTCTGATGTCTGTGAGTAGTTGTCTCCAGGCTCCCACCTCTATCAAAACCTCTTGGTTGCTTTTTTTTTTTTTTTATGCTGTCCAAGGTATTTTAAGCTTTGTTCTGTAAAACCACATCTCCGAGGCCTCAAGAAATTGTTTGGCCTGCCTACCGATTGTCCAGGGCCTACAGCCATATGTTAAAACTGGATGTATGTAGCAAACAAGAATTCTTTTTCTAACCTTGAATGACAAAGATATATTGCATATGATGTTTTTCATTTTATAAAATGCAGTTTTTGCCAGTCTTATTTTGTTTCTTATTTCAGTAATGAACCTTCCATCTGATATTATCCATGTGCCCAGATACTTAAATTTCTGTATTTGTCCCAAAACGAAACCACTGACTTTTATTACACATTTAGGAATAATTATTTTCTTTGATACCACCATTACTTCTGTCTTTCCACTATTCAAACTGAGGCCCATTGTTCCACTTTCGTGTATAAAATAGATCTAAAAAAAACACATCTATAATGTCAAATTTACGCTGAAATTGTAAAAATGTAGTACAAAATAGTAAACATTTAAAAACATTTAATGCTTTGCATCCTTCAGTCAGTCAGTCTGTGGTAACTAATACCTAGGAATGAAAGTATTCTTAGTTTTATAACAAGTCACTAAACTTGTAAATTGTCACTGACAGCTTAATTAATCCATGAAAGCAGCATTAGCTTTCAAAAAAAAAATAAAAAACCTTTGTTCCATGTTGTCAGCTTTAGGGCAGCTTCTTGTCTCACTAAAGGTATTTCCAGTGGTACTAAACAGACGTTCACTTGGTACGCTCATAGGTGGTGCACAAAGATAGCGCTTGACAGTATGAACCAAGGTGGGAAATCTTCATGTGTTTATTTGCCACCAGTCCATAAAAGGGTGTAAGATAACCACTATTCGTATTTGGCCTGACCGCAACTATTCGGCCGAATACCGAATAGTTATTAGGTCCACTATTCGGCCCCGAAGCGAATACGAAGCGAATATTTGGTACTGCCCTAGTTAATATGCAAATAAATATATCACACATATACAAAGCATATGTCCTAAGAAAATACACTAGAAAGAAGAAATTACCCACAACAGAAATTATGCAAACGATGGACAAGAGAATGAGGTAAAAAAACAAACATTAACAACAAGATAGGCTTAATAAAGACCTAATATAAAAAATCTGAATTAAAAAAAGTTAAGGCCCCTTTTTATGCCTGAGGCGCATCAGGTACTTTGTGTTAGACTCATATTTTTAATGACCCAGTTGGGTGATGTGATCAATATCACACGACCACTTTTACTTTCTTGGAACTTGGAACCCACATGGTACCCAGGTTAGGCTGGGTCGTCCTGGTTGCCAATGTAATTTTGAGTTGCTGATGAAAAATGACTAAATCTACCATGGATAGCATCCATTTCTCATTTTGGAAATATTATGTAGTGTCATAAAATCATTTTAATACTGTCATTACTTGAAGTCCAAGTGAATGGTTGTATATTGCTTGCTTGTTGTACCACAACAGGACATCACACAAAGCGATTAACAACAAGTAACACAAAGTGCCACCATGCGGATGAGGATCACCTGTGGAGAGGTCCCATAAACCCCTTTCAGCCGTTATGGCCACAATTGTGACCCAGCTATATTCAGGGTACCCGGCAAAAGCCAGGGTGGGGCTTCAAATAACGAAAAATTGCATCCCACAAGGGGATGGCTTGGGTACACAAAAACGTAAGGGGTATATTTAGACGTTTTGATGCATTATGCCAGAGATTTAGCTGGCAAACACAATACAAATAATTCATTTTAAGACTGTTTTAGTGGGCTAAAAAAAAGACAAACTGGCAAACAAGCAAAAATGAATAATTTATTATATACTCATTTCAGCTGGAAAAATATCAATTTATGATACATTTGGTGATGATGCCTTGATAACAAAGTGTCAAAAGGAACTAGATAAAACGAACCTTACTTAGAATGAACCTTATCACAGATAATTAAAAGAAAAAAGGTGACATGACCGAATGATAAAAAAGAAAACCTGGACAATATTGTAATAACTGTTAGGATTCAGTGGTAGATGCCAACAAAAGAAAGATGAGAGGACATTTTATAAACAGTTCCAATAATGTTATAAAGAATTATAACAATTCATTCATTTTTCTCTTTTTTTTTTCTTAATTTGGGGTTTGCCCTCAAAAGGGTGGTAGGCGCATGCTGTTATGGTTTACAGCATACTTTAATTAGCCACTTTTTACTAAATACCTTTGGGGTTTAGGGGGGGGGGGGGGTATGGGGGCCACAGTGGATCTATTCTTTCCACTCTCCCCCCCCCCCCCACCCAAAAGGGCCTAGGAAACTCACACAGGGAATTCATAAATTGACATAAAGAACTAAGGTGCAAGGGCTGTGGAGATTCTGAATCAAATGGCAGCTCATTTTGATGATGATGATGATGAATATTAGTCATTATACATGCAAGCTGGGAATGTTGACACAGTTTCTGACAGCCTGCTATGGAAATCTTGACCTGGAGGTGATGGAAAGAAATCATCACCTCTTGTGCAGCAAACACCCACACTTTTGGTGAAGGATATTTCTAACACCAATCATAGAATATAGATCAGTGGTCTCCAACCCCCCTCCCTCCCTCCCCCTCTCAAGGAGGGGCATGAGGAAGTTCCAGGGGTCAGAGAGGAGTCTTAAGCAGGTTCGAAAATGAGTGCATTTTTATTTGTAATAATCCATTAAACAATACTAATTATTTTGTTTCTAGTTTAATAACAAACAAAATATGTTTTAAATGATTTATAAAACAAAAAATTCCAAGAACGTGTTAATTTTCATGAGCAGTTTTATATCTACCATTAAACATCTAATTAATATGACAGAAAAATGCATTTACTTATAGATTAAGAATACATTACTCATCTTTTGTATCACATTTTGTTATGTTGGTGTGGGAAAGGAGGGAAGGCAAAGAGGGTTTTGCCATAAACTCACTGCAGTGCCACCTAAAAAAAAATGGGAAACCACTGGTAAAGACAGAGGTTATGAGTGTTGGCAGCAGACTGGTACAGGTGAATAAAATCTCCTGTCAGAAGGCAATGTAACAAAACCACGACCAGACTATTTCAGAATGGTGTCTAAATAATCTGCTTTTTTTTACTCCCGTTTGGTATCAACTCTTTGAGTCCCAAACAGTGCATGATATATGAAACACTGTCTGCCGAATACTTTCCTTAGCTATATATGCTTTCTTTACTTTTTTTTTTTTAACTTTGTATTTGGTGATAGAAATCTGGCATTTCCAGTGGTCACTGTTACTGTTATATTACTGCTTTGATATAATGCACCGATGAATTTTAATCAAGGATATTTATTCACTGGCATCTCCTATAAAACCTTCTTTTGGTACTGAAAGAGTTGAACAATTTGTTGACAGTGAGTATATAGTGAGATAATTGTATACAAAATATAGTATGGATTGCAGTTTGTGGCTATAGTGTACATTACTGATGTTACACTGAGAACACTAACTTGAGGGCAACAATCAGAAAGGAAAAAAGGAAATGACAGTTATGGTGGTTTAAGATAGTGGGGGGAAAAAAGGCCTAGGCTAGTATTATCATGATCATCTGCCCCTGCCAATAAGTGTCAGAAATCATCTCACACAATCAAAAGAATCACCGAAAAGGTTAGTGCTCTTACCTGCCCCAGCCATCCATGTTTGAATCTCTTTAGCTAGCACAATAAAAAATCAGAAATAGTGGTAATATCAAAGAAACAAAACCTGTGAAAATGCACAGTAAAAATCAGTGGTTTTAATTGTTTAATGCAGGGACATTATTCAATCATCACAGACATAATGAAAAGAATAGGAAAAGCAAATACATGCTTTTTATACAAATAAGAACCTACCAGTTAGCTCCACTGTTCACGCACCCAAATGTCTCCCTTTCATCAAAACAGCAAACGATTAATAGCATATTCATCCCTCCTTAAGCTATCAGTGCCAAACATGGACAATTAATACAGCACTAGAACAGAAAATAACTACATGTGAAATGTGCTGTCTTCCCAAGGTAACAAACAATACAAGAAGAGACAAGGTTACGAATACCAGCATTAGAGAGAAAGTTGGAATAAGACCATGTCCGGATTAAAATGACAAAGAATGAAATGGTTCTGCCACATATTGAGAATGCAGCCAGACCAAACTTCATTTGAGACATTTTACAGCAGAACATTTGGGAGGAAGGCAAAGGAAAGACCAAGAAAGACATGAATAAATGGTGTGGCTGAAACCTGCAAAAAAGATTAACAAATCCATCACCCAAGCCACTTGAAAAGCACAAGACAGAAAACTACGACACTGGTCTACAACCTGGTATCAGTGAGACGAAAAAAAGAAGAAGAACTTCTTAAGAAATAGTATCCTGTTATTGGAAGTTAGTAAAACCATATTTGCTTGCTATATAAAACCAATATTAACACATAGCTGTGAATTCACTTTCAGCCTCAAGGAACATATCAGAGGTTTATAGGTTCCTACCTAGAAACCTGATAAAAGTAAGATGCAACAATGTTATTTCTCTCTTTACTACCCACTCTGATGCTAAATCCCCTGGGACAAAGAATTCATAAAGAAATCAAAAATATCTGCTCAAGTCATATAGGTGATGTTTAACAGCTGAATGTGAAAATTACTTTAGATAGCCAAAATTAGTTATCTTAATGCTGTGAAAATGGCTAAACCACAAAAATTATCTCAGATAATAAGAATAGGCAGTCAGCAATTCAATGGCACTTAGTGAGAATAAACTTGCACTTTCAGTTACTTAACAATAATGCCTCCCTTCTGACTTCTGTTGCTAAAGTTGTTGTTGCGAGTACACATGTAGTGGTAGGAACCTTCTTTCTTGAATCTGAGTAGTGCCCCTTCGTATGATGCTGGAGCATTGTCTAACAGATTGTTCATCTGAGCTTTGCTGGCAACTGAGTCTGTACAGTTAATGGCACACCTAGAGATGCAAATGCCATAAATGAGTTTGTTGAGGACATAATTAAGACATATAACAAAACATAATAAGTTTCAGATGTAATACTTACATACAAAACAAATCCAACAATACAGTAGTGTTAAATAACACTAGAGTTAAACAGTAAACATAAACAACACTGTAATAAATAAATCTTGTATTGTTGTTGTTATCAGCAAAATTATTTTAATAAATTAGCCTTAACCCTTTTACCCAATAAGAAACTTAACTCTTTAAATCCCAAAAAGTACTTTAACTAGATTTGGGTTATTAGATAGTTGTTTTAACAATTTAAAAAGCTTGGCTAAAAAGGGTTAAATAACAGCATATGACAGGAGTAGTTAAGCAATAACTGAGGTAGAGTGGGCTCATGAAATAACTGGATGGAGTAAAGAAAGTTAATACAAATAAATCGTGTGTGGAGAAGTTAAGCAACAACTGAGATACAGTGGGCTCATGAAATAATTAGCTGGAGCAAGAAAGTTAACACCAGCATATCATGTGTGCAGAAATAAGAAACACATGATATTTTGCTTGAGACTTAATGAGTCAAAAGCTAACCTTTTTCATCTGTTTTCTTTCAAATTTAAGTTTCTATATTTTTTATATGCATCCTTATAATTCTGTGAAACTCTACCCTAGATGGAGAAGAAGCAGTAAAAATTTGGAGTTTCTGGGTAGTTTTTATAAATATCCAGGGGGTCAAACCTACAGACCTCTGAGTAGACAGGCAGGTGTGAAGTCATCTGCATCTTTAATGACGCCATATCATTAACAAAAATGTTTAAGATGATTTTCCAGTCACTAAATGTCTAAATCAAGGAAAAGGTTTATTTAAATACAACCACAGCAAGGAAATAATTGATTTCCTTCCCTTTTGCTATCTAAAAGTGGTTTTTAATCATGATGTCACCCTGTTGTTGTTTTTTTTTAAATCATTTTTCTTTGCTATAACAAATAAATATAAAATATATAATTTTGTAAATATAACCATCGCCACCATGTCTACACATGTAATGATGACTGCCATCACAACAACAACAAAACTACTAGCCTGAATTTGGGCATTTAAGGGGTGACAGAGTTAATGAATAAACTGTCACAATTGATCATCTCAGTGACCGTTACTATTTGTGGGGAATGTCATCAAGTCTGATGTAATTTCTTTACTGGTTAAATGGCATTTTAGGATTTATAGTTTTCTTTCTATGGTTTTGCAGACACTTTCAAACAGCTGGAATGACAAACTACTGAATGTAAACTTGCCTAAAAAAATCAACGACAGCTAAAAAATGCTGGGGTTGGTTCTGCAATCTCCTGTAAAGGATACGCAACTAACTTATTCAACTTTTTTTCAAACAGCTGGACAGATGCTTCAGATGGTCATTATGTTTCACTTTGTATTCTTTCAACATAAAAAGAAAGCACCTTATTTGTTCTAATACATATCTTCTTGGATCACTGTAAACAGTTAATATCAGTGCTGGTAGAAAAAGTTACTGAAATTAAGAAAATGATAAAATAAATGACAATAAAACACCCACCTGTAATATCCTGCTGAAGCCATATTGATTGCAAGATCTTGTGGTGAAATATCATTTTTCCCAAAATAAATCCACTCGACTTTGACATTTTTCCAAAGCTGTGTGTTTTCAAAGGGAGTTGGAAAGTTACTACTTCGATCACTCAGTTCAACAAAGTTGCTGCGATCAGTTCCTATACAGAAATAAAATACAAAAGCATTAAAACCAAATAGGTGATGGGAAAGTTTATTTTTAGCATTTTATACCAGTGTTGGTGGTAGGAAAGTGATTTATTAAATCTCTCAGTACCAAACAGCTCATCGTGTGTTTCTTAATAATTCCAAAACAGAATGTAATCTCTTGCTGTTGTCTACCACAGATAGATGTTATATTAACCCCTTATCTCTGAATCATTAGTTTAACTACTTCTGTCTCAAAATGTCTAAACTGAACATCTTCAGACCACACTATTAACTGCTTGAGACAGAAGGGGTTAAAGTAACAAATGCTTTGAATTGAAAAAAGTGAGAGACTAATTATATTGCACAATTTATTTTAATTATTTAATTTTGCTGTCTAATAAGGTGTATGGTACAGAACCAACTGATTAAAACACTAATGTAAAAGAACATTCCACTGGTGGGCCCCATTTAAAGAAATGTGTGGGAGGGAGGAGGGAGATAAAAAAGCACTGGCTACTGATGGATTATACTCATATATCAGTAATCAGTGAGTGGATCTCCCCCCCCCCCCCCCAACCACCTTTCCACCCATCTAAATAAGCATCTTGTAAAAGATTATTAATTACCTGCTTGCTGAAATGGATGTGATCAACCAACAGGTGCAATTATAACAGTCTAGCTGTAATGTGAGATGGGGTTTCTGAGAAGAATGTTGCGAATAACTTTGTGAATACCTTGAACTGCCAGAATAACTAACAATGATTGCCTGGAAATGGCTAATAAAAGTAGAAAATTATACATAACAATGTGATGGAGACAAAGTTCTTTGGTCATGTAATGAGAAAAGGAGCACTGGAAAATATCATGACGACTGGAAAGATCACTGGTCGAAGAGGCAGGGGCAGACCAAGAGAAATGATGGTTGAACGGCTTAAGACAGTGACATGGAGGAATACCATCAGTGGAATTGATCCAGAACACCCGAGACTGAGATCTGTGGAGATGCAGGAACGCCTACAACAGCTGGCAAGGCACTTGATGACCATGAGCTGTAAACCACAACACACATGTCAATCATCCTTTTAAGGGAGAATGCAGAAGAAGAAAAAACAAAAGAACATGGCTGGCTAACCTCCTTTTCCTTCTCCAGCATCCCCAGCTTGTCCATCTCCAGCCGGATTGTTGTTGTTGTGTGTGTTAGAGCCTGCAATCAGAAAATTAGTATTGTGATTAATTCTATCACAGATACCGCTGTACATAAGTGGGTGGAATGCATTTAAAAATGGTGAGTCCGAAAAATGGTTACACATTCAAGTGTGCATTTATCAAAAGATAACCGCTACTTCCAGAATACAAACGTGGGCAGCAGAACAAGCATTCACACATGAAGTAACTGTGTGAGACTCCTTGAACATGCTTCAGAAAACTACAACAAGTGGTATGCACTCTGAATGGGTAGAAAGCATTTACAAATCACACTAAACCTCACTGGACAATGATGAATCTCTGAGAATAATGTGACCGTGAAACTAGGTGTAGAGCACAGTGAACTATGTCTATGTTGCTTCGAGGTTAAGTCAGGAGACTATATAACCAATGCCTCATAAAAACAATTGGCACCTTGGAGTAGCTGCTGCATCAGAGGACTGAGCATGCATGGGAATGCCCAAAGTCACTCCGCATACACACACGGAAATAGTCCTGTCCTTCTAGACACATGAAAGCTTGTGTCACCCTATTGCCTCCATCGTCATACTGCTGGTGGTCATGGAGAAGGCACCACTGGCTTCTCAAACTGTTCTGCCTGGAGAGCGAGCTGTAAATGGCCATGCACTCTTATGTCCTCGTATAATGGACCCGTCTGTGAAGATCACCACATCTGTCTCATCTGACTTGTCAAAGATAAGCGCGCATACCTCAGCATTGACAGCAGCTGGATTCTGCTCCCGACAACTCCTATGGAGCATCACGACACAGGAGAATGTGAGATTGGGGCTTTAGATGCTGGCATCCATCCCTCACCTGGATGCATGTCTGTAAGGCTACAAACCTGCATGATGTCATCCTCTGCCCTACCCAGCTATGATTTGCCCCTTTTTCTCGAAGAGCATGTGGTGCAAAGGGTGCTTCAGATCTGAGCTTATCTTGAGGAATGCTTGAGAGTTCCAGATTTTGATCCTGTATTGCAAAGTAAGGAAGTCAAGAAGGTACCTCATTGCTACACAAGAGGTATCTCCAGTGCACCTCATAATAATGCACATTGCTTCATTTTGTACCTTCTCAAGTCTTTCAATTTGAGTATAGCCGACAGTGAGGATGGCAAGAGCACTGCTGATTTTGCCACCATGTGAAAGGCAAGCAGGTGGAAACATTAAAGGGATTGTATTGTTTTATTTTTTGGTTTTATTACTTTGAAGAGTTGCCTTTCCAATGGTCTCATTTCCGTAGCCATAATACTGTCATGTGATTCAAATATACTCACACATGAAGCCATATTTCTGATTCATCTTGTAAACTGAAACAAACAGATATGTTTGCATCCTCTGTAGCCATATCTCACAAAGATCCATGATCAGACACACAGAAGTGACATACTATGTAACTAATATATATCCAAGCATTTCTCATTTGTTATGAATTCATATCACAATGAGGTGGAGAGACCATCTCCTTTCCTCACCATCTTGACCAAGGCATCATCAAAATATTTAAAATACACTATTGGGCTGAGATATTGCAGTGGGTCATTGCTAAAAGATTTGAGGAAGCAAATTCATCTGGAGCATTAGTAAACACTTGGATGCTGTCCTCTGGATCAGTTCTGCTTAGAATATAACAAATTAATACAGAAGGATTTCGAGGAACCTGACTGTTTCACAACCCAAGAGCATTTCATTGTAGCTCCATCAGACAGTCTACCGCTGTGATCAATGGCTGAAATCAATTACAGCCAATTTTCATTGTGGACTCAGCACTACACACAGTACGAGGAAATGCAGCTGGACACAGCACTACACACAGAGTGAGGACTTTCAGCTGGACACAGCACTACACAGAGTAAGGACATTCAGCTGGACACAGCACTACACACAGAGTGAGGACATGCAGCTGGACACAGCACTACACACAGAGTGAGGACATTCAGCTGGACACAGCACTACACACAGAGTGAGGACATGCAGCTGGACACAGCACTACACACACAGAGTGAGGACCAGTGTTGCCACTTTTCTTTGACAAAAAATGTCCAAAACGGCGTCAAAAAATATCTAAAAAGATCTAAATCTGCGTGGAAAAGATCTAGACAAACATCCAAATTGAAAAAGTCAAAAATTACATAGCTTTTGTTATGACTTACCCTACATAATTATGTCCTCACCTTCACTGATGTCTGCCTCACAAGATCCACAGGATAAACTTAGCTTGGATAATGAAGTTGAAGCTTCAGATCCAAAATGACCCTTTAGCTGTTCAAATTTCTTTATAAGTGGAACAGTAGGCTTATTTCTCTAGTCTCATCAGGCCGAATTTTAATGGCACGATAGCATTTAAGAGGTCAAATTTCATCCTGTTTTTCAGGTTATATTTGATATAATTCCTAGCACTGAAAACTCTTTCTACGTCAGCATTTGAGTGGGGTAGTATCATGGTAGACATGGCACTTTAAAGAGCTTACAGAATGGACTTGTTGAGGCATCTTTAAATTGTCTCACTTCACTCCAAAACGCTTTAGTTTCTGTTTTGTTTGTCCATTCAGCTAACTTTATTTTGGTTAACTGATATTCTGCTTCCGCGACACTATTATCAGTAGCCCCTAAAAATTTCATAACTTTACAATATTTAGGTATGTCCTTTATGCTTTTTTAGTCTCTGCATGACTCTTTGAATTTTGTATTTTCGCTTTAATTTCACACTTACAGAACTTACAACAAGCTTTGGTCACATCCACGGTTTTTAATTTTGTCATTATGCACCCACTCTTTCCAAATTTTTTGCTCTTACTTTACTTTTGGCATGTAGAAAGGTTTTTCAAAGTGAGAGCCACATAAGAAGGTGAGCAATTATTTTTTTTAAACACATGAAAAAGAAGCGCAAAGTCAGCACAGTGAGGATACGGTTGAAACAAAGTTAGTATGATTTACGCGCGTTTTTATTATTCAGTACCTGGGCTGCCAGATATTTGTGCGTTGACCCCAGTGAAAGTTCAAAGTTCAAGTAATGGCAGTTGTCACAATGTACGCGCCAGACCAAAACAAAAGTATTGTAGTAAATATTTTACACAGTAATTATTAAATTGACAATGAAAGAAAAAAAAAATCTATAAAATATCTAACTCCTTATGAAAAGTATCTAGAAAAATATTTAGGATCTAAACGTCAAAAACAGTATCTAAATGCAATGAAAAAGATCTAAATTTGGATATAAAAGATCCAAAGTGGCAACACTGGTGAGGACATGCAGCTGGACACAGCACTACACACAGAGTGAGGACTTTCAGCTGGACACAGCACTACTCACAGAGTGAGGACATGCAGCTGGACACAGCACTACACACAGAGTGAGGACATGCAGCTGGACACAGCACTACACACAGAGTGAGGACATTCAGCTGGACACAGCACTACACACAGAGTGAGGACATGCAGCTGGACACAGCACTACACACAGAGTGAGGACATGCAGCTGGACACAGCACTACACACAGAGTGAGGACATGCAGCTGGACACAGCACTACACACAGAGTGAGGACATTCAGCTGGACACAGCACTACACACAGAGTGAGGACATTCAGCTGGATACAGCACTACACACACAGAGTGAGGACATGCAGCTGGACACAGCACTACACACACAGAGTGAGGACATGCAGCTGGATACAGCACTACACACAGAGTGAGGACATGCAGCTGGATACAGCACTACACACACAGAGTGAGGACATGCAGCTGGACACAGCACTTGACACACTGAATGAGGATATGCAGCTGGATACAAATAAAGCCAAAAATAGTACAGCTAATATACATCAGTACCTGTCCACTGTATGTGCACCATATCTTCTTTCTTGATTTCCAGTGTATTTGGAGCAAAGTCGTATTCTACAGCTGGGTATGTCTGCACAATATTGCCTCTCTTCCCTCGGACATTCAAATTATAAATTCGTCCTTGATTCAAGCCAACTGGTCTTGGTATAAGTTTAAAAACATGGCTCCTGTCTTGAAATACTCTGCCATACTGCGCTGTATTGAGGGCTAAACGTAATGGTGACTGGTTGCTCATCACATACACATATGGGTTTTGTTTAATTGGTGATTTCTTCGGACTGGAAAAAAAAATAGTATTAACATAAATTATCAAATACCAAGAGAACATTACAAGATATTGATAAATATATTTCCTAACAGAAACAACTTGATCAATCTGTAAACCCTCTAATTTTGTGCTATCAGTGCCAAATGTGGACATTAACAATAAAAGGAAAAAGAAAAATCAAAACAAAAGAAATCAAATATCTATGAAGAATTCTAAATGTAACCAGTAGAGACAGGATCAGAAATGATGATATCAGTAAAATTTAGACATAATGGAAACACAGCCAAAGGTCGACCACCCAAGCAATAGAGAGATGGAATATCCAACGTCATTATATACTAGCACCTACATACATACCAAGACTCCCACCCGATACCTCTTCAAAACCTGACACTGAAAGACTTGACCATTTTATACAATGTATAAAAATGTATGAAAATGAGGCAGTCCTCCTTAAGACAGATGAAAGTGGTGAACTGATCAGAAAAATTAGACATCACAGTCTGTATTTTTAGGACATATTAGGAGAAGAAATAGACTTGAGAACTTGGTAACAACAGCCAAGATTGATGAAAAGAGAGCAAAGAAGTCAAAGAGGTTATACTTGGATGACTTGGCCATTTGGAGTTTATCTGTGATAATGGTGATCACATGATATCCTATGCTTTTTGGCACTGAACATGATGATGATGACAACAACTGTATTTCAGTCAGTTATGTTATTTATTTTATTTATCAAGACCAGAAAGCATGTCTAGGATTGCCCAGATAACATCACCTTGCCAAGCAGCAAACACTATGGAGATTCAAAAACATGTCATGCAAAACTAAGATTCAATTGCTCAGAGCACCAGCTATTAGTACATTTTCATATGGCTGTGAAACATGAACTTTAAAAGCTGAACTCAAAAGGAAGGTACAAGCATTGGAAATGCGATGCTCATACTGAGCCAACATTTTAAACGAAGAGGTTCGCCATATAATTAGAAAGCACATTGACAACTTTGAATCTCTTTTAACTACAGTAAAAAGGCAAAAAATGCAATGGTATGGACATGTAATAAGATCTAACGACCTGTCTAAAAAACAACACTGCAGGGCTCAGTAGAGGGAAAGAGGAGAAGAGGCAGACCAAGAAAGACCTGGTTACAGAACCTGACTGACTGGACAGGCCTCAGGCATGCAACCATGAAGTCCATTGCAACTAGCCGCCAAAGGTGGAGAGAGCTGATCAGACAGAAATTGGTTACCCAACAACAGATAGTATTTCGGGATGATGATGTTATTTAAATTGTTTTATTTCATGTACTATCTTATTAAAAAATTTGCTGTTATATTATAATGAATAGCATATTATAACATAAAATTTTCAATACCTTATGCTTTCAAATAACTGATTTATTGTTATTTTAATGAATCTGTGTGTATCACACAGTTGAACAAAGTTATTATGTTGATCATCTTCAAAGAAAATAAAGAAACAGAGATAAGTATACTTTTTTTTAAACTCAATGCTACCCCCCCCCCCCCCCCCCTTTTTTTTTTCCATTTCCCCCCAGTTGCTAATGTGTACAAGTGTAAGCACAGAAAAATGCAATATTTTTTAGCTCTGACTTTCAGTGTGTGATGGACTCATATTACTTGTACCTTATACTACATCCTGCTAATAACTGAGTTATCTTAGCTTGGACCTGATCTCTCCCATTAAATAGTTCCAGTTCACAGCATCTTTATTCACAAATGGCATGTTAGTAAACATTTAGACTTATTTATTACTGATGACAAATTAAATAATATTTTCACTGAATAAAACACACACAGACTCTAAAGAATAAGCCAATACATAAAAACAGGTAGACATTTAAGATTTCTATATCTAAATAAGATCATCTTTTTCCTCCATCATTTTTTCACTCATGCATTTGTGATCTTTAGAATTCTAATCACTAGTGTGTATAAGGGTTATTGCTTGTTATAAAAAGTAACTAATATTTTAGAGATAAAAATATAATAAACAATTAGGCAAATTACTCTTCTGCCTAAAGCTTGTGTAATCAAGGATAGTTCCAATACAGTTAAAAGCAGACTTGAAAAAAAAAAGATTTATAAGATTTGCTTAAAGAGAAATTACATGATAGTATGGAGAACAATTGACTTAATAATATGTTTTGGAAACAACAAAAAAAACAAATATAATTTACTTAACAACAAGGTTTTAGGAAATAAAATATAATTTAACTCTACATCACCACAATGTGTCTAGGGTCAAAGCAGTCAGAAGAACACGACCTTATATCTCCCTCGACACCCGTAGTAGTAAAAGAGGAAGTAAAGAAGAAGAAGAAGAATAACAAGGTTTTAGAAGGAAAAAAATACAATTGACTTAACAACAATCTGACCAATCTTTAAAAACCAGAATATTATTTTCCAAATAATAATGTTTATTAACATAACATGGATTGGATTAATTAAAAACAAAGTAAAGCTTACAATTCTTCATTTTGCTTGTAATCTGTCTTGTATGGATCATAGTCATCAGTTGATATGTTGTACCTTAAATAACAATAGAGGAAAGTAAGAGTTAAATACTTCTTCTTCTTACAGTCCATGTCGTGTGGTGTTGGTAGTCATGTCTCTTCTCTCAAGACATCCTCATTACTCTTTTTATCTGTCCAGGGTATTCTCATCATCTATCTATAAAACTATAAACTATATCTATAAATCTATATTAAAGTCCATGCTGTGTAGCACTGGTAATCATGTCTATCTACAATCTTCTGTCTCATGTACTTTCTATTACCTCTGACAAAGATGAAGCTCCATGCCATGATATCACACTGTCCAGCATCTTTTCTCTCGGTCTCCCTCTGCCTCTCTTTCTCTCCAAATTTCCTACTGTCATGTATTACTCCAGTTTTTTTTCTCCTTCTCATCATATGACCAAAAAATGTAGATTGTCTCTTTCTGATGTGGGCAATCAGTTCTCTTTGTGAGTCAGTTTCTTTCACGACATCCTCATTAGTCTTGTTATCAGTCCAGGGTATTCTCATCATTCGTCTACAAAACCACATCTCCGCAGCTTCCAAATAATTGTTCACTAATGTACCAACTGTCCACAGTTCATTTCCATATTTCTAGATAGGACTTATTTAGCTTTTAAGAATTCTCTTTCTCATCTCAACTGTCAAAGAAAGATTATATAAAACAATCTTCATTTTGTAAAATGCTGCCTTTGCTTGAGCTATTCTACATTTAAGTTCTTTAATACATCTTCCATCTGATGTTATCAGGGTACCCAAATACTCAAACATAGCCACTTGCTTGAGGTTTGTCCCATTTACTTTGATGTTGCAATTTGCAGTTTAAGTTTCAGTTAAATACAAGACAATGTAAATTACATACTAAATATGATATATGCTTAAAGATTGGTCAAGGCAGTATAGTAGCTGTCTTGCTTACCAACACAGTGGTCTGGGTTCAATTCCACATACTTGAAGCATTTTATCCTCTGAGGTCAAACCAACTATGTAAAATATAAAGCATTTAGGAAGGAAAGGTGTTGAGGAAAGAAACTGACCACTACAACATTCCTGCCCTGGTCTAGTAAATCATCATCATCAGGTGCCTTGACGACTGGTATTAGCCATCATGCCTCTCCACAATCTCCGATCTCCTGCAGCATTTTTCAGTTCATGTGCTGACACACCTCCATGTCTAGTAAATAAGAAAGCATAACACTACACTACACACCCCGTTTATTTTAACCTTTTATAAATTATTCTTCCTTATAGTAGATACTATTGGACAGCACACAAAAAAAGAAGCAACCCAGATGCACTGAAAGAGGTGAGAGCTCCAAGACAACTTATCACAAACATCAGAAAGAGACAGACATTTTTTTTTTTACACTGCCATTTTATGAGAAGAAGTAAACTGGAATATGCTGTTATCATTGAAAAGATCTGTGGAAAAAAAGAGAAAGACAGTGAAAGATGATTCTAGACAGCCTTTTGTCATGTTTAACTCTAAACACATGCAAGTTAAAAGTGTAATTAGGTTATTTTTTTTTTTTGTATATAAAGGAAATTTTTTTAAGCCAGGGGTATTTTGGTGCCAGGCCTATTTTTTATAGACCAACCGGCACTCAACGAGTTACAGTCAAAATCGTAACGACCACCTTTACTTTCCAGGTCATTACCTGGTATTAATTAAGGGCTGGGTTATGTGAGAGCGAAGGTCGGTTCAGAAAACAAAAGTCCACCTCGATGCAGATTCAAATCCTACACCTTCTGGCCAGTTGGCTAGCATATATGCAATCCATACTACCCGTAAATGACAGTAAATATTATTTTGTCCAACCATGTTTATTACTATAATTTCAACAAACTATTTATATTCAAACACATTAACAGAGAGAGAGAAGAGAGAGAGAGAGAGAGAGAGAGAGAGAGAGAGAGAGAGAGAGAGAGAGAGAGAGAGAGAGTTGTGTATGAAAAAAAAATTTAGAAGAAGAAAAGAAAATCTCAAGTTACAAATTATAAAATAATCTGTATCCCTGTACACCTCACCGAATTCGAAAAACACAACTTTTGATTTTGCCGGAAGGAAAATTTGGAAGTGTCCAAGTATAGTTGAGGGGCAGTCCATGTACGCCATTACCAAGATGGTTGGACCTGTAGAAAAATTAATCCTCAGTATATGAGATAATTATTGTGAATCAACACAACAAAGTTACTTACTTTTTCAAAGTATCAAAAACCAATGAAACAAATGCGATATTAAGGAAGTGCTGTGTCTGTTGCTATTCGCTAGCTTAAGAATCAGCTGTTCACATGTGTCGTAAATAACTTACAGAGCATGCTGAGAAAATTGGAGGCAGGTATGCTCCGTGCAAAGTGGCACGCATCGCTCCAGAGGTGCCGGATTGTTAGCATCCCTTAGATATTTTCTTCAGGTCATGCCGATGTGTTGGAAAACAAGCAGGCAGATAGACTGGCCGGCTCTGCACCAACTGGTGGTGAACTGATGCATAACAAGCTAGATGTCATCAAGGCCTTTTAAAAGCAAGTGAACAATGTGGAGGCACAAGTAGATCATTATGATCTGAGGAGAATGGAGATGCGAGAAGTCAGCAGGGAATCTGGCTGGACGCTCAACACTCAAGAGAAAGATGACATGAATGTACAATCAGACAGTTACTGGTACCACTGGACCTGGAACTCTTCAAATGTTGCTGAAAATGGGAACACAGTGCTCATGAGAGTGTCCTCAGTGCAGTTATGTCGATTCCTAATTCAACATTCTTCTTCATTTGCTTAAAAGATTGGTTCGCACATTGTATTATGGTTTACAGCTAGACTGCAATATCTGTACCTTTCGGCCCAGCACATCCGATTTCAGAAAATGCTTCATTATTGCCTTTTAAAATATGAATGTTAAGGAGTGTTGTGATCTGTCATCTTGTCAAATGTATAATTACATTAATTCATGATGTTATAAGTGGCCCTTGTTGGTCCCCTATTCAGTTCTACCTCAAGTACACTAGCAGAGAACCAGATGTTGGAACCAATAAACATTTCATTACAATCAGCTGTGTAGCATTTCCAACGTTTATTGTTTCACGCTCAAGATGTTCAATTATCTGTCACTGTACCTGAGAAGACTGCAACTGACGACAGCCTGAGAGAATCATTGCAGCCCTTTTCTTCCTTTGTCAATATCGGCTTTGTGCCACTATTCGCCATAGTTTAATAAATAGGTAACCGAACTTAGGCATGTTTATTTGCTTGGTATGCTGTTATGTGAAGTTAAACGCTGTCTGTGATTCCTTCAATTATTCATGTTGTACACTTAGTTCTCAAAGCCCCCTTCTTCTTCTTATCATTCATCAGCTGTTAGCTCTGGAAAGTTCAGGTTGCTCATCCACTTTGGTCTTATTCCAGAATTTAAGTTTTCGATACAGATCTGTTTAACAAATATCACTTATTTGTTTACAGACTGTTGGTTTCTTTAAAGAAAAAACCCCTAATTATCATCTTTTGCAATAAGCTTGTTAGGAGGCAGTGAGCCTATAAATTTTCCTCCTCTGGGAACCCACATGGGAACTCGGAGCCTGCAAAATTTTGCAATTTCTTTTTCAAGTTTTTTTTTTTTTAAATTCTTTTTAAATTTTATGTCATTGTCATCAGCCAGATTAAGTTTCATTGTTATAATTTTTAACTCACTAATTTGTTATTTTTAAAAAATTTCAGTGTTTTAAATTACACTGACAACAACAAAACTGTAATATATTCATTATGGTAGCTACAGACAACTTCACATACCCCCCGTAACATATTCCCTATGGTAGCAACAGACAACTTCACATACCCCCCTCCCCCCTCATAACATATTCCTTATGGTAGCAACAGACAACTTCACATACCCCCCTCCCCCCTCGTAACACATACCTTATGGTAGCAATAGACAACTTAACACACCCCCCCCCCCCCCCTAGTAACATATTCCTTATGGTAGCAACAGACAACTTCACATACCCCCCTCCCCCAGTAATAACAAGATTTTTGAGCTCCCACCGAACATCAGGTTACTTCAGAACCATGTGGGGGGGGGGGCAAAATAAAGTGGGTTAAATGCATCAATGGGATTTGAATTTGCTCCTGTTGGATTTGCATCTAAAATGTGGCTTTTTGAGTCACTGGGTGACTCTCATAACTTACAGTATCAATGAAAAATTTCAATACATTTTTTACAGTACCAACAGACCACTATAACATATAATTTGCAGTAATAAATAGACAGTCGCAACCACCACAAAGAAACATCTCATACAAAAGCATATTTATTTCAGTTCTATGTTACCAATGTCAGACGTGGTCACTCACAACAAACAAGAAAAGAAAATTAGTAACCACAGAAATTAGATGCATGAGTAGAGCCACAGTAGTGACCAGAAGAGATACAATCAGAAATGTGGACATAAGAGAAAAGGTCAGCATAGAACCAACTCTGAATTATATACAAAGACAGCAAATCAAATTTTGTCCATTCAGAATGCTTTGTGATGTAATACCATACTAGGCATACAGTAACAAAAGGAGAACTACAAAAAACATGAGGAGAACCAAGAACAAGATGGAAAGATAACATCACAGAAACTCTACAACAAAACAAAGTGACTAAGGTCAAGGCAGCCAGTAGAACAAGAAGAAAAACCTTACTTACATTTCTCTTGACACCCGAAGTGGTAAAAGAGAAAGTGAAAAAGAAGAAAAATAAATAGTAACACATCCTTTACCTAGACCAAGGAGCCTCCCTGCAGTCAGGTTTATCCAGAAGAACCAAGCATTCAGGCACTGTGCCGTCGAAGGGTACTGCCCACTTGTAGGTAAGACCAGTGACTTTAGTGGCGTCACATGCTGCCTGAGAGCGCTTGTCTTTAAAAAAATAACAACCCACTTAGAAATGACTATTAAAATGTTACTGATGTTTGATTTCAACAAAAATAATACTGAAAATAAAAAAAACCTGCTTGTTTAGAGTGACCTACAAAATTATCACTGAATGCTTCTCATTTTCCCTGCATTTTTTAGTTGTCACAACATGATCCAGTTTTGTGTTGCTGTTTTGTGGGTGTGGGGGGGGGGGGGGGGGGGGTGAATGTTCAGATTTATAAATTTAAAAAAAGGTGAATATTGTGAAGAAAGTAAAATGTATACTTTTCTTCAAAAAGCTTGTCAGAGAACTTTTGAAGAAAAAAAAATACTTTCAGGAGCAAATAACATTTTCTAGAAAATGATTCACTTCTAAATTGTAAACTATACTGATGTGGCCCATAAAAGGCCTGTGCCCTACAGTGTGCCCTCGCCCGGCTCTCTAGCGAAGTTGGTTAAACCTGATTTTCGCGGCGGCCGGGTGACGAACTCCTTGTGGTCCGGGTTCACTCCCGGGGGTAGGCAGAAAAGCCACATTTCTCCCAGATTAACGGTACCTATAATGGAATCAATGCCGAAGGGTTGCGATATCCATAGTACCGAGCCAAAGGGTTTACAACTCATGGTTTCTGGATACGTAAAAAATAAAAAAAAATAAAAATACAGTGTGCCTAGAGAAATGGATGTTGACACACAAATGTATAAACTCACTTCTAAAGTACATTTTTAGCCCTGTAGTTACAGTTGTGCTTTTGATACCTCTCCTCTATCATAAGGTCTCTCCTGTACAAGTTTATCCACAGCAAGACCTTCTCAAGGTGACCCTATTTTCCCAGCTTTCTATGAGTTTGTCCAAGTTTGTAATGGTATATCTAGCTAACAGCTTCCGATTCCCTAAGTAAAATGCAGCATCCATAAGAGAGTGGAATATGTTCTAGCCTACACCAATTCCAACTCCATTCATGCATTGAATGAATGTTTCCTAAATGTCTGTCAGTCAAGTTCCATTTTCTGTTGTCTTAACTATCAGGAATTCATAATAGATATTGACCCAACACAATGTCTTTGCTGCAGCAAGGAGACAATGTAAACCGACACTGCACATAAGACTGGGTTTTTTCCAGTGTAGGATTTCTGGATTGGTGATGAAAACATTCAGGTTGATTTGAAGTGTAAATTCCCAGCATTGGAATCAATTTTGAAGACGTATAGATCAAGAATAAGAAACTATTATGATGATCATTAAAGCACTAGAGGTGTGCAGAGGCTAACACACTTCGCTGGTTGCCCAGTGTACATGTGCTTAAATTAAGACCAGGATTTATTTTTTAAATTTATCTGAGCTCTGAGACCAGTCCAACCTAAAACAGAAAATGTGAACAGGAAAGACAGCGGATATGAACTGCTAGATACTGACTGCATCAGCCACTGACAGACAACTAGCCTAGAGTAGTATTTTGCCAACATCACATTCCCAGCATGCTTCAGGGTGTGGTAAAGAGATCTTGGTTTTAGGTTTTTTTTTTTTTACTGAAAAGCACTTGGTCTAATAGTTAACGCTTTGTGTATTCTTGTTTTTATTGTATATTGTTGATTTATGAAATGTACTGATGAAGGCTGTCTAGCCACAATGTTCGATTGTTGTTTGTAATTGTGATAATGTGAAGCTTACTGGTTCCATTTTTCATCTGAGACTCTTTTCATACCATCAGATCCTTTTGCAGGATTTCGGATATTAATATCAGCATTTGTTGGCTGTTGTTTGGTTTTATGTTCAGTAGTTTGCTATTGCTTTCTGAAAGATCTACATTCATTCCAGTTAAAGATTAGAGGTTTAAGTTTAGAAGATGATTTTCTCGCTGCAGAATGGGCTAACCACCTGTCAAGAGCTTCTCATAAAGTAGAAACACTGTAGCTCTGACAATGATCTACATGGGTCTCTACACAAAAATTGGATTCATGAACTGAAAAACGCAGTGATAAAACAAACCCATGACCTTCTGAGAGTGAGACAAATGGCTTAACCACTTCACCATGGAAACCCCCAACTCACATTAGGAACGGTTTGTGGTCCACTGCTTGATTGGCAGCAATAATATTTTCATTCCGTGCTGACGTAGAAGCTCTTTAATGTCATCAATCCATATTCTCCTAGGGAAACCTCTTGCTTTCACTTCAGATCTTTTCATGTGTAGCGTCTGCACTGGAGTTATTCTTAACAGATGACAAAACCATTTGATCTTCTGTTTCTCAATTAATTTGCTGCATGGTGTTGTTTTTACAGTCTGTCTGATAATACAATTACTAACGTATTTGTGGATAGGTAATTGGATGGCTTTTTCAGGCATCTCATTTCACATGTGTTAATTTTATGAAGGTTAGCCTTTGAGAATGTCCAAGTCTGGCACTGGTAGAACAGTGTTGGTATGAATATGTCATCTATAATCTGTTTCTTGGTGCTCATACTTATATTCGGATGTCTTAATAAGTGTCAGTTGGTATATAAGTGCACCGACTCACTGGCACACCGTTTATTTTTCCGACTCACTGGCTTCCGTTTGATTTTTCTTGCTTGTCCTATAGCTCTTATCCTCCTAGTAGGAAACCTCTCTGCATGTTTTTCACTTCAGATCTTTTCAGTGTGTCGCGCTCAGCTATGCACTGGTAAATGTGTTACTCAACTCATTATTCTTAACAAGACATGACTAGTAAAACCATTAGCTGTCTTCTAGTTCCCTCAATTCATTTGGTGCCTTCTCTAGGTAACTGTACAGCAGGTTCCAAACACCTCCATTCTGTCTACAAGAAGCTTCATTATTGTATCTGGAAGAGTTCTGGCTACATTCCCCATAAGGCTGGACATTAAAGCTCTTGCTGGTGTAGTGACTGCAAGATGTAAAGTGTTCATCAGCACAAACACCAGGCAAAAACAACATTCATGTTAAGACATAGAATATCTAGAATACAATATTAGATCAATCTTTTGCCTGTTGGTTTTAAGGTCATCATTATCAATTTATGACATTAAGCACCATGGGGAGGAACAGCTTACAATCTTTTACATGATGGGAAGCAATGGCTACTGTTTGATGCAGAATGTCCAAGTATTAATGGCAGGGTGACCTGGTAGAACAGTGTTGTTGTATTCTGAATATGTCATCTATAATTGTGTTCAGTCTTCTTAGGTAGACAGTTAACTTTGTGGCATACATTTCATTTCACAGGTGTTATTTTAAGATTGTCTTAATGAGTGTCGGTTGGTATTCATTAAGTGCACCGAACTCACTCCGGCACACCGTTTATTTATTCCTGTGCTGTTGTTTTATCTAAACTATCTGGCCTCTTATCCTCCGAGAATATACTTGCCCTAGATATTTTGATTTCTTTAACTTGCTTCAGACAAGTTCCTATTCGCACTCTGTTTCTTAGTCTCAATATGTAGGATAAAATTAAGAATTACTAGTATCTGCACTTACTTCAGTTTTAGTAGTATTTATTTTCATGTTATCTCTTCTGCATGTTTAACATATCCTGTTTAAATGTTCCAAACTCATACCAGTGTTAAAGTCAAATGCAAAGCAGTGTGTTACCAAACTACCTGCAGCTGAGCTGAAACAGCTATGTCAAAACTAGGTAAATGTGTTCTCAACTCATTTCATTAATAATAAAAGTAAGACATCAATCTAGTAAATTACTATAACTAGCTGTCTTCTAGTTCCCTCTCATTACCTGGTGCCTTCTCTAGGTAACTGTACAGCAGGTTCCAGACACCTCCATTCTGTCTACAAGAAGCTTCATTATTGTATCTGGAAGAGTTCTGGCTACATTCTCCATAAGGCTGGACATTAAAGCTCTTGCTGGTGTAATGACTGCAAGAAGTAAAGTCTTCATCAGCACAAACACCAGGCAAAAACAACATTCATGTTTAGACATAGAATATCTAGAATACAATATTAAATACTTCTTTTGCCTGTCGGTTTTAAGGTCATCCTTACAGCCCTGATAAACAATTAACAGAAAATTACATTTGTGATTTTTTTTTTTTATGTGTTGATACCCTTACACATTGTAAGGCCCTAAGCTGTAGCCATTTTAGCTTAAGTCTAAATTCAGCACTACAACTACATCCCTCATCAAGTATCGGCTGATCTATTTTTTTAAAATGTGGGTCTATGCCATATGTACCAAGGGCATTAAAATGGCCCTTTAGTTACACAATGCTCAGAATTTTGGAACTATACAGTGGGGTCACTAGCATACATGCTTACTAGCCTGCTGGTGAACTAAAGTAAACAACAACAACAAAAATAGTGTAATAAAGTTGATCTAGGCTCTTTGTTTGAACTAGCTTAAAGTGAGTAACAGGAAAATGACTAGGATGTAAGTTGCTTTCCTAATATGTCCCCCCAGGATCAACAGAAACAGTTTTACTTTGTAAGAGCGGGTTTCCTAGTGTTCTTCTAATCCAAGACTCTCACTATAAAACGACTTTCAGACTAGGTGACTTGCGCCTGTCCATTGCATGCAGCTTATCTACCACTTCTAAAATATACAACTGTCTGTTTGGGGGGGGGGGGGTATTGGGATAGAACCGGAAGTAAAAAAGGCATGCATGATACTAAGCCTCTAATCTATAAGACTATGTAGCTAGCACCATGAACCTAACAAATATGTTCCCCTTAAATGAATGTATTTAGTTCACTCAGGACATTCCTATAAAAAACTCCATCCCCTTTCTGATCAGATGCCACCAGCACTGTCACTGTATATTCTTACTTGAGTTGCATCGGCCTTAGCGAACAGACCATAATGATCTATTTGTGCATTCTGTTCACTGCTCACATGTACAATATTGTGTCATACATCAATTCACCACCAAGTTGCAGAAACAGTTTTTATTTGCCTGTAATTTCCTTAATCATTGCTACTTTTTCATTAAAATCAATGGTTTTAGGTGTGAAGATCTCTCATTTGCTACAACTTGTTAGTACTTTTTCTTCTTCTTTATTTTCTTCTTCTTCTCTAGTCATGTTCTGCCTTTCAGCGTCAGGTTTTGAAGAGGCATTGTGTGCGAGCTTTGGTATGCGCTATGTAGATGCTGGCATTTGGGAATATTTATCCCTCACTTGTGTGCACTCTAGCTCTGGAACTTAGTCTAAGTGGCAGGGAAATGAACACATGTACAAAGATTTGAACTGTTGTCTCAGTTTATTAGAGTGACAATTCTTTCCTGATATTGTGGGTTTCATCTAGTTACATCTAGTATTTGTCATAGACATTTCATTTCTGAAACTAAGGTCCATTACGAACTGGTAACACATTTTATCAAAAAATATGCTTTTCCCTGAAGTTTGTTCCACAAAATTGGTGATATCCATCCAATGATTTGATTTGCTTTACTTCTTCTTCAGGGATCTCTGGCCATGCCCTTCCTTAATCCATTGTGGGCAATACACTGGGATGTCAGTTCAAGATATCTCAGGTTTTCCAAAACAGTTGTTAGCGAAGCACAATTGTTTTATGACACGATCGACAATGACACCATTGTTTGGGCAAAATGGAACTTTTCAAACAACGCTAACACAGTTGTTTGGCCTTAAAGAGTTAAATAGCATTTTAAATTTATATCATGTTACATGAAAGTCAAAACTTTACAGACAACAACACAGACTGACATATATGGCATCAAAATACTCTCTCTTTCCTCCTCTAAACACCTAGCAGTATTTATTAACAAATCAATGCTTGAAAAAAAAACTTTAAATTGTCTTTTCTTTTCCTGCATTTGTCCTTAATGTTGTGGTTCACAGCTAGGCCGTGATATCTGCACTACTAGGTCCAACACATCTGTTTTCAGCAAATACATAAATACCTTTAATGACATGCTTGTTAAGGAAAAGTGGTCTATTTTTCCTTTCAAAATGGGGCCTAGAAAACCACATAGGGAAAAACAGAAACAGAAAATTTCAAAAGTAACAATACAATCCTAGAAGAAATAAGATATATAGTTTACAAGATGCACCTGCACACTGATGCATTTTCTGCCAGAATGGCTATATCAGACCAGGGTGTGGGATGCCAGTAGGGAAAATAATCACGCTCTTCTGGACATTCGTAACCATAGCGATTTCCTGTTGGATTCTGGCGGGTGTAGATGGCACTGCTGTAACCCAAGCCATTGTTTGCTGTCAGCATCTGATCAGCCACAAATAACCCTAAAGGAGAAGAGCACAGCATGCATTAGAACCATTCCAAATCAAGTAATCATAATCTGTTCATGATAAGTACCGATAAGTGTATCTTAAATAGCTGTGAAACTGTGACATTTTGAGTAATTTAAAATACATGGTAGCTGGGAAAGTGCAAGGGTTAACAGGTGAAAATATGGGGGTGACTGCAGTCAAGCTAATACACAGAAATTCCAGAGAAATTAGACTAAAAAGCTCAACAAAATGGGGAAGCAGAAAAACGTGCACAAAACAACACAACACAACGTTTCGGCCAGGCAGCCTTTTTCAAACATAAGTAAACTACACAGATGAAACAACGAGGAGAGGAGAGTATATAGATCTCTAAGGGGTGACGTGAGCAATGTTTAAAAAAATGTGATGTGGAATAAATGAAATAAAATAAAATATACAATGGCTAAAAAATATAGTCACCAAAAAATAAACAGTAGTATTGTTAATATATAATATAATTCTTGGAATAAAACAAAAACAAATGTTTATGATACACAAATGAAACTGATAAGAGTTAGAATAAAGTAATAATATGAAATAAAAGAAAAGAAAAGAATAAACATTCAAAATGTGATAAGAGTAGAACTATTTAGATGAAGGTTTGTTGAATATTGATACCACCTGGACTAAGAATGCCTAGGCTGTGGATGAGGCGATTTTCCAAAGCGAGGCGCATAGTATGATCGCCAGAGCAAGATTTTAATGCTGTGACAGATATATCATCTTTACCTCTGGGGTCAGAGCTATTAAAATGGAGAGGAATTGGTTTAAGTGTCTTCTTGTCAATATCTGAGAGGTGTTCCTGGAAATGATCAGCTAGCTTCCTGCCAGTTTCCCCAATGTATGCCTTGCTGCATCGTTTGCAGATAATTGCATAAATTACGTTGCGGTATTCCCAAGTAAAGGGTTTCCTAATTTATAACCATTAAGGAAACTGACTGAAGAAGTCTGGATAATGAAAGGACATGTCTTGCACGTGCTGCGTGAGCATTCAGTAGTCCCAAAAGGAAGTGCTGTGTGGACCGGTGGGAGTCGGCTTCAGACAAGTATGTCTTTAAGGTTGCAGTCTCGTCTATAAACTAATCTAGGTTTCTCACTAAAGATAATCTTGGTGTCCAGATCAGAGCCGAGGATGTCTAACTAGGGATAATGATCAACAACATGCTAGGCTATTGTCAGTATACTAACCTTTATTCCTCTCTCGCAAGTAGCATTTATTATACCAATCCCAGGATTCATGATACCCTCTTTTATCGTTTACGTCCGTAGTTTTGCGATCAGCTGCAATATTATTGTTATTTGGTTTTGTGTAACCCTGTGTGTCTGTGGTTACACCATTTCTCAAGGTGTCTGCTGTAAACGTAAATATTTCATAAAATTTGTGTTAGTGATTATATATAATCAACACAAAACAGGTAGCCAAACAAGAATAGTAAACCACTATTGAACTGGTGTTTTAGGTTGCCACATGCTGGGGGATATACTGAAGATGGGATCTGAGTGCTTATGGGCTTGTTTGATGTGCAATGAGGATAATCTGTTGATTAACTAACTATAATAATCTGTTGATTAACTAACTATAATAATCTGTTGATTAACTAACTATAATAATCTGTTGATTAACTAACTATAATAATCTGTTGATTAACTAACTATAATAATCTGTTGATTAACTAACTATAATAATCTGTTGATTAACTAACTATAATAATCTGTTGATTAACTAACTATAATAATCTGTTGATTAACTAACTATAATAATCTGTTGATTAACTAACTATACAATAACCAATAAACATGCTTATAGCCTTTTCCCAGATTAGATTCACTTCTTTGTTACAAATTTTCTATTGATGTGCCCCACAAACAAACAAAAAACTAGAAGGAAAATATCCTGCTTGTCAATACTAAAGATTGAAACCAGGACATAGAGAGAGCACAGAAAATTCAGGAAGTAAAATTAACAGCGAGCACAGAAAATGCAGGAAGTAAAATTAACAGCTTGTAAAGAGTAAATGATGAAGATCAGCTTTGATTGTTTTCTTGTACTGCTGACCATGTTACACTTTCTATCTTTCTTTATTCATCTATTCCCCATACTCAACTTTAGCCACTGGAATATGTTGCAGCAAGAGATTTATGGGAAGAGAGATAGAGGAAGAAAGAGACAGAAGAATCTTTTTAGCCATTTGTCATGGCATAGAGTCCATACACAAATGGATACACACTGTTAGAGATTCCACATTGTTGAGAAGTAGTAAGTAGTAGCAGTAATTTTTCAAAAATATCCTGTTCAACACAGGGTTATAATTGGGATATATAGTGTTAACTGAGTTATCAGAGTATAAATTCGTTATTTTATATTATTTATATTATATATCTTGTAATTATTTATCTAATCAATATGTAATGTTCCACATTTTGATTTGATTTGGATTGTGATTATGATAGAAAATGTACTATGGATAATCAGACAATATTACTAAGATTGTCATTAACATTTTCTTTAGTGTGTGATCACTGATTATTCTCCTTGATTTTATCTTTAGGGGAAACCTTTTTCAAAGATGCCACAGGCATTTTTTACCCTTCTATATATGGATTTTGGTCCTTATAATGAACTGCTTGACCTTGCCATGCAGCTCTCTGGGGATGTTTATGTGCAACAAGTTTTCCATTGTCATAAGTAATTTACAGAGATTTATGTAGTCAGTTAAGGGTTTCCTTTGGCTTTCCTATTTCCTACACTCTATCAAATAGTGCTCTATATATAGCACTGTATTTCTGGCATACATTACAGGTCTCTTCCTGTATAGTAAAGCAAGACTATCCAAGTTGCAGTCTAAGCAATTTACTGGTGAGAAGTATGTTCACATAAACTATTCAACGTGGCAATTCATGATGACAAAGATTATGATAATGACAAGGATTATTACTGTGATGACTAAACTAGCACTCATTTATTTACAAAAATAGATTCAGTTACCAGTAGGACTTTGAGTATCATCCTGGCACATGTACTGCAGAATTAAGGCACAATTCTGTTTCTGCTGGTTGTTCTGATCTCCGCCACAGCCATGCTGGTTGGTCCACTCAATAGTCAAAAAACTCTTACCCTGGTCACCTGACATGGTTTTCCAAGATCCACTCTGAAGATATTTCTGATGAACAAATTTGAAATTTATCACTAGATAGATAAACTCTAGTCAATTTACAAAAACAGCATACATTGCAATTTGCAACTTGTTGGAATATTTAGCCCTATCACCTTTTTAAAATTATTAAAATGATCTTTCTTTATTTCAAAATCATGCATCGCATAAGAAACCAGAAGGAATAGGAGAAATATTATGGATAAATCTGATTCTGGAGTCTTGATCAGTTTTCATAAATATCCAGTGAGTCAAACCTTTAGTCCAACTAGAGGATAGACAGGCTTGAAGTCTTCTACTTCTCTGATGATGTCACACCACTAAACAAAATTTATTTTTAAAATTCCAGGTACTAAATATCTAAAGCAGGGAAAAGTTTTTTCTGTGTAAAGGGAAATATATGGATGTGAATCATGGGCATTTAGTAAATTAGTGAAAACTTATTTGGAAGCTGCGGAGATGTGGTTTTATAGATGAATGATGAGAATACACTGGACAGATAAAAGGAGATGTCTTGAAAGAAACTGACTCACAAAGAGAACTGACTGTCAAAATCAGAAAAAAATACAATCTACATTCTTTGGTCATGTGATGAGAAGAAGAAAACTGGAGTACATTGTGACGGTAGGAAAGTTGGAATGAAGGAGAGGCCAAGGGGGATCGAGAGAACAGATGCTGTACATTCTGACATCACGGGATGGAAGATCATCTGTGTCAGAGTTGACTGAAAGTACACAAGACAGAAGGTTGTGGAGAGACATGACTACCAACGACACAGGGTATTGACTTTAAGAAGGAAGGGAAATAATCATTAAATACAAATGGAACAAACGACCAATTTCCTTCCCTTCGACTATATACAAGTGGTGTTTGTAACTTTGCTACAGACAGCTGTGTGATATATACCTCCTAGGTTATAACTGTTAATATACATTTTCTGAAAGCTTGGGATGTCCTTTAAGTAAGAAGTCACTATTTGTCAATGTAGTCACCACCACATCACACACATACACATACTCACGTTCACACACATACTCTCTTCCTCTCTCTCTCTCTCTGTCTCACTCTCCAGCATTGAACAAATTGCCACATCCTTTTAAGAAAAATCTGATGATTTGTTTACAAAACCAGGAATGCACATCAGCTGCTATATCTTTATTAGAAACATATCTGTTTTCCTTGAGATGTTCCTTGAGTTTTGGGAACAGGAAAAGGTTACAAGGTACCAAATCAGGACTATGTGGTGAATGCACTAAAAGGTCATCAAAGTTTAGATGCTCCAATGCTGCTGTTCTTTGTCTACTCTAGTGGTCGAGCATTGTCATGTTTGTTGTTTCATCTTGCTCTGGTGATCAAACCACTCGCTTTTCTTTGGAAAATTGCCGTAACAAAAATTGTCTTGATGGTCTAAGTCCAGCAGATATCAACGTTCAGCATACCTTCATCTAAACCAATTTACTATTCTTACTTTTATGTTATTTTATATTTTTATATTTTATTTTATCTGTTATTATTGAAGAGAACTGACTGCCGATATTAGAAAGAGAAATCCATTCTTTCCTCATGTGATGAGAAGGAGAAAACGACTACATCCTGACAGTAGAATACTGGAGTTGAGTAGAAGCAGAGAGAGATTGAGAAAACAGATGCTGAACAGTCTAACATCATGGCATGGAGGATCATCTGTCTCAGAGTTTATTGAAAATTCATGAGACGGGGGTAGTGGATAGACATGACTACCAATGCAACATAGCACAGACTTTAAGAAAAAGATGTTATTATTAACATTTATAGATCAATAATATTTTTATTCCTACTACTACTATATTATATCACGATAATTTTTCACTCCTTCGTTTATTTTATTATATTAATTCCACTTGATCTTTCCTATACTTTATTATTATTCATGTGATCCCCTTTTCACGTGACCCCCTTCCTCACGTGGATACTAATGGTTGAAAAGTCTTGTCCTTTGTTACTGTTGTGTAGTTCATGTGGATAAAGGCTCTGGCTGAAATGTTGATTTGTCTGTTGTGTATGCGCAGTTCCCCTACCTCCTTTCATTAAAGTTTTTAGTCACAATTCATTTCATTCATTTCTTATTACAGAAAGCTTTTATTTTCATCAGTAGTGTGTGGTGATATTGATCACAGGTGTGAGAGAAAGTTAAGGTAGTTGTGTTGTGGATGAGGAGATCATCATATAGTGGGCTATATATATGTACATATAGATCATCATATTGTGGGCTATAAAAACATATAGATCAGCACTTAAAGATCATGCTGTCTGTACTCAGCATTATGCAGCACCTAACAATTCTGAAATATTAAAACAAATGACTCACCATGTTGTATTGGTTTGCTGCATTATCACCAGAGGCAGCATCCGTTTTATCTCCAACATTATAGCCACCACGATTGTTGTTCTGACAGGAAATAAAACCAATAGTAATTATTGTGACTGTTTCTGTCCCTTACAGTCAAAAAAACCATTTCAAAATATAGATCAAACATTTTAAAAAGTTAAATACAAGACAATGTGCCAGTTTGGCAAGCTACAATTGATTTCTGGGAAGGAAAGGAACTGGCCACTTTCTTGAGGTTGCAAAGTTTATATTGCTGCAAATCGTTAAAGTCCACTGCTGTGGCAAACTTGGTTAATTAAAACTGGTTAAAGATTACATTGACTGTTCAGCCCATCAAGTAAGAACTGGTTTTTAAATATTGACTTAGGCTAATCATCACACCAACACATTAAACATCCCAGATAATTTTCTGGTACATATTTTTATGATTCTGGATGTGGCAGCAACTGTTTCTTGTTGTGCTGAAATTGTTATAATAGGAATAACTTTATGTATCCAAGGATACACAAGGAAAAAAGTACACTGTAAAACTGATATCATGTATGAAATAAAGAAGAGCTTTCTGTTTGGGTTCTAGGGGCCTCGTTTTGTGGGAACAGAGAATAGACCTACTGCCCCCCAACAAACCTGTTGTAAGAGGCTACTAATTAAGGTTTTATTGAAATCAGGTGTTGGACCCTCAGGTGCAGACACTGCAGCCTATCTGCAAACCACAACACAATGTGCCAAATGCTCTTTTAAGGGCAAAAACATTAGATAAAAAGACAAAGAAAAAATGTCTTAAATTTACATTACAAACCTGATGAATGCATACATTTTTTTTTTTTTTAATAATTGGAGATATTCATAGGCTATATTGAAAAAATTGTTATCAAACCTGACTGTCAAACAATCTGTTTGCATTTTTTCTTGTTGCTGTGTTTTCATTCAGTCGATTATTGCTTCCTCTGGGTATATGCAGATAAATGTCTGCATTAACAATAGAAATTGCAAAAACAAGAAGCACCAGATGTGCAGACGTTCCGTGTTTCCACATTCTGGCACTAGAAAGAAATTCAAAAGATTAATAGGAGAAACAAATGATTTGAAAAAATGCATATTTTTATTTAACTCTTTCAGTCCCACGGGGTTTAGCATCAGACCTAAGGGGTAGTGAAAAAAGACGTAAAATGTGTACATCTTGCATTCACTGGGCTTCTAGGTGGGAATCTATAAGCCTAGGATGCATTCCTTGGGACTGAAAGAGTTAATAAACAGTGACAATATAAAATAATTAAGAAAAGGCTATAAATAGATAAATCAAGACTTCCTTACCAAGCCCTCATTTGGACACCACAGGGGAAAAGATCTCGTAGAAGACCAAGGGAAACTTTACGTAGAACTATCATCAGGGAAGGCTCACTCATGGGCCACTCAAACATCCAAGACCTACAACGGATTGCAACGGACCGCCGTGCATGGAGAGTCATGACCTCTGCCCTATGTGCCGCACTCGACACAAGAGGAAAGACTAACTAACTAACTATAAACCCACTTAGGAATCAACATCATACAAAAATCTGACAACAATGTTACTACAATGTTTTACACTGGAACCTATAGGGTAAATGGAATAAAGGCAAAAAAAAAAAAAAAAAACACACAAGGCGACAAGATTAAGAGAATGAAGTCAAAAAAGACTGAGAGGACAAGAGGTCAGCAGCATGCCACTGCAAAAGATAAGATGACTTGGTTTGAGTTGGTTGATGGAAACTGCCTCAGCAAACATGATATGATCAATACATCAGATCAATTGCATTAGCTTTATTGTGAACATTGCACAAGGGTTTGAACAGTGAATGTTATGTAAATGAAAGGGTTTCCACGGCAGGTTATGAACATTATTTTTAAAGGACTCTTTTTCATGTCTTTTAACATAATGAGTATATGCTTATAGGCTCATACTGTTAGACAAACTGGCACTCAATGTGTGAAGTGGTCAATATCATAACTGCCACCTTTATTTCTCAGAACATTTCCTATCATCCATTTAAGCTTGAATCGATGGCTGGAAAAAAAAGCCATAAAAAGGAAATTCAAATAAAAGACTACCAGCCTGGCAGGTAAGCATGCTAGCAACTGAGCTACCACAGCTCTTAATTTGTTATATTGTGCTACCCTCATATTTTTATAGATCAATGGATACTTGGTGACTCTTTATTGGCCACTGAGGAAGGGGACAGAGCCTTGTGTGGGAATGTCCCAAGCAGGGTCCCTACAGCAACAGCTCACAAGAACTAAATGTAAATAGTGGAAAATATTAAACATATATTTATTCCACTGGTGTTCCATAAAACTATTTGAAGTAGGGGTGGTGAGGGTGGATATAACCACAACTGATTTAAACTTCAAATACATTGTCACTTATGGCAGGTCACTTTACAAATACAGATAACATGGGGCTCCTATGCTTGTGGCTTCCCTGAGCAAATGCCCAGTGGACTCATGCATTAAGATAGGCCTGGTTCCAAGGGAGTGACGCCAATTTTTTATTGATTCATTCATTTATGATGAATGTGACACATGCTACCTTTACTTCCAACTAAATTTCCTCAACATATTTTAAGATTAGACAACCTGGTTGCCCAGCATACAAGAAACAATATACCACTTTTATGACTATATTCAAATCTTGGAATTGTTCAAGTGTTTCAGCATTTTTCTTTTATGACACTTTCTATTTAAAATCTGCCTGAACACCATTTTCTTGGCTCCATTTTTGCCTCTTTGTTCTGTTTCTATGGGAGCTGATTTCACTTCTACAACAATCAGTGGGATGTCACAGTCACATTTTTTCACTCATTAACCCTTTGAAACCCAGAGGGTTTAGTTAGCATCAGAAGCCCAAGGCGTAATCAAGAGAGACGTAAAAATCAGCGCATCTTGCGTTTATTGGGCCTCTAGATAGGAACCTCTGATACGATACTTGGGACTCAAAGAGTTACACTTAAGTGTAATTAAAATGTTCATACTGAAAGTAAACTTTTAGACAATTTAAGGAGTGCTGTAATAACTTGGTAATAAGGCTCTTTATCAGAAGTTAGAAAATAGAAAAGAAGTCTTTTAGATATAAGGAAGTACAGGTAGGTTGCATATAAAGATCATAAGTTTCACAAATAACTCCTGGAAAGGCTGGGAATGATAAAATAAATGGTCTAAGGGAAATAAAATACAAATGAGAGAACTTAAATATTTTGATCATATTACAAACATAACATTCTTATGAAACAAATACTAAAGGAAAAGGCAGAAGACAGGGAAAGAGATAAAGATAACAGACAAACTGGAGGGTGTGGCATTTATTACCCTCAAACATGGAGATAGAGTGTCAACTATAATTGTGAAGGCAGTATCTGATTGACTGACACTTTCAGTCAGTTTATGTTTACATTGGTAACCATAAGAATTATAATGATAATGATTCACTAAGTAGAAAGATCAGTTTGAAACTTGACCTGGTGGTAAAATAGTCAACATACGTTTACAGAAAGGTGTCCTAAAATTTAAGTGTAGACATATATCACTTGTAATGGCAGTAACTGGATGGGGTTAAATTATGGTTATTTAACAACCTGACTAGAGTTGCTTTGCTTTACTTTGTTACTTTTTTCTAACTAAAAAAAAAAAAAAAAAAAGAACCAGTTCCCAATAGGCCTTTTGAAAAAGAAAAGAAAAACTTTAAATCCCAGTTATAACCCACTTGGGTTGAACTACAGACGTGACATAATTATTTTTAATTTTAAACAATTTAAATTAATTAACATTGAAATTACTACTTCTTTAGGAAACAATAAACTCATTTATAATTAATATCTTAGACAAAGAAGAGGAGAAATATTGACATCTTAAAAGATCTGAACATCAAGAAAGATTGGCTAATAAACAGCATCCTTTCTCGAAAGCTGAAATATTTTGGTCATATCAAGCGCCACCATGGATTGGAAAAAAATTATAACAGAAGGCATGGTACCTGGAAGGAGGGGCAGAGGCCGACTAACACGCAGATGGGCACATGATATAAGTGACTCATTGAGTGTGAAAGTGTGTGAGGCGGGAGAACTGGCGAGAGACCGAGTTTCTTTCAGACAGATTGTGATGAGAGCGACGTTCTGCAAAGGACCTGCTACATGATGATGATGAATTAATAATCGATACTGAACACGGGAGAAATCTAATATTATGAATTTGTTATATTGGGTTAGTTAACAACAGTTCTCATCACTTCGTCTACAAATCTTATTATTACTACTATACTATTATTACTATTAAAAACAAAGAGACTAAAGCTTAGTGTAAGTTAATTAACAAAGCACAGTTCTGTTAACCTTGTTCGAAGCAATGATGATGACAGTAGATATTTATAACAATTGAACAGACCCTGGTTTTGATCCTCCTATCAAGTCCTGCTAATTTGTCAAGTGAAATCGTCACCTTGTTTATTTTGAGGGTAAGATCACAGTGACCCACAACACAGAGACACTAACATAACACTTATGTGACATGTGACAGGATATCCTATATCCTGGTACGCTCACAGTCACTGTCACTGTTATCAACGTCTAAAAATAACGATAGAAGCGACTGTCTTGTCAGAGTTTTATGTTATTATATTATGTTTCTCATTACCGTCCGTTAGGCTGCCGCTCACAAGCCTTAAACTTAGTTACACACTTACAAACACGGATGTTGAATATATTAATATGTGAACAAACTCATGTATTGACTTGCTCATGATGATGATTGTGGTTCAACGTACTGAATAGGTATTATCAATTTACGGTACAGGTGAATAAAACTGGAAAACAGACAAGCGGAGGTATATATGAAAGTGTCAAATCAGTCAGTGAAGGATTCTGTCTTTTATCTGTAATCGCGATATAATAAGTTGATCTTGCGGCTGGCTAAATAATGCTGCGGCTTTTCTTGTTTATCTGTGAGGCTTTACTTTTACTGACAACAGTTGTTGGAGATATTTATTTACACAATCCCAGGTAAGATAATTTTGTGGTGATCATTATATTATAAATAAATGTGACATACTTATATATATATTTATATATACACACACACACACACACACACACACACGTACTAGTTGTGATAAATAAATTAAGCGATTATCCATTAATTCATTAAAATCTGGTTTAAAAAGTAACTATTAACTATCCATTCATTAACATCATATTCAATAATTAGTTATCAAAAAAAAATCATCTTCTTCTATAAATAATGGTTCATTAATATCCTGTTCAAATCTTCTGGGAGTAAAATTCAAATATGTGGATTGTTTTTTTAATGATAGTGAATATTTCTACCTTAGATTTTCGTTAACAAAATGTTATCTCTCTGTTCAGTTCTTTTATAGAGCCGCTGCAGAATATCAATATCTTCCCCGTCCAGTGTGCATGAGTTCAAAACCGCCTGACGTTGTAATGTTTTGGTGGTGACTAAATCAATCTGGGATTGGCATAACCTCAAAATTAATAGTACGCTTGTTTCTGGGGGTATAGCAATCAACTGAGCAGAAATTTGATAACTGAATATTTGAATAAATCGCAACAAAAATGTATAAAATAATCTCTTTTTGTACTTATACATTTTAACAAAGATTCGTTTGACAGTAGAATCTGAAGTAGTAATAATTTTCATTTAAATAATAACAACTTCTTCAACCCTCATGGCTATAACTGGTGTGTATATTATGTATTGCATTTTCAGTATATAATTTTGCTTTTGTTTTTATTTGTGAAGAACACTGCAAAATTAGTTTAATCATGAGGCTTTTGACTTAGCTATGCTAGAGAAGAATATAAGCAAACTAAATCCAGTACAACATTTTAAATCCATGAGTGAAGAATGTAAATCAAATAATATGGGAATCAACATCGAAATGACATAAGTAATGTCAGTAGGAAGAAAGAAGCAGAAAATAAATGTAGCATTAGAGCATACATATATATATTAAACAGGCATCTGAGTTTTAAAATCTTGGAACAAAATTTACTGAAGATGGTAAATTGGATGAAGAAATTAACATCTGATGCAGTAAAGCAGGCCAAGTACTAGGACATATAGCTCCCCCCCCCCCCCTTTCCTTACAGCATAAGGCAATCCAAATCAGCACAAAGAAACATCTTATACAAAGCATATTCATTCCCATCCTATGCTGTCAGTGCCAGACGTGGTCACTCACAATAAAACATAAAAGAACATTATTAACCATAGAAATGAGGTGTCTGAGAAAGGCTGTAGGAGTGACCAGAAGAGATAAAAATCAGGAATAAGGTATTGCGAGATAAAGTCGGCACGGAACCAATTATAAATTACATACAAAGACATCAAATGGTTTGCCCACTTGGAAAAAATGCCTTCTAATGCTATACCATACAAGGCATATACCAAAAGAGGAGAGGGACATAGAGCAAGAGGTAGACCTAGAACAAGATGAGAAGATAACATCAGAAAACTATATAGCACCATGATGTATCTATGTTTGAAGTAGCTAGAAAAGCACGAAACAGGACCTTGCATCTCCCTCAATATCCAAAGCGGTAAAAGAGGACGTAAAAAAGGAAGAATCTACTACCTGAAATTGAGAACAATGGTACACATTTATGAAAGGTGAAGGCACAAACATCATCAAATGTATTTAATAAATACATGATAAGAGCATTAACAAACAGAGTTACAGAACTGAGTCAATATCCATATCAGACATTGAAATAAAGATCCAATCTGGCAAAATATTAAGAAGAAAATAAAAATGGAGCCTTGGGTTCCGGTGTTCGCTTTATGGAGATAATCAGAGTATTAGTCCCAAGCACTACCTGCTGTGGGATTTACTCCTACTCTTGACTCACTATCATGGGAATGTTATGCTCTCTCGTTTATTACATTTAGTCAGAGCATACTTAAGAACAGGATAGGAAGGTTTTCCGGAGGGTTGTTATGGCAGCGAGGTTCCGCGAGGGACATGCTACTGAATGAATGAATGAATACTTAAGAAATCTGGCTTCCATTCTGACCATTTTCTCTGTCTTTTTAACTTCTTTGAAAGTCATACTTTCATTAATATTCCAAGTAGACATTTTCATCTTTAGACATCTAAGAAAGAGTTATTTGTATGTGCAGTTATTTGTTTGAAGAAAAAAAATTTTAAAGTGATGCTTTGGCCATTTCACGCCTCCATTTTCACTATGCACATAATCATTTGAAAAATGGCAAGCAGCTTATACATGTTATGCTTATGCTTATTGAAAATCTCATTATTTAATATAATAATTCATGGCTGCTACACTCAAGCTATTATCTAAAAACAGTATTGAATTCTTCCTCGTCCCCTCACAATAAGCTATGCTCCAAAAAGAAAATTTTATTACTATTATGATGAGACATTGACCTCAGTTAGTGGGTCCAGTTATAGATTGAGTGAGTATAAAAATAAATGAAGTCATTATTAATAATACCCTTTTATTTAATGATGTTGACACCTTTTCAGGTGGCAGTATTACACTGTACTATAGAAGACATAGAAAGCACAGTGTATGGCAATGGCTAGTATAACTGGATAGACCAACTGGAACTTATCACGAACTTGCCCACACAACGAGAGCCCCTTTCCCTCCCATTCATGCTATGGCTGGTCGCACAGCCTGTCCTATGTTGTGGCGGTGTTATTAGATGGATTCATTTGGCTTTCGCTCGCCATATTCACTCGCCGTAAATAATGTTTGTGGGAGATTGTGTTGTTGTGAGTTTCTTTGAGGTGGCGTAGTCGTCTGTGTACGAGTAAGGAGTACTTCAGGGGGAAGCACCAAGGCACGACTGTTCATAAGTTTCGAAACTGTGATATTTTTTGTATTACTACCACCCCCCCCCCCCCCCCTCTTTCCCCCAAAAAGAAGCAACTGACAAGGAACATAGAAATACAAAAACATCCTATTTTTGATACTCACAAACCGTCTGCAAGTAGCAAAATGTGGAAATAATCACACAAGTGAGTGGTGACAACACAAGAAAAGACAGACCTCCCCACACTAAAGGGTCCTTGGAACCCATGAGGTCCATTGCCTACATCAAATGTTTGTTCCTTATTTATAGCATATTCTTGACAGCAACAACTGCTGTACATATGTGATGGCTCTAATATAATGAAAGGTGTATAAATTTGAATGGCTTTTTAATAACTTAATTTTTTAAGCACAATATTCCATTATTTCTGCAGAGGCAGCAACAATCGACTTGATGAACAAACAAGAGAACGTGCAAATGCAAATAAGTGAGCATTACATTAGAACTACTAAGACAGATTTTATTTAAATATTTTTAAACATGAAAGAGTTGATTTCATTGTATCAGGTTCTATTCCACAGAACAGCTGATGCCACACCAAACATGAACTTTTAAGCTCCAGTGATAACCCCATGAAATCTATAAAACAGTTGCATTTGAAATGAACGACATAGTCCGAAACCAAATATGTGACGTTCAGAGCATAAAAAAAAAGGCTTGACCACTTCACCACAGGGATAACTGAGGGCTTCCATGCCACTCATAAAGACCTATCAGCACATTAGAATTTGCTTTCAAGGAGTAGAAGTCAGTAAATTATCTTCACATTGTTTAAATGGCAGCCTGGTATTTGGGACCAGTAACCTGTACTAACCTGGCAAAAATTAAGTCCTGATCTTCACAGTCTGGGGCGACAGCACTAGACATGTGACACTAAATCCTGGGGCTCAAAGACCCGCTACTCTCACCTCAACTACACTGCAGAAGTAGTAAATAGAGGCAATAATAGCAGAATTTGTACTGAACTTTCTCTTCCGTGTTTATGGTTATTTATCTGCCTTCTGTCCTATTGTATGTTGAGTCTAGTCTTTGATTTTTTTAGAGCAATACATTTATAGTGTTCCATTTTGTCAGTGTTCTAAGTATATTACCACTTTTCCTGTAAGTAATGCACACTCCAACACATCTAAGAAAAAGGCAAAATCCATACTGAGACTGAACAGCAATAAGATAAATGGAAAATTATCAGAGGTACATTTTAAGTTTGAGAGACTTAAGAAATATTACAACAGTAGATTTTTAAAGTTTGCCTGTTCCTGACCAGCAATTCAGTGTTATAACTATAATAAGTTGTTTATATTCCTTCAGATCAGGAATTTTTCAATTTATTTTCTACATTTTAAATTAACCTTATCACACTGATCTCCTACAACATTTGTATTTCTATTAGTTTGACTTTCTTATATTTTTCTTTTTAGTCGGTAGCAACTTCACTGCTACTACCAGAGTTTTATCTTTGAATGCAATCATTTAGCTGTAATAATATATTTTAGAAACTGATGAATAATATTGTCACATATAACTTGTTTCTGCATTCTTTTCTACTTTGAGCACATTTTTATTGGATGTTTTGATGTTTACTTTACCTTAAGTCTTTCTCTCTATTACATTATTCTGCACTCAGTTCACTTTAGCTTTTCGTGTTTGTTTGTGTGTGTGTGTGTGTGTGAAAATTTCTGGCATCTTGAATTTACTTTCACTATCCAGACAGCTGTTTCTATCAAGACTGAAAGGCTTAACAAGAAATCGGGAAAGGATTATTGGAGGAGACATTGCATTATCAAATACCACCTGTATCTTCGCAATTTCTAGGAAGCCATAGTTTGCCTGAACAACCATTTAGACCAATCTTTGTATGAAGGTTGTTGTTCACAAACCTTTCTATACAAATTTGGAGCAGTCTTTCTGTAACAATTTGGAGTTGTCTTTCTTTTTTCAGTTTAGAGCAATCTTTTAATAACAGTTTGGAGCTAGGATCATATACCCAGTATACACAGAAGCTGGTCCTTTGGTCGTTGTTTTGACTAAGTAGTGGGATGCTAAAAGACTCAGTTACCAAGCATGCCGAGGACACTACATTTATCCGAAACTAGGCAACCGCTGTAAATTAGTAATGCAGTGGATACCTGCCCACTGTGGAGTCACAGGCGAACGAAAAAGCTGATAAACTAGCCATGCCGATGTGTGGGCAATGAAGACAACAACTGGCTAACATACCAACTTGGTCTCTTATCATACAGAAGATGGAGAATGATCAAATCAATCAGAATGCCACCGAAGTGATGCAATGAGGAGAGGGGATCTACCATATTATGGACAGACCAAGCAAGTCATTATCCTTCGCCTTAGAACAGGGCACCATCGACTTCGCTCCCACATGTACAACAAATTTAAGATTGGCCAATCTGGCCATGTGTACTTGTGGACTGGCACCTGAAACATCACAGATCACATCCTTCAAGACTGTACAGATTCAACGTCTTTCAGGCAGCAAAACCTTTGGAAACCTTTTTAGAGACACTTGTGGAAGTCAAACTTTCTTTAACAGTTTGGAGTTGTCTTTCTTTTTAAGAGACAGTGCAAATTCATACAGTTTGGAGAGGACAGCTTTGCAGATAAAGACAATTTATTTCATGCGAACGAAAGAAGAAGAAGACTAAGACCAGTCTACCAATGGAATCACAGCTATATAGCTTTGAAATGTTAACTATTATTTCACCAAGTATTTATTGATGCTTTTCTGTTGTATATTTTTCCTTATATGTAAACACAAATTAGCTTATTCCTTCGCTGATTAATATATAATATGTTCCATGTTTCAGCCTCTTTGACTCACAGAATAATGACAGAGGAGGATATAATGTAGGCTCACTCTACTATTATCAAGGTTCAACATTGTCTGTAGAATGGTATGTCCCTGTTATTTGTTTGTCAGATTCTCTTTCTGCATTTGTAAACAGACATTAGTCTGGTTATAATTGACTTCTTCCTATTTGGTTGAGTATTTGATATTTTTCTCTTTTGTGAAATAATGCTATACATCTAGATTTCATTAGTCATATAAAAAAACTGCTATTAATTTGAATGGTGTTTGAAACCCTTCTTATAGCACATTACATTCTGTAGGCATATATACACTTTAGACCCACCCACACTGGACTACAGATTACTTTATAACCGGTTTGTGGTGTCCCAATATAACTGTGCTGTATGAGACAAAAGATTGTGAATAGGCATGACTACCAATGCCATATGGCCTGGACTTTGAGAAGAAATAGCTCTACAGCTGAACAGGGTTTCCCAAATTTTGTCCTGTGTGATTCTCTTCCTTGAGATGTTAATCCTACAGACTGCAAACCTAATGGGCGAAACTTTTGTTTTTAAATATCTAGTTTTCAGTGAGCTCACACAGGACATAAGAGATAACTTGAGCAGGAAAGTGTATACAGTGGGGGAGCTGGTGAGGGACAGTTTATTTTAGGCAGGTTGGGATGTGAGCAATGTTCTGTAAAGGGCTTGCTGCATGAGAGTAATTATACTTTTTAATGTCAGATATATTCTTGAATCAGATTAAGTCTGTCGATAGTCATTTATATTGTATATTAGCCATTTTTTTTTAACATTAATTTTTTTGTCAAGTTCATTTTGTCATTATAAACTGTTTTAACTGAAACTGGAAATTGTTTCCTTCAGGACCAACCAACACTCATGTCAGAACCCTAACTGCCATTGTGAGATCATACTGCAATATATGTGTGACTTTAGAGTCAGAGATGGTGCCACAACACAGTAAGTACGGTAACCCTTTTGCCCTAAAAACTCCTTAAAAAGTAGGTTAGGTTCCCTGTGAATTCCAAGAAAAGTCCTTTAAACAAAAAATTTACACTGGTCACAAATCCATTTTTAACAATCTATTTATCTACATTTTAACCCCCAAAAAATTGTTTTGAATATGTAAATATATTTAAAGGAAGTATTCAATAAACATGAACAGAGCGAAGCAATATAAAGAATACCTTCCCCAGGGCCTTAAGAAATATATATCGAGTTACTAATGCTGTGACCTCATAACCTTTAATACTGAGGTTTTTGGAAAATAATGACATCATAATGGCTTCTTCAAGGCCAAGACATTGAAGGCAAACTCCTTAAAAGCTATGTATAGTAGATGTAGTCATATCCTGACCTCATAAACACTGCACATGCACATAAAACAACCAATGGTATTAACTAAATGTCTCATAAGCATGTCACTGTAAACAAGCAGGAAAAGCAACATTTATGGGGAATTTGAACCTACCAGAAGTGCTGAGTTTGCACCTTTCAAGGTGAAAAGATTAAGCAGTCTTCTTCTTTCAAACTTCTCTTGTGTTAGTGATGTGACTTCTTTCTACAATGCAAGGCAAATCTCATTTTCTGTGTTGTAATTTCTTTGGATGGTATCAGCTGAAGAGTGCAAATATCACATCTTCGCTGCAAATAAACACATTGTAACCAAAGTCCTTTCTAAGATGAATGCAGAAAAAGATTTCAGTGATTTTGGAGTCCACATTACATTTTGGGACTCAAGTATTTGCTGACTATAATAAAATTGTCCAAAATAGGAAGTGTTTGTCCAGCCGTGGCTACATCCTTCCCTGCCAGATCAAAAGCCTTGGGTTCAAACCACATCAAGGCTGCAAGGTAAGCCCATCTTTAAATGGTTACTATGAAGTATCCTGAGAAGTAAAGGTGGCAGACATCATAAGGACTGTGTAGCTCCTTAACTTCCAATAAATCTATTGAAATATGGGAATATCACCTAACACCCAGTGCGCTGGTGGTCCTGCATCAACTTTTCTATTTTACAGTCTGCATTAGTTTCATTTCTCACATTTTTCCTAACTAATAAAACAGAAGATTTCATTTGGAATGACATTGTGATAAATTTGTGTCTTCATTTCAAATGACATTGTGTTAAATTTGTGTTTTCATTTTCACAGAACCATACCAGCTAACCGTGCCCAGTGTGAAAATTATGACTGTGACATGGATCGCAGATACCGCATGAATGAGAACTATGCATATTATTCCGAATGCTCAGTGAGAGAAAGAAACAAAGGCCTGTTTACTGCAGACCAGGTTTGTTTTCATAGTTTTAAGAATGTGTAATAAACATTATATGTTTTTTCTTAAAGTATAATTATTGCATACAGGTTTTTTTTTTTTTTTTTTTCATTGTAAATCTGTCTAGTAATGGCTTTTGTTTATCTTTTTCAGTATCAGGGGTTTAGCATCAGGACTAAGGGAGTGCTAATAATATTTTGAAATTTTGCAAGCCTAACCCATTAAAACAGAACATACAATCACAGGTGCTGTTCAGCATAAATATATTATACATCAAAATGACCAGGAAGTGTTAAGGATTAATATTAGGATACTGTTACAACTAATTGGGCTAGTAGTTTAATATTTGTAAATAAATAGATGGGATGTTTAGAGAAGTGTTACAGTAAAATAATTGGTTTTTCCCTACTTGTTACTGTGCTCATATGAAACTCAATAATCACAAATGAAAGTAAACTAAACCGTTAAGTAATATATGAATACAATTTATACACAATCTTTATGATTATTGTTTATATCGTTTTCAAATAAATGTGTAGAAATTTTGAAAATTACTTTAAAATGCTAGATTTTTTAGATTATAACCTCATTTCAGAACAAAAGAATGTACCACACGCGTATCACTGAAACAGAAAGAACTGTAAGATCTGTTCGCAGTTAGCAACTTATGCCTTTTCATGGTCACTGGTAAATTTAAAAAGTGAATATGCATCTTGCATGAATCAGGACTCTTGAGTAGGTATAGATTCACACACAATGCAATGTAAAAATGGTTTGACCCATTTGAGATAAAATGTTAACCCCACTTATAGCCTGATAAAGAAGAAAAGAAGAGGATAATAACCTACAGATGATATTACTTTTGCATGTAAATGAATTCAAAGATTGTTTTTCTTTTTTCTATGAACAACTGTCCATCTCATTTCAGAAATACTAATCTCGTAGTCTGCTTTAATTTAAATTTGTTTATTTGCAGAATTTAAATAATAGAAACACAGCCAGAAATACACGACAGAATCCAGCAGGCACTAGGAGAGGCTACGAGTGCCCAGAAGAAAGGGATTATTACCCTTACTGGCATCCTTCACCATGGGTGGTAGGTACTTGTGTCCCTGCACACACTTGTACACACTTGTACACATTTGTTCAACTGTGTGATTATGTCTGCAGTGCTCAGTTTATTTGTATTCATTGATGTGAATGTGCATTTGTTTAGGCAATGATCGTCATTATTGTTTTATTATTTCCTCATTTATTGCATATATTAGCTCCACTTATTGACTGCGGGGCACCATTTTAGGGTAATCAAGAATGGACCCGCTGCTGTCTGTCCAGAAGTGGATGACAAACCAGAATTGTATGTCAGAGTTTAAAGCTGGTGAACGCTAAGCATACATTACTAATTTTTTTTTAATAAATGTATGATTAGTGTTCAGATGTTCTTACTTTTTTGACCCATGCAAGTTCTTTCATCCACTGTCTCTCTCTCTCTCTCTCTCTTGCCCGACCTCCCCCCCCCCCCCCCTCCCCCGCCCCACCCCAACCCGTCTCTCTATCTCTCTCTCACACACATAAACACACATGTGGGTATATACACACAAACAAAATACAGATATGAAAAACCTAGATATAATTAAAATATGCAGGTACACTGTTCAGGATATTTGATACCACATCTTTTTCTAGATGTATATGTTGAAGTGTTCTTTAGTAGTAGTAGTAGTAGTAATTTAAACAACAGTATCCTGTTCAACCCATCTGGGTTATAATTGGGATAAATAGAGCTTTTTTTCTGATTCAGTAATGAATATTTATGTCTACCATTTATGTTTGGTTATGCAACATTGCATAGCATATGTGTTAATTGTATAAGATTGTAGGAGTATAGATTGTCACGTTCAGTATATTTTAAATGTACTTTCAAACAGTTATAGTAATTATGTCTTCTTCATTTTAAATTTTGTACCAGGAAAATAAACATTGAAAAATGTAAAATAGTTAGATAACATTTACCATTTTGACTATTGCTGTGGGTGGTACTAGGAATACCAGAGGTGGTTTTATGTCAGCTGTGGAAAAAAGTGTTTTTGTAATTTTGGTTGTTGCTGGATGTTCGAGGGCCCTTTGGGAGTGGGTGAACAGTGCCGAGGAACAGACGGATCATTACGGTCTGGGGAGTCTGGCACTGTGAGGAGTTACAAGGGGATGTGGCCGACGCTCGACACCCAGGGGAAAGGCAAGACGGATATACAATCAGACAGTTACTGGTACCATCAGAATTTTAACTCTTTGCTTGCTGCTGAAGATGAGGATGGAGCGCTTTTGGGGTGTCTTGAGGCTGTGATGTTAATTCTTAATCCAACATTCAACATTTGTAATGTTGGTCTTAACAGGAAACCACCTGTGGAGTGTCTTTGAATACCAAATCAGACCTGTAATGAGATCAATCAGGCTCTAAAACTATAATCAGAAAATTAGTGAATGCAGAAACTGAATAATATTTATTTTTCATTTTTTTTTATTAGTCATCAGTTTTATCAAAGATATATTTCAAACACAAGCATACTGTCAAACCTTAACATGTACATTTTAGGACATAGCTGTGATGACAGATGATGTATCTCGATGCTCCTACTACAAGGCAGAAAGTCAGAATGTCAAAGAAAAGTGGGCTTGTGTTCTTCCCATGGCTGATATGGAAGCACTTAATGGCAAAATTATTTTGCCAAACAATAAAGAAGGATGTGAGGTATTTGTATGTTTAATTTTTTTGTACAGAATAATGTACTTCATGTTTTTATAGTTGCTATTCCAGCAAGTTTGATTTTTCTGCCTTTTGCAGCCTAATTCCACCTCATGGAGGTGCTGACTTTCTGTGGCCAGTTCAGAGGCTAATTTAAAAAAAAAAAATTTTTTTTTTATTTAGTTGCATATTCTTTGCAAGTTGTTTCAGAACCAACTCTAGCATTTTTGGCTGTTTGTGATTTCACTAGGCAAATTTACACTCTGTAGTTTGTCATTGTTTTTGAATGGTCGGCTCGCAATATCTATGTCAGAACCAGTGCAAGGTGGTCTGCTGATCCCTAAATGTCCACAGCTGGGATCAAGTTTAGCCCATCAGAATTACGAAGAGCGTTCACAACACCTAAGTCGCAGATGCTAACACACTCATAGATTCAGTTGTAATTGTTGACAGCTATAGTAGGTAAACATGACATTTGCCAGTATCTGGTATTAGGTGAGAAGCTGATTGCCTGTTACCATTTGATGAAAGTAATGCCTGGACAAGGGTGCATATTTAGTTTTTGTTAACAGCGTAATTGGCTGTTGACAGCTATAGTAGGTAAACATGGCATTTGCCAGTAACTGGTATTAGGTGAGAAGCTGATTGCCTGTTACCAGTTGATGAAAGTAATGCCTGGACAAGGGTGCATATTTAGTTTTTGTTACTGCATAATTGGCTGTTGACAGCTATAGTAGGTAAACATGACATTTGCCAGTATCTGGTATTAGGTGAGAAGCTGATTGCCTGTTACCAGTTGATGAAAGTAATGCCTGGACAAGGGTGCGTATTTAGTTTTTGTTACAGCGTAATTGGCTGTTGCGTTCAGTCTACAGGGCAGCCCAAACCAAAGAAAAATGACTTTTAAACTGACAAGTAAATGAGCCAGTGAGCTAGCTACTGTGTATGCATACCAGCAACATTCATCTTTGGTCTAGAATCAAGGTCTGATAGTTAGTTGTTAACATACTGTAAGGGAGGGTATACATATTGTTTCTCACTGTTTTTGTTTTTAAATTTTTAGAAATGAAGGATCTTGAAAAAACTATGAATTTACATGAAAATAGGTTTCATATTTTAAAATTAGGTTATAATTTGACTGAAACTTGCAAGATGCTGCAACAGCCTATAAGGTCAATTGTTTGAGGTTTGCAGCTTGTCACATGTAGAACCCCTTTCAACTCTTCCTTGGTTGCCGGCTACTTTGCTGCCCATACTTTTTCAAACTTTTTCATGTCACACTAGAGATGTATTAGGGAATGAAAAGGCAGGTAGACTGCACAATTTGGTGATGTGTGACAAGCTAGTTGTTTCATGGGCCCCTTGGGGGGGGGGGGGGGGATGAGTAAACAGTGCAGAGGCACATATGAAATCACAGTATTAAGAGAATGGTGCTTTGAGGAGTGAGCTATATGTATGTGTGTCTGGTGTTAACTTGTCCAAAAGTTTGCTCTTTAGGGATAACACATGACAGGTGACCCCTTTCTAGTGTTTCCAGAATATTACAGCTTATTTTAGGTTCATGAATCCTGGAATGAACCCCCTAACCTGAGACCCCATTCGACTTGCCCTGTTCTTGGTGCTTATTAGCACACTTATTGTTAACAGTGTGGAAAATGGAAGACAGTGCATGAGAAGATTCTGGACAGCCTTTTGTCATCGCATGGAGGGGTGCCTTCTTTCTTCTTCTTTTTCTTCTTTTCTTCCACCTTTAATTCAGTGAAGTGTGTGTGTGCAAAGGGGGGGGGGGGATGTAACGTTAATTATTCAGCTCTGTCTAGAGCACTATTGAGATTGATGTTCATTTCTGTAAGGCTTTTTTAAATGCCATCACTCCATATTTTCCAAGATCTTCCACTCTCTCTATACCCGTTGTAACGTTTTAGTGTGGCTCACTGTGGTGGATAGTACCAGGGCTTTCTTGTTAGGTGTCCAAACCACTTCATTTGTTGTTCTTTGATGACCTGTAAGACTGACTTTATTCCTAGCATTCGTCTGACTTCATGATTTCGTATTTTGTCTTTCCTTTAAACTCCTGCAGCTCTCATTGCCATGTGTGCAAAAAAAGTTATTATACGTTAGTAAGGTAAGGTAAAAAGTAAAAGTCCCTCTACACGCCAGTGGCCATCAGGCATATAAGGCGAGATTCATATTTTTAAAGATCAATCTGCCCTTGATGGGTAATGTGGTCTTTACTTCCCAGGACTTTACCTGGTACCCATTTAAGGCTGGGTCAGCTTGAGAGCCATCATCATGTTTGAAACAAATCACATTTTTTGTTCAATCAATCAACATCATTGCACACTGTTCAGTTCTACTTCTAACTCAAGCCTGAGTCTGAAGAATCTCAGCACAATTCATGAACTCTGTTGCACCTGCGAGGATTCTGAAATAGTTTGGGTAGATTTTTAACTCCAGTTTGCCTGGACAGTGCCATTAGGCTACTCTGTTCGATTTCCAACTGCCAAGGGATTTTTTACGTACGCAAGGATACACACGGGTGTCTGATCTTACTACCCAGAGACCAGAGGAAATTACTAGAAGTCTACGTGAAAAAATCCCAGCCTTCACCGTGGCTTGAACCCAAAGCCTCTACCACTCAAGGTGGACATCTTACCTCGAGACCACTCAGCTCCCTCCCCCCTCCCTCCCTCCCCGCATTATGCATAAATACACACACACAAAGCATAATTCAGTAGAAGTAATGTATCTAACTGTTGTTGGATTTATTTCTTTTTTTTTAATACTTAACAGGCATATCAGTTTCCAAAAAATGTGAATGCATCAAGTAAACCAGAGTGGAAAAGTTTCCCAGCACACGGCGTTCCCCCTCCGGACTGCAGGGAAACAGAGTATTCACGGGATAACCACCTGGGAAATGGCTATGGGGGGCATCCTAACATGTATAACTGGACCATTCCTAGTTACCTGGAGCACGAACATTGTGTTCTGAGAGTAAGGTCAGTAATAATACACTTTGTGTCTTTCATTGTGTGGATTTACCAGTCCAAAGTGAGTGTTTTAATTTGTTTTTATGGTGTTGGATTCTTGTTCTTTTACTTGTAAAGATTCTGGTCAAAACATTCGCTTATGTCTGTATGTGTCTTTTTTCTTCATTTAGCTGAACTTGAAAATGATATTTATTAACTCTTTGAGACTGAAACAAATGTTACAATAATGCTTTCAGTACCAGACGATTTTATTGTAAATGTTTAATGAGATAACAGACACATTGAAAAAAAAGCAGGAGTGTATTACTTACAAAGAGAGGACATAGACTGTGCTGTATGTTAGCATATCTAGCCAGATTTCTATAACTTGCTCAACCAAATATAAAATATATAATTAGTTTAATTTGTCATCATGTTTGTTGGGTATCTCTTACACTCCAGAATTACCTTCATGGTTTCATTCTGTATGTGTTCAAGTTTCTTCAGCTGATACCTTGATATGGTAAGCATTCAAAGTTTATAATCTATCACTAACAGGATCGAAGGCTTGAATATTGTGAACAACATTCTTTGTTCTATATCTGTTACTGCCATAACCTTAAGTACATTGAGTCCTTTCTGGCATTTTGCCACAACTGCCTCTACATGATCTCTGAAGACAGGCTTCTATCGAAAGTGATTCCCAGGTACCTCAGTTTGCTTTCTCATTTAATGTTTCTGTCATTAATTGTGAGACCTGGAACATCAGCTCTTGCTATTCTTTTGTCCAGAGAGCACTATAAAATAGGCGCCTTTTCTGGATTGATGACATCACCCATCTCTGCACACCAGTCAGTTACTTTGTTGCAGTTGCCTTTAGTTCTTGGGCTGTCTGTTACCTGTTGCTCCCCTGCCTGTATGCAAGAACATAATCTGCAAATGTCAGTATCATTCCAGCCCCTAGTGCATCAAGTTCTGAAATCCTGCTTGTATACACATTGAAGAGCACTGGTGAACTTGCAGAACTCTAGGGTAATCCTGGGGTAAAACTGCAGGCTTCTGAGGTCCATGTACCCAGTCAAAGGGCGACTTGACATGAATGCAGGACAGCTGCTATCTAGTAAACCAGCAAGGGACACACCCCCTTCACCATGAGTGCAAATATCAATATATAATATCTGACTTTTGTAGGCATCCGCAAGATCAAGAGTTGACACGAATCTCCTGTCTATTCTGGAACCCCTCATACACATCAAAGGCAAACATGACCGCATTTGACCAGGTATCATTTCCTGGCCGCTAACTGCCCAGACCTCCTGGCAAGAGCATTTTCATTTTTAAAAAGCCTGCCATTTAATAATCTTCTGAAGCAACTTGCCAAAAGTATTTTGAAGAGTGAAAATCCCAAAACCGCTGAGTCTCAAATAATCTGTGCCTAGGTTTGGAAGAGGTAGTAGGAGAAATGACTGAACTACTCAAGATTTTCCCTAACATGTTGCATTTTGGTATTTCTTTCTTCTTGGAGATGATCCCAGTTTTGGTTTTCTTAAAACATGAGTTCTAACCCTGCTTGCTCGCCATAGCCACCAGGTATAACCATCCTTTCATCTGCCTCTGCCATTACTGCCTGTATTTACCACTTTTGTGGTGGAGGCAAAAAAAAGAAGGAGGGGGGGGGATCTTTGAGCCTGAGGGTTTAGGGCCAATGGCTAGTGCTGTTGCCCTAGACTCTGCAGGTTAGAATTTTATATTTGCCTCTGGGGGAAAAAACCACAATCCTCAACCTTACTGAGGATTGAAACCTGAGTCACCCGTATGACAGCCCTGTGCTCTTAACTGGCTTGTCACTCTTTTCATCAATGCAGTATCATCTGTTTACACTGCATTGCTGGTGTTATATCCTCAGATGGTACGTTTTCACATCTCTTTCTCACACTAATTTCACTATGTAGAGTAAAATTGTTAGGGAAACAATGTCTGTCCTCAATTGTGAAGTTTGATACCTGTCTTATGCCTCTCACTGCTATCTGAGCTTAGAAAGGGTAAAGAAAACTCTGCAACACACACCCCTATGAAGATCATAATTTGGTACTGGACCAGGAGAAAAGTTTCTACACTAACTGTTGTTCCAGTAATCTTTTTTTTTTTTTAGGGTTCAAACAGCCTGAACACTAATACATCAAACCAGTGATATTCATTAGTTTCCATACTGAGATATAACATTCTACAGCTTTTATGTTTTTGTGCAGTGAAGATTTAAAGCTGTAAAATCCTAATAGTAAAAGTAAAGGACCCTTTTCCATGCCTTCAGGTGTATTGGGCATATAGGGCTGGACCTATATTTTATAGACCAAAAGTCACTTGATGGGTGGTATGGTCAACATCATGCCAGCTGCCTTTACTTCCCAGGACTTTACTTGGTACCTATTTAAGGCTGGGTCAACCTGGGATCTGCAGCGAGCGTCTAGCGGCTACACCACGATGGCCCGCAGAATCATAATCGTACACTAATATATTATCAGTTTTCATTGTTGCTTCCTCATATTTTCAGCACAAAAGCTATTTACATTTATTTTTCATCTTGCACCCAGATATAATATTTCTACAAGTGATTACCCATCTTGGGCCACTAATGCATCCAGCAACAACAAAGTTAACATGGCAGACAAGTTTGGATTTTCGTCAGAATCTGCAGCAAAAGACAGAGGATATGTATTCAAAAATAACCCTGTCGTGACAGTGTTTGGTAACCTCACTCTGAATCTGCGTCTGGCCATTGACACAGCTCAGTTTGGACGTGTCTTCCAGGACAGGTAATAAAATTGTATACAGTCTTGGTAACCTTAGTTTCAGCTTCATAGCAAAGGGTCACCCACAGTTGCTCCATTCCTGTGCCAACAAAAATCACACAGAATGTCCAAAAATTATTGGGTTCTTCCGGGATTTGAACCCGTGACCTCTTGCACCCTAAGCAAGAATCATACCCCTAGACCAACGAGCCATAGTTTACAGATAAGGGTTGCTGAACTTATTGTTGGCAGGAAGTCTCACTTTACAGAATGTGCGAGTGTTCTAGAGTTGTGTTTATTTTTTTTTTTAAATAATGTGTTAGTTTTATTGGTTTCATTTCGCTGTGTGTATTGTTGCGCACATTAAAAAAAATCCCTTGGCAGTTAGAGATCGAAAAGAGTAGGCTAACAGCGGTGCTCGGGCAAAATATAGAGTTAAAATCTACCCAAAATATTTCAGGATCCTCTTCGGTGCTACTTCGGAGCATCTTCAGACTCAGACTTGAATTAGAAGTAGAATGGAGCATTTGTGGGTTACTAACCGTGTGCTGATACCAGCTGAATTGATTAAAGCGGGAGGAGAAGAAAGCATAAAAATCTATCATGCATTATGTGAAAAGATATGGAAATATGGTATTTGGCCAAAAGACTGGAAGAGAACTATCTTCATTCCAATACCAAAAAAGGGTGACCTGAAATTATGTACAAACTATCGAACTATTGCCCTGATCAGTCATGCAAGTAAAATTCTACTAAAATTTATAATGAGAAGACTGCATAAGAAAATGGAAGAAGAGATTAATGTAGCTCAGGCTGGATTTAGACAGGGAAGAGGAACAAGAGATCATATATTCAACATGCGTTTAATAATAGAGAAGTGTAGAGAATTTAATGTAAATCTGTTCTTATGTTTTGTGGATTATTCAAAAGCATTTGACTGTGTACAACATCAGAAGCTTTGGGAAATCATGAGGAATATGGGCTTTCCATCACATATAGTGCAGCTCATTAAAATGCTCTATCAAGACCAACAAGCAGCAGTCAGAATAGATGGAGAGACATCAGACTGGTTTGGCATCAAGCAAGGAGTCCGTCAGGGATGTGTGCTGTCACCGTATTTGTTCAACCTGTACGCCGAAAATATAATGAGAAATGTAAGAGATGATATAAACAAGGAACAATATGATGCCCTAAACATCGGTGGTCATGAAATACCAGAAATTCGTTATGCTGATGATACAGTATTACTATCAACATCACAAAATGGTTTAGAAAACTTATTAACCTCACTCCAAAGAAATAGTGAAAATCATAACTTATTTCTTAACATAGCAAAAAAAAAGATAATGCATACAAACAAAACTGCCATGGAGAAGGAAATATATGGTAATGGGGAAAGATTGGAAGTGGTGGAAAATTTCGAATATCTTGGGTCACTGGTTACCAACAATGGTGACACAATGAAAGAAATTAAACGGCGACTATCAATTGCTCTTCAAAGACTAAAACAACTGAATAAATTATGGAATTGTACAGATAGAATTACAAAGGTCAGATTTTTAAGAGCATGCATCTTTCCCATTGCAACATACGCCTGTGAGACCTGGACACTTACTAAACAAGCGGAAAAGCGCATAAATGCATTTGAATATAAATGTTACAGACAGGTTCTAAGAATATCTTGGGTAAAGAAAAGAACAAATGCATCAATACTTCAAGAGCTGAATATTGAAGAGGGTTGGCTATAAAACAAAGAAAATTGAAATATTTTGGTCACTTGAAACTTCATGGAAGTCTAGAGAGAACAATAATGGAGGGGTATATGCCTGGGAAGAGAGGAAGAGGAAGGCCAAGGAGAAGATGGGTGCAGGATGTGGCAGATGATCTCCAGATGGGTGTATCAGACGCAGGACATCTTGCTCATGATAGGAAGGTTTTCCGGAGGGTTGTTATGGCAGCGAGGTTCCGCGAGGGACATGCTACTGAATGAATGAATGAATGAACCGTGTGCTATGATGTTGATCCATTGTTCAAACTTCAAATTATTAGTTTCATTTTTCATTGCATAGTGTATTTTCATGTATTGTGTAATCCACTGGAGAGTTTATTGTCATATTTTATTAAGTTATCAGCACTTTTGTTGTATTTTATTGTTTTATTATGTCTATGATGCTCATTCAGATTGAGTGAAGATCAGATTGTGAGCCGGGTTGCACTGTGGCTAGTTGCTTGCCTGTCAGTCTAATATCTTAGGTTTAGATCTGCAGTGAGATTGTAAATTTTGTCGGAAATTCTGGTTGTTCATCCACTTCTGGACATTGGTATTTTTCTTGAACTTCATATCTGTTTTACAGATCTGGCTTATCTGTATGCTGGATCCTGGCCTCTTAGACACATGCACTCTGACTTCAAAGAAAGCACCCCTAGTTGGTTGCCTTTTATGGTATGTTTATTAGAGGGCAGTGGGTCTGTTCTTCTGACTACCCCCACCTCTCCCAAGGGACCTCAGAACATACACTGTGAATTGTTATATGATCTTGGCTGCCAAATCAACCCAGCCAAAAAATGAGAACCCAGTAATGTCTTGTGGGATTTTGACCATATCTTCTATTGAGTGCTGATTAATCTGCTACTTGTGTGAAACCAGTCCTCTACTTTACTCAATGAAGATCAGATCAAAGTGTCTGTTATTATGTTCTGTTGTTATGTTTTGCCAAAACTTTGCAGTCAAAAAGCAAAACAAAAAGGCTAACAGGTGTGGCCCTGCATTGGGGTATTTTTTAAGACCTCAAGCACACCATCCTGTTTAGGACAAATTTTGAATAGACTAAAGCAAATATTGATCCCTGGAAATCCAGTGAGAACAGTAACACACTTTATGCATCAAATACCTCCAAAAATATAAAAGCAACATGTGAAGCTGTAAATTAATTACGGCAATATCCATGTGGAAAACTTGTGGAGACATTACCAGAACAGGAAGATGAATCAAGTAATTTTTGAACAAAGTTTGTCAATTGTGTTTGACCTATGTCCCATTTTTGTTGTTGTTGTGCAATGACTGATTTCTGTAAATTTAGTCTTTTTGGTAGGCTTAACTCTTTTGGTCCAAGAGAATGTCTAAAGGGAATAGTAACCACAGTGTAATACAAGCAGTGTGTTACTTTTTAAGGGACAATATATGAGGTTTTCTACATATTTAAATATCTAGCCAGATTTCTTAAGTACACTCAGACCATTATGTAAACTATATAATTACACATCATATGGTGTTTGATACACATATACAGTTGTTGATCATACATAGTGCAGTTTAGGTACAGAAAGAGTTGAGAGTGTGTATTACCTATATTGTGATTTTATCAGACAATGTATATACATGTACATAGCTAGTTTAAAAATATGAGTGTCCATTGTTAATTGTTCACTCTCATTAAACATCAGAAAACTAGTACTGAAATGTTGCGTTGAGCCTGTTTTGTTGTATTGTAGTGAATCTTGGAATGTGAGCAAACGAATTAAGAAAAGTTTAGAGGCAGCTGAGATGTGGATCTTGAGAATAATGTTGTGAATACCTTGGACTGCCAGAATAACCAACATGAATGCCTGGAAACGGCTAATGAAAGTAGAATATTATATACAACAATGAGAAGGAGACAAACAGAGTTCTTTGGTCATATGATGAGAAAGAGAACACTGGTAAATATTGTGATGACTGGAAAGATCACTGGTAGAAGAGGCAGGGGCAGACCAAGAGTAATGATGGTGGATAGCTTAAGACAGTGGCATGGAGGAATATCATCAGTGGAATTTATCCAGAACACCAGAGACTCAGATCTGTGGAGATGCGTGAACGCTTGCACCAGCTGGCAAGGCACTTGGTGATGATTGTTTATGACTGTATGGTACACAGGGAGATTTGGACTGCACAATAGCCATAAAGGCTACCAATCTCCTGATATAAATTTTCTGACAGAAGGTTCTGAGAAGAAGAAGAAGAATTGTTTATGTTATGAATACATTATAAGACAGTGTTTAAAAATGAGTTAATTTTTTTAGGTCACATACATTTGCTGTTCGTAAACGCCCTGATTGGTTGCAAGATACAGCCATTTATAACTTGAATGTTCGAGGCAAGAGAGGAAACATTGTGCAAGTGTACCCAGCAGTGGAATATGACTTTGTGCCCAATAACCTGGAGGTTGCCTCTGGAGACTATGTACACATTCAGTAAGCACTGAACCAGTCATTTCATGTTTTCATCGTGTACATTTAAAAAAAAAAATCATTTCATCTTAATTAAATAGCAAGTTGTTTGCCATAACAATTTGGTGATAATCTGATAAAAATATTTGTGTTAATCCTTCACCAGTTCTTCAGCCCATGCAATTTTATGCTCAGGACGTCTTTAACTCTTTCGCCATTTGAACGCTTTAATAAATGGGTTACGAACCTGTGAAAATTCTGGAGAAATATCCTTTTAAAAACATTTTTACAGGTCACTAATAAAATAAATTAATACAAATATATTAATCTACATTGTTTTATTCTGTTTGTTCAAAATATTTATTACTACAATATAAAGGAAGTAATCAATTAACATTAACAGGATGAAGCATTAAATGGGATACATTCCAGGGGCTTAAAAATACTATGTATCGGGTGACTCATACTGTGACTCTATGATCTCTATCACTGATGCTATGGGGAAATTTTACATCAGCATGGCTTTAAAAAATGTCATTTGTTTCACACAGAAACTCCCCCTGAATATTATTTTTAGTAAATATATCCAGGCCTCCTAAACACTGAGGAGGCATGAATCCAACCAAAGTAATTAAAATATGCTTCTCAGAAACAGGTGGCTGCAAAAATGATGATTTTGCAGCAGACCGAATGCAAATAACCTTCTTTGTGGAGATGGCACCTATCTGATTGATTGATAAATTCCCTGTGTTGGTTCCAGGGCCCCATTGCAGCAAGGAACCAACAGTCTGCATACAAATAAGTCAGATCTGTAAAACGGATGTCCATGCAACACTCGAGTTTTAGAAGAAGTCTAAAGTCCAGAGGTGGATAAGCAACAAGAACTTTCTGCTGGAGTTTACAGCTGGTGAATGTGAAGAAGAAGTCAAAGAATTTATTGATAGACTAGATAAGATTGAGTCACATTTTCTTGAGTTATTACACTTATTAATAGATAAGATTAGGTCAGATTTTCTTGAGTCATTACACTGATTGATAGATAAGATTAGGTTAGATTTTCTTGAGTCATTACACTGATTGATAGATAAGATTAGGTTATTACATCCACAAACACACAAAAACATATTCCTCTTTTCAGGTACTAGGTCATCTCGGACTATTCTGTGATAAAATCTAAAAATTAAAGTGGGAAAAGAAGCTTTATTTGATTTATTCTGGTTGCTACATAGTTTGTTTTAAATTGATAGATGATATAACATATTCCAGATGGACTGGTTCCAATACAAATCCCAACAATAATGATGGACAAGGACTTGCAGGCACTGATCGTAGCAACATTGTTCTCTTGGGGTCACAAGTAAGTGTTTCATTAGTAAATTATGGCAGCTTTCTCAAAGTTAACAGGTTTTTTCCCGTATTTAGTAACTTATTTATAACTAATGACAGTAGAAGAAATAATCAAGACAACCATATAAAAATATTAAGAGATTAACAGAAAAATTGCAGAGTGAAAAAATCAACCATGATTTTTACATAAAAATTAAAAAAGAAGACAACACTCACAATTCAGTTATTGCAAAGCAGATTTGGTGACCTAGCTAAGACATGGTCTGAATAAGTGAAAAGCTTTGACAATTTTGGATTCATGTAATTATAGTTAATAGTTAATTGAAAGATTATCCTCATTGCACATTGGACAAGTCCAAAAGCACTGGGATACCATCTTCATTATATCCCTCAACATGTGGCGACTCATAGCACCAATTCTTTGTTGGTTTACTATTCTTTTTTGGCTACCTTGGATAGTGTTCATGTTTGGCGACACCTCTTTTGAGCTGAACTTCTTGAAGTCTTTTGAGTGTTGCTGATTCAAGAGTCTCCTGAATCATCTTCTCATGCTGCCTCCTTGAGAGCATTGAGAATGTGGGCTCCTTCCAATGATTTTCCTGTACCTACCATGGCCCTGCCAGCAAACCAGTCCGCTCGTTCATTCCCTCTTACACTACTGTGTCCTAGCACACAATGAAACTGTTTTCTGTCAGATGAGATTTCATCAGCGTCTCCAGCCATTTTCTTTTCATAACTAAATGTTAGATATTCGGTTAGATATATACTTGTATTAGCTCCAAAAAGTCTTTGACCATGTTTAGCTTGCCATGCATAAGTTTAACACAAAGTGGTGCAGAACCAGCTAATCTGTCTGCCTATTCATTTCCTAACAAACTTGCCTGCTCTAGAAAAAATATCCAAAGTGTGTTAACTCTGTGGGACCTCTGAAGCGATACTTGCCTCTCTGCCAGTATCTTTAGGGTAGTCACGTATTACGTGTTGCTTTCAATTACTCTCTACCAAAACCTCTCTCTTTTTTTCTGTTGCTTTTGAGGGCCATGCAATTGCTTTGGTTCTTGATAAACTTAGAAGAATACCGTAGTTGGTCTGACATAGAATTGTTGTCTATTTAAGCCTTTAGCAATGTTTTTAATTGCTAAGGCATCATAGCCTGAAGCCAGTTTTACCATAAAACCAATTTTATGATGATGGACATTTAGTCTGCAGAGATGCATTTGCTTCACCACTGTGATGTACAGAAAGGATATTCTTTACTTGAAACTGAGACACTGGCAACATTTCTAATTCTCTTCAGTATTGTTGCCAAAGGGAAAACCGGCGGGTAAGCACTTCCCACTAACAAGTGGAGGGACAAAATCAAGAGATGGATAAACAGCAGTCTCAGGAAGTGTATAACTAGAGACAGAGTGTTGGTGATTCATTATGCCAGCCTTAATTTGTTTGATACACCCACACAAAGGGGCCCATCTAAGTATTAAACTACAGATTTATTTTTAATTTTAAAAAAAATGAGTTTCTTTTATATTTTTAATTAGGGCTTGTAGAAAATTACTCTATTCCATTGTATCCTATGCAATTTTTTTCTAAATATTCTAATCTGGTACCTCGGACATTAATGTTTGTAGTCTGTTTTTTAACCTCTCTACTTCCTCAATTTGTTTGTAATGTAAATTAAAATTTAATAATTGCAGTGTATTAATATTGTATTTACAGGTGTATCCGGAAGGAATTGAAAATGCAAAATCTCGGGGAATTAATTATGGTCATTATGGAGTTAATTATCCCATGTCGATAGATAATGCAACATTTCTAAGCTTATCTGAGGAAGATGCACTTACTCTAGCATTTTTGGATCCTGGTAAATATAAAATACAAATCTGAGTATTGCTTATTAACTTGACTTTGTTGTTAGACTTTTACTTAGAATGGCTCGTAATTTTATGCAGACATTTTATTTTTGGTCTGTTACCAAAAGACCCAGATAGACCAGAGGCATGTGAAATAAGGCAGTGGATGTCGCTAAAAGAGTCACAGTGAGAAACTATGACATGAGGACAGTCACCATCATGTGTCATGTCAGTATGTGATTGCTGTTATGACTGTTCACCAGTTTATGCAGTCAGCAGTTTCTGATTAGGTCTGTTGTTGTCACAGTTACATCATGTTTCCAGGTCATATAGGTTGTTCTTTTAGTGAGGAGCAGAAATAGATCATTGTGGTCTGAAAAGAATGATGCAGCGGGAAATGACCAGGGTATCTGGTCAACGAGCAGTACTTAGTAAAAGGATTCTTTTCCATGCCTCCAGTCCTATTGGGCATTTAGGTCTTGATCTATATTTTATAGACCAATCGGTACCATATCAAAGAGTCAGCTGATGAAACTTGAACGCATACAGAATGAAGCCATGTGGGTAATTCTGGGATGTACACGAGATACCCCGGTAGTATGTAAGCGATATATACTTGCACTGCCTACTATTGCAGATAGGCTCAAAGTTCTGCAAGCAAAGTCATATCTCAGAGTAGCTGCGGAGAGGCACCTCTTGCATGAAGCCCTGGATAGAGCTAAGGGTCATAGACTGAAAAGAGGAAAGTCTTGGATGGCGCAAGCTGAAGACACAATTGGACATGTGGGAGGCTTGATAAATTTATACGAGGAGAGGAGAGGGTCAAAGTGTCCGATCATGTTTCAGACTTGTGTAGGGTTCTAATCACTTTGGGCCTTGAGTGCAGGGACTGGCCAGCTGGTGCTGCAGAATCAGAAGTTCAAGAAATGATTCATGACAATTCCTGCCCAAGTGATGTGATTGTATGTACAGATGGCTCTGTGGTGAGGGGCAGACGAAGTACATAGGGGTTTATAGCGAAGGCGAATGGATGTCGTTTGGTGCAACACAGCCTGGCATATGATATCACGTCTAGTTTGAGAATGGAGGTGGAGGCAGTCACTGCTGCCTTTTGTTGGCTTGAGAATCAGCTGTACACACATGTCGTCATTGTAACTGACTCACAGAGCACACTGAGAAAGGTGGAGACAGGCATGCTCCGTGCAGAGTGGCAAGCATCACTTCAGAGGTTCTGGGTTGTTAGCATCCTTTGGATATTTTTTCCAGGTCACACCGGTGTGTTGGGAAATGAGCAGGAGGATAGACTGGCCGGTTCTGCACCACTTGGTGGTGAACTGATATATGACAAGCTGGATATTGTGAGGGCCCTTTGAGAGCGAGTGAACAGTGTCGAGGAACGGATAGATCATTACGGTCTGAGGAGAATGCCACTGCGAGGAATTGCAAGGGGATCTGGGCGACACTCAGGGGAGGGGTGAAACGGATATACAATCAGTCTGTTATTGGTACCATCAGAATTTTAACTCTTTGCTTGCTGCTGAAGATGGGGACAGAGCGCTTATGGGAGTATCCCGAGTGCTGTGATGTCCATTCATAGTTCAGTATTCAACATTAGACCATAGGGTAATCGGTGGGTGATGTGGTTAGCATCACATTGGCTGCCTTTATTTCCCAAAACTGTGCCTGGTACCCATTTAAGGCTGTGTCGACCTGGGAATCAAGGTCATTTTTGAAAAAGTCTGAACCCATCCTTTCAGGGCCTGAACCCATGACTTTCCGATCCGCAGGCAAGCATCTAGTTGCTATACCACGGCATCTCCCTAATCAGTACTTAGAGGACAGGCTAAATGGGCATACATTAAGACTGGCACTGGTACAATCAGAATAAGGACTCTTCTACTGTTGTACTCTCATCAGAGATGATCCTGAGATTTTAACTGAGTACTGTTGTACTCTCATCAGAGATGATCCTGAGCAGCTACACAGACGTTAGGCAAAGCGACATAGGAAGTAGAAATGGTCTTCTACCAGTATGTATCATGTGTCCATCAAAGTGATCTATTATTCGTTACTTGCTAAGTAGCCGTCAAAGCAATTGGTGATGTACACAACTTGTGGCATCTTTTTTAGAATCAGATAACTCATTTTTATTGTTGGTTTGCGACTTATTTTGGTGGGGGGGGGGGGGGGTGTATAAGAATGTCTGTATAATAATAAAAACATATTGCTCTTTGATATATATAAATATTTTGTTCTTTAGATTTCTCAGAAACTGAGCCAGTGTAACTTGTCATTGCCATATTCATGCTCAGAACGTTGAAATCTGTCAGAAATGGTTATTTTTCTTATTGCCATGCCTTTCATCAAATATTGTTGTCCAGTGTAATAAGAAAGATTTTATAGCCAAAGCAACACAACTGGCATAGGTGATAAAAACATATCTCCACACAGCTGGCACGCAAGGACCAGACGATAACCCAAAAAAAATTTTTTTTTTTTTTTACTCTGGTAGTGGATAAATGAGAACACATGAGAAATCTTTTTAAGAAAATTATAGTTTCATCATTAGGACTTGTTTTCGGATTGTGATTTATTTTTTGCAGGTCAGTTTCGTGGTGAAGTATCAGAGCTCGATGATGCAGGAACATATTTCAACCTTCCTCCCAGGAAGGTCACACAGACAGGCACATATCACTACATGAGCACGAGAAACAATAACTTCTCAAACCGAGATCAGAAGGGACGAGTAACAGTCACTTCTGTGGCTTATAAAACTCAAGCAATAGGAAAAATGGGCGGGACTATTGCCCTGCAGAATGGGTATGTTTTTTTTTTTTTTAATTCTGTTAAGTCCACAAAGTGAAATGATAAGAGAATATTTATACCGTGTGGGTTCCGGGGCCCCCTTGTGGGGAAAACAAGAATAGATCCACTGCCTTCCAAGCAAGCATGTTGTAGGAGTCGACTAGCTGGGAACTTCCTTCGAAGTCAGAGTGCATCTGTCCGAGCGGCAAGGAACAACAAGCTGCACACAAATAAGTCAGTAAAACGGATGTACACGCAAAACTCAGGCCCTGGCACATAGCCAAAGTCCAAATTGCCAAACAACAATGACTTTCTGCCAGAGCTTACAGCCAGTGAATAAAGAAGAAGATACAATTTTTGTAAAATTTGGACCAAGAACACTAACATCCTGCATGATCTGAGCATCAAGGAGAACTGGCTCATCAAAAGCACCCTGTCCCAAAAGCTGATGTATTTTGGCCTGCAGAGAATGGTGATGGGAGGTACAGTTTCCAGATAATTCTTCCTCTTCTTCTTCACTTCAGCAGCTGTAATATTTGGTGGAAAGTTCTGGGTGTTCATCCACCTCCAGACTTAAGTCTTCTTCCAGAACCTTAGTGTTGCATGCAAATCTGGTTCAAACATCTAGTTTATTTGTATGTAGACGCTTAATTTCTTGTCTATTAGGCAGATGTACGCAAAATTTGCTAGACCTTGGAGAGGGTGGACACAAGAGATTTAAAATGCATTTACTTATGAAAATACATAGGGCTGGAAAATTGGCTAGAGAAATAGATACTTTCTGGTGTGCCGTGACGAGAGCAATGTTCTGTAAAGGACCTGCTGATTGACATGATGTGATTGTGCAAGGGGGATGTCCCTGGACCAGGCACTGCAAGTCAGCAGTGTCAAGGTTGAGTTGGCTAGCTCTTCATGGTGGGGTGAAAAGCGAAAATTAGTAGCCTGCCAACAGCTCATAGGAGACCCCAAATCAACCCCACCTCCAAGTGGTTCTCTCCAAAAACTGAGTCTGTAAGATCTCAGGCTAATGATATTAATGCCCTCTGAGAAATGGGAAGGGTGGAGGACTTTGGGGGCAATGAATCCACATAACTTGTCAGAATGATAGACTTTGGTGTTAAGATCGACATAGCAAAAAATTAGACCACATCAGAGGACATGTTAATCAATATAGAACTAGTATTATTAGCCATAGGACGCTGGGGTTCATACTGAGGGGAGGATCTGAGCACCAGAGTGCAATGATGGTAACCCAAATAACAAAGAGAAATTAGACTGATCATTATGGATTTATGCGAGCAATGGATAGACAGAATATACGTGAATACCAGCATCCACATAGTACACACAAAGGTTTGCACCAGTTGCTTCTTCAAAACCTTATACTAAAAGGACTATAGAGTGGGAACAACATCATGTAGAATACACTGAGAAGCAGAAGATCAAATGATCCGAACATCTTGTTATCAAACCAGTTACCACTGAGCAGGTCCCACATTTATGAAACACTGATAAGATCAAGAGGATGCCCAAGCAGAAAATGGACTGATGACATTAGTGACATTGTACATTGATAAGGGATGACAGTAGCCTGTGCTGTCAACACTGAGCCCTGGATCAACAACAATTTCACCCATTTTGCTTAAGTGGACAGTGATGATGATGATGTTATAATTATGGTATAAGAATGAGTCAGACTTGAACACTAAGAGCAATGAAGAGAAGAAAACTGAAACAACAAAAATAAAATGTTTTTTAGTGTGATTGATTAGAACATATTCAGAAGACATGATGTGTTAAGTGGCATAAATTAAAAATCTATAACAATTCCTAAATTAATAATGGACAGAATCAGAAATAACGATATCAGGAAACAAGTTAGGAGAGAAAAAGTATTAAACTATATCAAAAAGCATCTAGCCATTGCTCTGCTGCTACACATAATATATACCAATAACTATTTTTGGTTTTTTCACAATATTCTACCCCAGATGATGTCACAGGACTGTCCATTTTCGAGGGTGACAAGACTGGGTTTCCTGGCTTTCTGATGCATTTAACGACCCCAAGATATGTAGAACTGGCCCTAACCCCAACCCACCTACATCCTACGAGAGAGCGCAGCCTAGGTCCCACGACTGCATGTAACCTAGTTTCCACAACTGCATGCAGCCTATCTACCACCCCCTGAAATATTAGCCTGTCCCGTGACCTGTGGATTTCCCATGTTTGGGGTAGGATATTAGGAAAGCACCCTATTTTCATAGCAAGAGGTCAGAGTAGGGAGTCTACTAGATGTAGAGGATAGCTCACTGCATGCACAGTGGAGCACATATAATGACCACATGTAATATGAGGGTTGCAGTCACTGCAGTGTTTTGGGAGTCATCTAAGACTATACACAATCAGTGTCATTTGGCATCATGTTTGTCTCCTGCCTTCGGTCACATGTTTTGCCACCCTTTGATCAAAATATTTTTCCATACCATAATCGCAGGCTACCCATCATCTTCTCCTGTCTCATTTCTCTTTCAACCTTCTAATTTTTAATTATGTTTTTTTTTTACACTTAACCCTTTTCATTTTCTAGCTCACATGTAAAAAAAATGTGAATCTACTTCTGGTAGTAAGCAGCTGCCTTCAAGCATTTTTTTTTTTAATTTTTCCAAGGAATTATCAGCATTTTTCTACTTAATAACACCATGCGGTTCAAGCTGTTCATTAAGTAAGAATCACTAAATTCCTCATTTCTATTACGTAATTTTTTTAATTTTTATTAAAGGTTTTGGTTCTGTTTTCTTATAGCTTAATCATTTATGATTACAGCATTGCTAAGGTGACTGTTGATGAGGACACCTTTGACTCACTAAAAATTGTGCGGCTGGAAAGGTTATCCGCCGAAGAAGGAGAACAAGTTTTACATGAGGCTAACAGAAAGCTAGATGTAAGTTAACACTTGTGTAAAATTATACACATTCAACACAAGCATTTATTTATTTTTAGCAATGTCTGACAAGCTATTTACCTTTTTAATTGATGTAGAGAATTTTTTTTTGATATGTTATTATTTAAAGATCTAGAATTGTTGCATGGCTTTTCTGGCATTCACCTCAATGAGATAGTCACAAGCAAGAATAGCAGGTTAAATAACTGCAAAATATTTATTTAAATTTACTTTAAGTAAAGGCAAGGTATCTCAGTGATTTTAAATTTTAAAAATGTTTTTCGTTCATAAAAACTTAATCAGCATCTTCAACATACATTGCATGTTTTTCATTACTAACCAAATATATACTTGTGAACTCTTCAGTTTGCAGAAGGTTACGGCTGATGCCTGAGGGTGGCAATAATGACAACAAAAATGACAGCAATAATTGCAACAGCCAACTCATAGGTGTACAACTACCACAAGAGCCAAATAACATGATCTGTGTAGGAAACCCAGTTGTATTTTAGTATGGCCTGACTAAACAAAAGATGTTTAAACATAAATATATATTTATTAATACACAAAAGTAACATCCGGTCACATACAGTGCATTGTTTGGTACCGAAAGAGTTCAGTGTCACTCTAGTATAATTCAGTTATTCCCGAACTGTGCGCCGCAGGGAGCCGCAAACTCTTTACAGGGGTGCCGTGAAATATTGTAAAAGCTTCATAATAATTTAAACCAATACACGAATAGTCATACTTTTTCTTAGGTTAGGGTGCCGTGAAATATTGTAAAAGCTTCATAATTATTATAACCAATACACGAATAGTCATACTTTGACTTCGGTTAGGGTGCCGTGAAATATTGTAAAAGCTTCATAATTATTATAACCAATACACGAATAGTCATACTTTGACTTCGGTTAGGGGGCGGTGGAACATTTTTTATTTAAAAAAGGCACAGCTACCAAGACAAGTTTGGGAAACATTGGTATAATGGTTGGTGCACTTGAGACCAGCAACATTTGTTATTCTTACCCACTACAGCTGTGTGGAAGCCATGGTGGCGCAATTGCCAGCAAGCTTGCCTACCAGCTTGGTGATCATGCGCGGTAAATCTTCCTCAAGGCAGGGAATCTTTTAAAACTTATCTGGGCAACCAGATAAACCAGCATGAAATAGCTGCCTGGAAAAGTTTGTGCAAGTAATCAACTGGCATTCTTCATATCGTCAATGCTTGCGGCTCACTATATGAAGAAAAAAAAACATCCTTTAGTTTTCAAATTACAGAGCCTCGCTTGGAAAATGAATACTAAATAATTGTCTCCCCAAGGGGGTTCCGGAGCACCATTTTGGGATGCAAAAGAATCAACCCACAGCCCCCTAACAAGCATGTCGCACAAGGCGACTAATTAGGACATTTCCTTCAAAGTCAGAGTGCATCTGCCTGAGAGGTGAGGAATCAGCAGTCTGCATACAAATGTCAGATTTGTAAATTGGATTTACCTTCAAAACTCAAGTTCTGGAACAAGAATAAAGTCCAGATGTTGACGAACAAGCAGAACTTTCCACTGTCGTTACATTTAAGAAGAAGATTAATGTGTTTGAGTTATGAAATAAGTTTCAAGTCTTGACTTTTTTCAGTGATAACCCTTGTTATCTGTACATTACAGGAAGGAGACAGTTACGCCAGTGGATTTGTGTTTATTTATCCTGATGAACTGATTGGTGACCAGAAAGACAAGGCATTTACGCTGGAGATGAAACTGGACAAAGACTCCAACAATGTTGAAGTTTATTACGCAGCAACAGATCTATCTGTCTGGTCTAAAGTGGAAGCCAGAATACAAGATGGAAAAGCTACCATCCAGGCCAGATCAGGAGGTGTGTGGGTGGCACGGCAGCACACAAATGTTGGAATGATAGTAGGAATTGTAATAGCGTGTGTTGTCGTCATTGCAGTTCTAGCAGGAACAATATTTTATTTTGCACGCAACCCAGGCAAGTGGCAGGCAGTGAGAACAAATTGTAGAAATGCCAAAAGATCAATGCATAGTCATGTGTAAATATCATTGGTTTTACTCCAGTTATCTAAGTGTAGTTTAGGTGATTTTTACCTAAGTGCATTTTCATGGCTGTTCTTTATCTTTTTACAAAACCAAAGCAATGTTTTCCTGTTGTAAATTTGAACAAATACTATGCAAACAATAGATTGCATAATTTATTGCAAGGCATATTTTACTTATCTTTTCAGGTGCATACTAAAGTAACGATTAAATAAAAAGAAGCAAAAAAGTGAATCCTTTGTAACTGAAGTAAAATTCAACTACTCTCACAAGCAAATGCCTGTTTTACCAGGGCAGGTGCAGACTTATTATCATGTCTTTCTATTTACATAGTTCTGGAAAGAGGTAACGAATAGTGGCGGCTTCAAGAAATCTTAGCATTCTGCCATTAAACGACTTATGAAGTATTTAAAACGCCCTCTCTTTGTTTACAGCATGTCCAGGATTCAAATCTATTGTTTGTGTCTTCCTCGTTCGAACTTTACAACATGCTAAATGTACAATATGCTAAAGGCACTCCTACTTCAGTGAGGTCAAAAAGAAGTACTAATTTTTATGCAACTATACAGTTTTTCATAGATTTCAATGTTCAAGTGTTATTTTCTCAAAACAAAAACTTAGTGATGATATCAGAGGAGAGTCAGAACAGAATCAGTTCTGAACTTTATTGGTTGACAACAGATCAGATGGTTTGGCCATGTAACAAATCTGGCATCAGACAGGGCACAGAGAGTGGTGTTTTACAGATATATTGGTAACAAACCCAGAAGTCAACCACACAGAAGATGGACCACAGAAATATCAGAGACATTGAAAAGTACTATATAGGAAGCGAACAGAAGGGCCTGTTCCAGACATCACTTCCTGTCCTGATGCTGTGAGGCACTCCAGGAGTAGAGAACAGAAGATTTAGCACTTAGGTGGCTTTGGAATCATCATCATATTTTTGTGCCATTATGTCACAAAGGGCTCGCAGTCAACTCCTCCATATTTATATATATATATATATATATATATATATATATATATATATATATATATATATATATTATATATATATAAGGAAAGAACTGATATGATTGTTAGTATTAAAGTATATAAATGATTCAGTGTGCGCACAATTGCACGCACACATACACATCTGTATAATAAGAGCATTCACAATTTGCCAACTTGCTGTTTCCTAGATGCCAGAAGGATATATTGCAACATTTCACAAAGAACTGTCAGTACTTTTTTTTTCATAGTAATGTGTTTGTTGTGTATATATAAATATCATTGTCAAGTGCCTTATTGGTCAGCATTAGGGGGGGGGGGGGGGGTTGTTATGTCTACAATTTGTGCCATATTTGTAACTATTTCCATGTATATATAAATATCATCATTGGGTACCTTACTGACTGGGTTGTCATAATATTCATGGTCTACAATCTGCACCATTTATGCATCATCATTAAGTTCCTTGCTGACTGGCATGGGGGGGGGGGGGGGGGGGGGGGGGGGGGGGGGGGGGTAATACCATGTCTACAACTTGCACTGTTTGTTATGCTTAAAGACATGAGTTATGATTCTCTTGTTCCTGTTTTTCAGCAAAGTAAATGTGTGCTCTCTCTCTCACACATGCAAACACACACCAAACTCCACACTCATGTAGGATTTACATCCTAAATTCAGATAGACACATGATTTCACACATTGCTAACAAAGACAGAATAGCGTACCAATTATAATTTTATTTCTACATATGTAAATTTGCCTGCAGGTCTGTATATTATTACAATAATATTAAGACCACAAGAAACCATGGCCTTCCATTGCTGTCCCCATTACAAGAACACTCCTCCAAGAAATGACACACACTCTTAAGTACCAGTTGGCAGGGATGTCAAACTTCTCAAAGGGTGCTTCACTCCATAGTCATTACTGACTGTTGGAGGCTATGTCATACATATAAAATAACCACGTATACATCTGTCAGTCAAAATCGTAATAGTTCCTAGACTCCTCTAATGCCCTCTTTGCTCTCCCTGTATTCTTGAAGCAGCGGCGACCTATTGGCTCAGTGTCGTTATAACATTTGTCAAACACTTCGTCCACCACCGTCATTGCTTCTAACTCCGTTACATTCCGCACCAGTCGTATAGACTGTAAGGCCTTATTTTTCACACACAGCTGAAAGAATATAAAACATGGTAAACCTAATTTATCTGAAATTGTTCATACATGTAATGTGTGGAAAATTTCAACAATTAAATTTTCGTCTTTCATCTAATATTTAATTACACTTTTAAATGGATGAGTGTTTAACAGGCTTTAAATGCAAACATTTTCTTGTTTAATCTAACCTTTGTTTCTATTTTTTTTGTTTAAATGTGTCAGAAAACTTTTTTAGAGTTGCAAAGAAAGTAACAAACATAAAATAATGATATTTATCTAATGTTGCATCAGGATCTTGGTGGTACATGACTAGTACATGACTAGTTAAATCTTCTTATCCATATCCTCTTATGTCGCTGCTAACACATAGAGCATTCATACACAAATGATCTCCATTGATGCCAGTCTACTGTTTATAGTATCCAACATCACATTACATTCCTTCATTTCTCTTTCTATTGTCCTTCTCCAGGTATCCCTAGGTCGACCACATCTGTTTATTTTTTTTCATTTGCCGTCCGAGTCCAAAATGTCTACTGCTGTATACAACTGAAACATGGACAAGAAGCAGACAAGCTGAGAAACATCTGATGTGAGTGGTATTATGATTTCTGAGAAAAAAACACGTCATAGACAGAAATGGAAAAAAATGAACCAGCCCTTCATTAATCATAGGAAAAGTGTAAGCTAATTAAAGTAAGAACTAAAGTCAACAATTTGTTGGCTATGTTATGATTATAAACTTGAAAACTTGGTAGCAACTGGCAAACTTGGGGGGGGGGGGGGGGGTTATTTTTTCTTATCAGACATGCACTTCATTCTAAACATGGTTTATAACTGGCAGACATGATCATGGAGGAGACTACAGTACACAAGAAAATCATGGTATTTTCAGCTGGGGTTGTAAAAGGCATTTGAAAGGAGATTTGTGACTTTATGTTTCACCACGGTAATCTTAGACTAAAAAGATATTCCTTTTTTGTGTAAATGTTGCTGTAATTTCTATTGTATGCACATGAAAAGATGCAGAAATGTACTAGGTAACAAATTTTTGTTTGTTCCTCCCGTAATTTAAATTCAGAACTGATTGGGGGGGGGGATGCTTTGATCACATATCTGTCCATAAAGAAGCAACGATTCCATGCTAGATAGATAGTCAAAGTATACTAGAAATAAAAAAATGTACGTTTCATTCCAGGTTTTGTAAATATGGTGTCACAAATGTAATTATATAAAATGTTACAAAAATATATATTTTTGATTACTTATAATCTTAAGTCAATCCTTAATAATACAAATATGTCCTACTTTGGTAATACTTGTTTCAGCAGCCTTAAGATGTAGATCTGAATGTATAAAAAGTTAAGATTCCTTTTCACGCCTTAGGCATATTGGGCATATGGGAAAAGCATCCCATATTTTTACAAACCAATCGGAACTAGGTAGGTAATGTGGTCGGCATTATGCCGGTCTGAATGTATAGCGCTTGTATTTGTTGATTATCTTTAGGAATCTTGGACATTCATTGAGTGAGAAATGATGTGAAGGTTGCAGAGATGTTCTCAAGAAAAATGATGAGAACACCAAGAACAAATACACAGCATAATTAAGATATTCTGAAACTAGTTAACTCACAAAGGGGACCAGTTCTCTCAATACATCATGAGAATGGAAAAAATTTAGTATATTGTGACAGTAGGGAAATTAAAGGGGAACAGAACCAGTGAAGACCATGAGAGAAGATGGAACAGACCAGCATCACAGTATGAAAGAACACATGTATCAGAAATGATTAACAGTCATCATCATCATGTAGCAGGTCCTTTGCAGAACGTCGCCCTCATCACAGTCTGCCTGAAAGAAACTCGGTCTCTAGCCAGTTCTCCTGCCTCATGCACTTTCACATTCAAGGAGTCACCTATATCCTGTGCCCCTCTTCGTGTCGGTCGGCCCCTGCCCCTCCTTCCTGGTACCATGCCTTCTGCTATAATTTTTTCCAATCTGTTGTGGTGCTTGATATGATCAAAATATTTCAGCTTTCGAGAAAGGATGCTGTTTATTAGCCAATCTTTCTTGATGTTCAGATATTTTAAGATGTCAATATTTCTCATCTTCTTTGTCCAAGATATTCTGAGAATCTTTCTATAACATTTCAGCTCAAAAAGCCCCTATTCTCTTTCTTAAGGACTGAGAGATAGTCCACGACACACATCCGTATGTAGCCACAGGGAAGATGCATGCTCTCAAAATTCTAATTTTGATCTCCTTGCTGGTGCTTAACCATAGACTTTTAAGACTGTTCAATCTTGATTAACAGTACAGGTGACAAAAGGCTGTTAACAGACAGGACAACTAAAGCTACATGGCAATGACTATAAGAAGAAGATTAAATGAATGTCTGCATTTTTTTTTTTTTAAACAGAATAAAGAAAATCCACACGCCTTCCTGAATACTTCCACTACAAACACAATCTGATCTTCTTTGATTTTTATCAAACATACCTGATGCCTTTCTTTAATATTGAAAAAGCTGGCTTCCCCTGAAGCAAATGATGCACCCAGAGAGCAGTGGAACATGTTGGCAGCTCGAATCTGGAATGGATGAACTTTCATGTGTTATTACACTGTAGCATGAATTGTTTACAAAATACTGTGAATGTGTCTACCTTTCTTCTCTTCCTCCAAGTACCTCATTTAGATGTCTGGGGCTGATCTTAAGATCTTCTACCTTCTTTCTGATGTATTGCATAAGCTTATCTTTATTTCTTCAATGCCATTTTTGATACTGTGGTTTCATATTTACATGGTCTTTCCCTTGTTCTGTATTGATTGTATTTCTTCAGTGTGGCTTTCTGTGGCAGTTGGTACCAGGAAATATTGGTCAGATCACCAAACCACCTTGTCTGTTGCTTTTTAAAGAATTGTATGTCTGGTATTAGGCTTAGTCTTCTTCTAATTTCTTCATTTCTAATTTTATCTCCTTGTTACTCCAGCAGCTCTTCTTAGACATCTCGTCTTCTGTTTTTATGCTTTTCACTCATTAGTTTGAAGTAAGGATCCATGTTTTACACTGGTAGCATAGAGCTGGCCACAAATAGTTATTAAAATTACCACATTATCTTCTTCTTCTTCTTCGCGTTCACCAGCTGTAAACTCTGGCGGAAGGTTCTGTTGCTCGTCCACTACTGAACTGCAGTCCTGCTCCAGAACCTGAGTGTTGCGTGTGCATCAGTTTTACAGATCTCATTCTCTTGAATACAGACTGTCGGTTCCTTGCCTCTCCGGCAGATGCACTTCGACTTCAAAGGAAACTTCCCAATTAGTCGACTCTTACAACATGCTTTTGGGGAGGCAGTGGGTCTATTCTTGTTTTCCCCACAATGGGGCCCCGGAACCCACACGGGGGGTCTTACCACATTATATATTCCTAGACACTCTAAGCACTGAAATGTTTGGGGCATATTGAAAGAATGTCAGATGACACAGAAGTAAAAATTGTATATACAATGGAGATGAATGGTCGTAGACAAGGAGGCAGACCAAGAAGAATATGAAGAGATAATGTCTAGATAGACCTGCAAACACTTGATGTCACCAACTGGAAAGAGAAGGCCAACCAGAGAGATGAATGGAGGTGAGTGATATCTGCAGCAATGAACCTCAAGGGCTCGGAATGCTGAAGAAGTCACTCTAGGCGGAAGCCGAAAATGGAGTTTCCTGAAAACGAGGCAGAGGCCGACCTCCGCAAATGTGGATACAGGATAAAGATGTACAGGGCTGGAGAACAGGCTAGAGAAAGAGAGATTTTCAGACTTGCCTTGAAGAAAGCAACATTCTATAAAGTGCATACTGATTGATAATGATGAATCAGTTAATGGTTTTTATCACAATAACCCAAACAATGACTTAATTAATGAACCAGATATCTAACAACAAACAACCCAGGCAATGACTGAATTCATAAACCATTAACCACAGATTTAATAACACAATAAAACAGTCAATGAATCAGGTTATGAGCCATCAAATACATTGTCTAACAACAAGACCTCTAGTTAAAAACAACTTATGATTAACAGAAACATAACCTACCTCTGTACATGCCAGATGTCTCAAATTTGTGAAGTCAACTTTAGCTCGACAGAAGTCAAATGCATGAAGAAGTTCATGGCCAATTATGTTGCAACATATATCTCTGTTCTGTATAGTGTTTTGACATAACACCACCTAAATAGACACCACAGCAAAATCATTTCTGTTCAACACTGTTGCATCTCATCATTATATTATCAGATGCCTTGCCTAATGGCGTGGGCAATCATGCCTCTCCACAACCTGCAATCTTCAACAGCATGTTTCAGTTCATGTGCTGACACCCCTCTATGCCATGACAAAAGACTGTCAAGAATCTTCTCAAACTGTCTTGCTCTATTCAGTCTTTTTCCAGAGACTTTTCCAGTGGCAATGTCTTAAGTTTCCTTCTTCTTCTTTTAATATTAACCCAAAAAAAATAATGCCTGTCTCTTTCTGATGTTTGTGATAATTTGTCTTTGGGCCCTCATATTTTAAAATTCTGGGTTGCCCTTTATGGGCTATCTAACACATTATATAACATGCTTTTTTTCAGAATCTTGCTCTCATCACAATCCACAGGAAATCCTTCACCAGTTCTCCTGCCAAATGCAGTTTATGGCCAGAGTGTCTTTGATATTCTATGTTCGCCACTGTGTTGGTTTGTCCTTACCTCCTTTCCTCCAAAAATCAATCCTTCCATTACTTTATCTTTGTTGCTTCAATGTTTAGATGAATAATAGGTTTATCAGTGCTAAGAAAATGGTTCTGATCTTTCACTGTCTTATAAAGTACTATCTGTTTTAATTCCTTGTCATTGAGAGGAAGGGTCCCTGGAACATGTAAATATACTCTTTAAATATTTCACACTGTAAACATTTGCAAAAAAAAATATGAAAAACTGTCTAGTATGTGTTAACTTTGCCTTATTAATTATGTGGTAAACAAGTGCATCACAAATTATGTGGTTAACTTTGCCTTATTAATTATGTGGTAAACAAGCGCATCAAAAATTATGTTTTCGTTTCATTATTTTTGTTAAAGCACTATGTAACCCAGTCAGAGCTTGTAAAGGGGGACGTGATAGAAGTAACATTACCCAGTCTAAGTTAACCATCATAGGTACCATCCGAATTGCAACTCTGCACTGACTACTCAAGATTGGCGGCAGAGTGCTTGTGGGAAGGTCCCAATTGCTGCGAGGTCGGTTCTTAAACTCAACATCTAAGCTCAACCCCACTGAACTCAACCATCATAGTATTTCTATCAACAACAGGTCTACTTGGCAGTGTGCATCTCCAAGTAAACTGCAAATATTCTAGTGTGGGTAGATTTTTACCAAATTTAGCCTGGAACTATTAATTCTAGGCTACTATTATCTCACCTGCATTGATTTAGGATCAAACCCTCCACTAACTCCTCTGATGCAGGTCTCGCACGAGATGTGTCTTTTTACATCAACCGGGCTAGTGATAAATATATTTATTCAGTCAAATATAAGTAATGAATTAAACGCCTGTTCTGAAGAAAAATTCCAAAGTGATCTCAGCTGCCATCACTCACAGTTGTGGTCAGTATCAAATTTAGTCCATGCATAAGCAAAGGGCAGTAATTGTGGGGGGGGGGGGGGGGGGGGGGGGGGAGCTTTCTTCAAAATCGGAGTGCATCTGCCAGAGCCACAAGGAACAACCTGACTGCACACAAATAAGCCAGGAAATTGGATGTACACGCAAAACTCAGGTCCTGGCACAAAGCCAAAATCCAGATGGACAAACAAGCAGGACTTTCCGCTAGAGCTTACAGCCGGTGAACACAGAAGAAGAAGGCAACAGAAATATCTGTGACCAGGCTCTCTCCACAGTTATGAAAGTCAAGGTCCATGGGAACAAATTCATAAATGAGACAAGAACACAGACCTGCTTTGAGACTAATAACTGTGAGATTGTCAACCATGATTGCTTACGCTTTTTGGCATGGAACATGGCACTACTGGGTGCATACATGTATTATGACATGCCGCTGGCACAATGTAATGACTGACAGATACATACACGTGTGGCAACATGTAGCCAATACAAAGCATTGGTTAACGGCTACATACACATATGACAGCAAGAAACTGGAAAAAATCAGTGCTTAAAAGCGACATAACATACACATATGACAGCAAAACATTGGAATAAATCAATGGCTGACAGATACATAAATTTATGATTACAAGACACTGGAATAAATCAGTGGTTAACAGCTACATAAATAAATGGCATCATGGCATTGGAATAAATCAATGGTTAACAGCTTTACAGGCATGTGGCAACAAGACACTAGAATAAATAAGTGGTTAACAACTACATACACACATGGCAACAACACACTGGAATAAGTCAATGCTTAACAGCTACCTAAATAAATGGCATCGTGGCACTAGAATAAATCAGCCGCTAACAACTACATACACATATGGCAAGACACTGGATAAGTCAGTAGATGGCAGCTACATAATTTTTTTACAAGACATGAATAAATCAATTATTAACTATATAAACATATTTTTAATTTTCTGAAACAAAAATATCTTATGCAATAAATCGCTATTATTTAATGTCAGAAAAAGGATGCTAAAATGTTACATAGAACCTGTTCTGCTGTATGGCAGCGAATCTTGGAATGTCAGTGAACAAATTAAGAAGAATTTGGAAGCAACAGAGATGTGGTTTCTGAGACAAATGTTATGAATACCTTTGACGGCCAGAGTAACTAACAACAATTGCTCAAAAGAAGCTAATGAAAGTAGATCTCTATATACAACAATAAGAAAGAGACAAACACTGCTCTTTGGCCACATAATGAGAAGATAGACATTGGAGAACATTGTGACAATTGGAAAGATCCGTTTAAAAAGGGATAGAGGCAGACCAAGAGAGATGATGCTAGATGGGCTAAAACGATGGCATCGAGGGATATCATCAAGAGAGCAGTTCCAGGCAACCAGGGATCGTGATCTGTGGAGACGCATGAGCGCCTATGCCAGTTGGCAAGGCACATGATGACGATTATGACGATGATGATATAAACATATGGCAACAAGACATTGGAATAAATAGTCATTAACAGATACATACATATACGACAACAAGACAGGTGTTATAAATTAATAGTTAACAGCTGCATACACATATATCAAGACACTCGAATAAAGCAATGGTTTAACAGCTACATACACAAATGGCATCATAGCATTAGAATAAATCAATGGTCAACAGCAATGGTTAATAGCTACATACAATCCATGTGTCGGCTGCAGGGCCTTATTGTGGGGGTGAGGGGGTGGGGATTGTACCCCTGCCTCCTAAAAAGCAAACTGACTAATTATGGTGTTTCCTTCTGAGTTGGCATGCATATGCCCGAGAGACGAGAAACCGACAGCCTGCATACAAATAAGCCAGATATGTAAAACAGATTTCCATATGAATACCCCAGCACTGCTAACTGCAAAAAAAAACCAAATGTAACTAAAAACTAAGATCATGACTATGTATCAAATTAAATTGTGTACAAAAGCTAATCTAGCTAAAAAACAAACACAGTAGATGCATGTAGTTTGTTTACCAGCCATAGCTCTCCAAGGCACCAGCCAGTAATTTCACTTTGGGATCTGAAAAAAGAAAATGAATACAGGTGTTTTTCCCAAGCAGTTTAGTTAGTTAGTTAGTTGACAGAATATCTGGTGTTGCCTTTTATGACATGCTTATCAAGGGGCGGTGGGTCTTTTCTCCTCCCTGTCCCTCTTTAATGGGACTCCCATAAATGACATGCAAAATATTTTAATACTAAAATAAATTATTGCATCACTGTTATTGTTACTGTTAGCAGTGTATCTTTTACAGAAGTGGATATGTAGCACAACATCGACAAATTCAGTGATGCCTGTACAAACTTTGGGCTCACCATCAACAAAGATAAAATTGTAGCCAGCCCCAGAGCAAAGATACATCGGGCCCAATATCACAGTGAATGGCCACAGATTAAATTTCAGGAAATTTACTTATCTAGGCAGCACTCTTTCACAGAGCGCCACAATTGATGACAAATTAAATGCAAGGATCTCTAGGGCTAGTGCTGCTTTAGGCAGACTGTACAAAAATGTTTGGAACAGAAGTTGCATAATCCCCCAGACAAAGCTCTAAGTATACAGAGCAGCTGTATTAACTACACTGATGTACGCATGTGAAACATGTCACTTTCACACAGTCTGCCTTAGAAAACTAATGCAGATCAGATGGCAAGACAAAGTACCTGATACTGTAGTCCTTGAGAAAGCAGCCATGCCCAGCATCTACACTCTACTGATGCAGTATCAAATTCGTAGGGCTGGTCATGTGACATGCATGTCAGATCACAGGTTCCCAAAAAAACTCTTCTATGGTGAGCTGCAAAATGGGAAACGTTCCCCAAGACGGGCAAAAGAAACGCTTTAAGGACACCTTGAAGTCTTCATTCAAAGCATTTGGGAGGAATGACACCAATTGGGAGGCTGCCTCTCAAGACCGAAATGAATGGCGTGCAACTCTACACAAGGGCGAGGCTATATGTGAAGCAACAGAACAGCAAGACTGATTAAGAAAAGGATGGACAGAAAGGCTATTGCAGGAGATCCCCTTCCTGGCACGACACTTATTCCCTGTCCTCACTGTCCAAGAACTTTTCGGGCCCGCATCGGCCTCATCAGTCATCTTCATACTCATACTTGATGAAAAAGAGTGGTCATCATTATCCTGATGGACAACACACACACATCTTTTACAGGACCTTGCAGAACCAGCCTTCGCATTTTTTGGCTGTTAGTGATTTCACTAGGCAATTCTATGGTCAGCAGTTTGTCACTGCTACTAAATGGTCAGCTCAAGATGCCACTGTCAAAACTAACACAAGGTGGTCTGTTGCAAAATCACCAGCAGTTAAGATTGAATTGGTATCATGAAGCATGTTTGCAACATCTAAGATAAGTCAAACTGCCAATGCACGCAAAACTCAAGTTCTGAAACACGATTTATGTCCAGAAGTGGATGAAGAACCAGAACATTGACCTGAGTTAAAAGCCAGGGAATGCGAAAAAGAATTGCAATTACTGTAGTATATTAACATTAATTCCTGTATCTTCATAACTCAACTTATAACCTTAGCGTTGTTGACTTTCACATTTCAGTAAAATGTGATTTAAAAATAAAAATCTCGGTGGTGGTGCAGTAATTGACCGGGCTATGTTGGATTTTTGTTCTCAGCTTTATGAACATAATTTTTTTTCACAATTTTAAAAACATTGGGAAAACACGCCAAGGTTAGTTAACTCTTAAAGGCCAAAGCAACGGTGTGAGCGTTGATTAAGAAATTCTGTTTTGCCCAAACAACGCTGTCATCGTCGATAGTGTATCCCATACATTTTGCTTCACACATGGCTCCGTACTTGTTTCTTATGTTCAGAAGTACGATTAAATTATTCAGGAAAAGTCACTCTGCCGGAATCCTTTCAATTACATTCCCTATAGGAAATCACACATGCATAATTTGAACAGATTCATAGCAAATTTTTCAACAGTGCATATTCTGAGTTCCTTTTCGAGTGCCATTAATACCAATGTTCCCACCACAAGTATGGGTCGCAGAATGCGTCTTTCTGCGGCCGAAGCTCTGAAATTGTTTCAGTCAGATGTTTTTAATTCTGATAATGATAATGAAAATTTATATTTTTCGGAAAAAGATTTAGACTGATTTTTCACCAGCAAAGCTGAGGGATCAGCTGTTCTGAATCTAGCGATTCTGATGAGTTTATTACACAGACAATGTCCCATACCACCATATTTATGGTGTAAGAGAAGGAAAGTGCTCTAAACAAAGAGACAGTACTATACTTTGGCTAAGCTACATTGAAATCATCAAAGTTACAGTTTGTATATAAATATAACTGTACAAAGTAAATAGTAAATAGTGTGTGTGATGGCTCATTTTTCGGTCATTTTTTCTCTGAAATTTTTCTCAGCACTATGTGAGAATTAAAAGCTCCTGAGTGCTAAACTAATCCAGAAACTTATAACTTTGAAATTTCTTGGAAAATTGAACAAACTTTGAAGTTTTGTTCTCAAATTTGAATATTCACTACCCGTGTGGCTGCAAAATCATGGTAAGTGAAGAATTTGTTTGAAAAATATTATTGTTATGAAATTTACACCTGCTGAATTCTTTCCTACTAACTATAAGCAAATTGGCTATCCTCCGAATAATGGCCACATATTATGGCGGCCACAAAAACACCCTAACAGGGCCTCAGTCACATGTAAATTGCGGACTTCCGGCGACTTAACTCTTTGAGTCCCAGGGGTTTAGCATCACAGGCTCAGGGGGTAGTTAAGAGAGTCATAAAATTGGTGCATCATGCGTTCACTGGGCTTCTAGGTAGGAACCTATGAACGTATGATGCGTTCCTTGGGACTTAAAAAGAGTTAAATTGCGCATTTCTGGCAACTACGGCCACCACCAAGAGTATCTTCCACGCCGCAACGCATGGCGTGGGGCTCAACTAGATGGCTGGGACTCACAAGCAGCAGCTTCCGCATCTCCTGCAGCTTTGCTCGTAAATCCCAGCCATCTACTTTAGCCCCAATCTACGCCACACATAACGGCGTGGAAGATTCTCTCGGCGGTGGCGGTAGTCGCCGGAAGTCTACAATTTACATGTGACCGAGGCCCTGTTTTTGGCTGCCATAATATGTGGCCCTTATTCGGAGGATAGCCAGCAAATTAAACATACACTTATCATAGGATTCAAAATGTACATTCATTTCTCGGCTCTCCTCCAAACTTCTACCCTATATTATGGCGACCATAAAATATCCTTACGGGGCTCAGTTCTATTAATAATTAGCTGGCTCCGTATAACGAAACAAATGCTCTAACAGGGTCTCAGCGATATGTTACTCGCGGACCTATTTCTGTGACTATGCCTCACCGCCGACCGCGGATGGGGGCATAACTAGATGGCAGGGACTCACGAACAGCAGCTACCGCATCTCCTGCAACTTCCTCCAATTAATTTGCTCGCGAGTCCCAGGTACCTAGTTTAGCCCCCATCCGCGTCGCGTGTAGCGGTGTAGGGGATACTGTCGGCGGTGAGTGTAACCGCGTTTTGCGCATGCCGAAAAGTTTGAGAACAGCGACGACGCTAATCTGCATACGTGGTCTTCCCGCAATGTGGCTTTTATCGTCAGTAATGTTGCGTGTCTCGAAATTGTCAATAGTCGCTAGTATCGTCTGCAGAACCGCTTGAAAGTGTCAACGGTCGCTATTATCGTCTGCAGTGTTGCGTCTCTTGAAATTGTCAGGTAATCCTAGTTTTGCCACGATTCGTTCGTCGCCGGAAGTTCGCATATTTTTAATAGGTCTGAGCCCCATAAGGATATTTTATGGCCGCCATAATAATATCGGGTAGAAGTTCGGAGGAGAGCCCATTTCTCTTTAACAAAATATATACTTTTATTTGGATTTAAAGGTATATTACATTATCTATTGCCGTTCTTGTTCACCCACCCCTCCCATTTTTGTAAAGGGAAATTAATGTAGGCAAGTCTGTCAAAAATTCATCGGCCTGAAAGAGTTAAGAAAATAGACATACTGCTCTCCATGCATGACCTGACGTGTGTCTCGCATTTGAAGTGATGAACATCTTCGCGCAGCCAGGCTCTCTCCAGAAAGCTTTTCTTTTTCTTTTTGTCTCTATCCGGGTAGAAATAGTAACCAAAGTCTTCTTTGGTATCTTCAGATTTCTGAGCGTTCGCATTTGTATTCTCGTTTGTTTGCTTTTCATCTTGATCTGTGGGTGACTTTGCGGAGGCTGCCATCTTGTTACGACAGATAACTCTGCTTTCAGAAACAGATGCCGGGGGTATAGGACAAACAAAACATGACCTTGGCTCCCAGGTCGACCCACCCTTGAATGCAGGGCTGCCAATGATGGGTTTTTATTCCCAGATCTGGGTTTTTATTCGAGCCTTGGGTTCAAATTTTGAAATCTGGGATTTTATATATATATATATATATATATATATATATATATATATATATATATATATATATATATATATATATATATATCATTCATAAAAGTGGGTAAATGTTTCGTTTCGTAACAATAAAATTTGTACTTTTTAACAATTTAGGTTTTGTATTTTTTTTTTTCTCTTAGCCTTCGGTTTTTGTTCAGCTTAGCTCAGGGGTGCCAATGATGGGTTTTTCTCCCCAGATCTGGGTTTTTTTCAGAGTCCTCAGTGAAATCTGGGTTTTTTTTTAAAATATTTCCTTATATAAAAGTGGTAATTGTTTTGTTTCGTAACTATAAATTTTGTACATTTTAACAATCTGGGTTTTTTATTTTGTTTTCTTGTTCTTTGTCTATGTATTGCTTGGGTTTTTGTTAAAAAAAGCTGGGTTTTCCCAAAAAAAAAATCCCATTGGTTGCCCTGCTTGAATGGGTACCAGGTACAATCCTGACAGGTAAAGGTATGATGTTAGACACATCATAAACAGAGTGCCGATTAGTGTCTATCTGAATCTAAATGTAGTAAACAAAAATTACAAGCTTAGCCCTCTTTAAGCCGCCCGAAGGACTGCTATATTAAAGGCTAATTTTTGGCTTTCTTATCTTGAATTCAGTTTATTTGTGGCGAAAGTGATTTCGCCTGATTTTTTGATGCCTTGCTTCGACAAGTCCGACGTGATCTGGCTTGGCGGCTCTTGGTAAGGCTGATTCCCTGGAGTATGGGAGGGGAGTCTGCCAGTCCTGTGATGGACAGCAGATTGCCTGGAACGGGTAGGGATGGGGTCTCCTGGTTTCCTCCATTTTTTGGTGAGCTGGCTTTTACTCATAGATGGCGGCCTAGTTTCTGGGCTTGCTTTATTGGCTGGGCTTTTGCTAGGGTCTGTTTTCTGCTCCCTGGCACTTGTCCAGGTCGTTTTGGTTTCGTGAGAGTGGATTAGGCAGTCCTGAAAAGGACTGCCAGTTTTTTGCCTTGGGCGACCTGGAACGGGGATGGTGGATCTGGTGGTGGCGGCTGTCTTAGTACTGGAAGTTCCCTCGTCTACCTCGCTTGCCTTTGGGTGTTCGCTGCCATTGGGTTTGTTCTGTTTTCTCGGTATGGTTCTTTTGAATTGCCAGTATTTGGCTCCGTTTTCCTCATCTATTTTATCTACTTTGTAGGGATCTAGTTGGGCCCATGCCATTGAGAGTTTGCACCTGTAGAACTTTGTCCTCTTCTATTTTTTCGTCCATGTGGCGTCTTTCTTCTCTGGTAGACTCGAGGAAAGCCGTCAGCTCTTTGACGTTGTGATCCATGTTACGAGTTTCTGTGCCTTGGTCTATGCTTTTGATGGGTTCAGTCAGCTGTGTCTGGTGCTTCTTTACTCTTTAGTGACTGTGCCTGTATCAACCTTCTGCGTTGATTTGCCTGTATATGTGCATTTGTACGCCCTGCTGACACGTGGTTTCTTTGCTACTAAACTGACTGCCACTCTTTCTTTCGGCAATAGTAGCGGTCTGTTTGTGCTGCTTTCTCTGCCGCTTCTGCTTCTGATTTTGCCTGCACTAGTTGGGTAACTTCTATAAGCAGCCTCTTCCAACTTCCTTTTCTTCTCCTCTCCCTGTCTGCGTGTCTCCTCAGCTGTCTGGATGGCGCGTAGTGATTCGATAATTTCAGCCAGCGTGTCGTCTGACCTTGCGTCTGTGACGTAACCTCTGCCAGCCTGTCTTCTTTATTGGCTTTAATTTCTCCAAGATACAAAACAGATCTAGCTCTATAAGCCCACTACGCCAGAAGTGACTCAATAAGTATTCTCCGAAAGACAGAAAAGGGCTGGATCTGAAGGCAGACGGGGCTGACACATATTAGTTTCATATTTGTACCAGGGCACGCAAGCAAAGGAGCAAGCTGATTGGCTTGCATGTAAAGCTACTGTGGAGGGCGGACAAACCATGGACCATGGTGATATTCTGAACGCTCTACGAGAAGCAAGAAGTTTGCGAGAACCAAGTGATGACGGTGAATCTACAACAATGACCAGACTGCAAGAACTACATGTGGCCAGACACGAGTACTATGCAGGAAGCTAAAGAAGAATAAGAAACCAACATAGAATTTGTGTCGTGAGCCTCTACACGCTGTGGGATTTGCTGAGAAGGGAATACGAGGACTTATGGACTGAATGGTTCGATTTGCAATGAGGATAATCTGTCGACCAACTAACTAATGCCTGAAGGCACGGGAAAGGGTTCTTCACCTTAACGTACTAGGTACATGACCATTTTCACGCCAGCGGCACATTGGGCATGTGATGCTAGACTCATATCGGTCCTTGACTGGTGAGGTGGTCAACATCACGCGGAGTCTTTACTTTCCAAGACTTTGTCTGATATCATTTGCCAAGGGGATGCCTGAAACATTTTGACTCAATGCATTTTGTGTTGAAGGTGAACTTTGACTGTTGACCTCAGAAATCTGCATGAAGCTGTAATAAATAATAAGATAATAAATTATGTGGTAAATATTACCCTGGGAGTCGCTGTGGCTGAGTGACTAGACGCTCACCGCGGATCCGAAAGTCGTGGATTCGCTCCCTAGTGGAGCCAGACTTTTTTCGAAAATTACCTTGGCTCCCAGCCTTGAGTGGGTACCGGGTGCAGTCCCGGGAAGTAAAGGCGGCTGGCGCAATGCTGACCACATCACCCATCTTGTGCCGATAGGTCTAGCCCTATTTACCTAAAGGCGTGGAAAAGGGTCCTTTACTTTACTACCCGGTGAAAACGAATGCCAAGGTCAATTTAAAAAAGGTGATGAATTTGAAATCCTTCGGAGATGGTGAGAGTAGAAGTCGGCGGATGGGGGGGGGGGGGGGGAGGAAAGATAACAGACACTGTTAACTGAGGAAGCTTAAAACATGATTTTAAAGTTCTCACTTTTAATTATTTATATTTTAAGAATGCTTCCTGTACAGTGGTAAGCTTTACTTTCAGCGTTTTAATTTTAATTCCCCCCCCCCCCCCCCCCCCACAAAAAAAACAAAAAGCTTTAGCATGTGATAAACAAAACAATTTTTAAACTCTTAAAAATATTCAATCTAAACCACCACTAATATAAAGACACACTTATATGTTGCGTGTTCTAGAGTCAGCAAACCAGACTATCTCTATGTCTACGCAGACATAGATTATGAAATAAACCATATTTGACAAGTGCGCTTGATATTTTCTATTTTGCCAGACTGAGCCAAAGCAACGTGTGGCGGGTACAGCTAGTAGTGAATAAGAGAGGCGTCAGCACACATTCCTGCCTGACCCCTTTATTGATCATTAACATAACAGATATGCCTTCTTGTGTTCCCACTGAGGATTGGGAAGTGTGGTACATGGCTATAATGTTATCTACCAATTGTCTTTGTATCCCATAATCCTCAAGAATAGCCCATAGTTTGTTTCTGTCTACTCTATCAAAAGCTTTTTTTCTTGATCCACAATGTTCAGTTCATCGTCATATTCAATGGTTCATCACTGGTGCGAAGAAACTAAGCTCAAGCACACACTGCTATAAAATAAATTATGAACACTGACAACGATCGTGTACTACCACCAAACTTCAAACTTTCAGTTTTATTTACTCATTTTCCCGTGTGGACTCTGGGGCCCGTAGTGTGTGATGGGGGTGGGTTGGAGCCTTGCCTCCCCAACAAGTGTGTTGTAAAAGTTGACTAATCTAGGATGTTTTTTTCAAAACTGGAACACATCAGCTAGAGAAGTGAGGAACCTGTAGCCTGCATAAAGGTAAATCAGGTCTATAAAAATGATGTGCATACAAAACTCAAGTCCAGGGAACAAGACCAAAGTCCAGAAGTGGAAGAACAGCCAGAACCGTCCCCCAGAGTCTACAGCCGGCGAATGTGGAAAAGAAGAAGATTTACTAATTTTACAAAATGCCCGGACAGGATTAATTCATAACAGTGATAGTTACATTTCCCGACCTGCTTGATTCTGAGGTTGGCCCAGCCTCGTAAAATGGACACCTGATGGTTTTTATGGGAATGAAAGGGGTTGAGAAAAGGAATGACTGCCTGCCATAGTCTATAAAAGATTTGCCTTCTTCTTCGTTGATCCTTCTGCCAGAAAATGTACACTAGGAGACCTGTTGCCTTAATAAAATCTGTCGTGTAGTCCATATATCCCTGTGTACCATACAGCTTCATTGAGGTTGGAACAGGCCAGATTGCTTCTCTGTTAGCATTATAGTTTCCAATATTTATGGAGTACATGCTCAGAATTTTCTGATGCAAAGCTGCAGGAACACATGCCCGTGTTTCCTACACCGAAAACCTTGAGCATATCTTTACGGTCTGTTGTGCCCTGTCCTTTTTCAGAATATGACACACTGCCAATGTTTAGAGAAGCGATGAAACAAACCTCGGGGAGAAACTTGGGTGTGGGTATCCAACTACCTTACTCGGATAATTGTAATTATATTATTAATGCAAGAAAAAGTCAAATCCTAATGTTTCACCCAACTCCAGTACCTGTGATTGGATTGCATTTATTGTTATACTTGAAGGCGAGGCAGCATTAAGTATGTAGACGTCATTGTGCGGTCATTTATTTTAGACTTCCACTTCCCTCAAGTCATTAAATATCTTTGCTGCAACAAATAGTAGGGTTAATATGCCAGACAGCAAGTAATCTTGCATCATTTTAGATTATCTTTATTGTCAGAACTAGTTAGGTTAATTAAATAGTAATTTTTTTTAAACATATGGGATTATCTTTATGATTAAATCCAGCATAGTTTTCAAAAGAGTGTTGTCTTTTAACGTGGCCAAAATATGTTTTCTTTCAGCAACTCTATTTTCACTTCCAGAAAATGTGATTATTCTTTAATTATTATCTTTTTTTTATAACATAATTTGGACTACCCTATAAAATATAGGTCTAGCCCTATATGCCCAATATACCTAAAGGTGTGGAAAAGAGTCCTTAAGTTTTACTTTTTTTTATAACCTATTCTTCATCTTCTCTCTTTTTTGACACACAGGTGCATGCTAGCATACATACACACACACACACCAAGGCAATGGGCGATGATTAAATTACAAGCTTGAACAATCCTAGCACTGACTGATCATCTGGGCAGCTCGTTTTCAACGTCGTATGAAGTAATAATTTTAGATATGATAGTCTGAATTATCACCAAGGTTATGTCTTCGCTGAAAACCTAAAAACAGGAAAAAAGAAGGAATTCAAGGATTAATTTTTACAATTAATACTATATTTTAATAAATTACTTTAAAAACAAAACTTTTTTATTCCTATCATAATCCATGCTCCCCCCTCTTGGTTCCAGAGCTCTATTGTGGGGAAAACAAGAATAGACCCACTGTCTCCAACAAGCATGTCATAGGAGTCGACTAATTGGGGGCTAACTTCAAAGTCGTAGTGCATCTGCCCGGGCGGCAAGGAACAACCAAATGCACACAAATAAGCCAGTAAAACGGATGTACACGCAAAACTCAGGCCCTGTCACAAAGCCAAAGTCCATATGGACAAACAACTAGGTTTTTCCACCACAGCTTTCAGTCAGTGAACAAAGATGAAGATAATCAATGCTATATAGCATTGTTAGTCATGTATTTCCTTAACCAGCTGTCTTGTGCACTTTCAATCATTTCTTAAACAGATGATAGTCGATATCAAACTGTCCAGCATTAACTCTGTTGGTCTCCCACTACCTTGCTTCCCCTTCAACTTACTATCATGATGTACTCTAGTTTGCAACCAAGGAATGAAGACCGTTTTCTTCTAGACTGGTCTTACCTGAGTTAAAACACACACACACATACATACATATATATAAAAGAGCTGCCAGCCCGGAGATTCAAATCCACATTGGAGACAATTTTTTTTACTTGGTTCCCAGGTAGACCCAGCCTTGTACTGGTACCAGGTTAGTCTTGGGAAGTAAAGGTGGCCACAATGATGTTGACCGCATCAGCCAGTGAGTGCCAAGTGGCCTATAAAAGTATGAGTTTAGCATCTATGCCCAAAACAGGACTGGCATAAAAAGGCTCCTTTACTTTTGTCTGTATATACAGCAGACTGCTTATGATTTTCACCTGACCATGTTTCTCCACGGCTCATGTTCTCTAGCAGTGTCTTTACTAATGTGCTGATACTTTTTGGTATGGCCTGAATGTTATTTCTGCCTCCCCCCTCACTTATCTTACCAATTATTGAAAACAAATTTTTAAATGTTCCTTTACTGAAAATATTGTCTGAGAATTGTCCTTCTGATGTCTATAGCTGTCATCCTTTTTATCTAAAACGTTTTGACATTCAGATGATCCATTTCAGGCAAAGCATGTTATCTTAGCATATGTCAGCAAAATTACATAACTACATGATCTCAGAGCAGATTACTCATTTACCCTGGCAATAAAACAAGATTGCTGAAGGCTGAGGTGCTCGGCCAAGTGGATTTGGAAAGCAAGGGGAGACTACCACTTTATATATCTTTAGAAACTATAAAACAGAAGCCAAAATGTAATGTTACAGACACATTTTTAGAGTACTGTGGACCAAGAAGAAGAAAAACATCAAGGAGAACTGGCTTGTAAACAGCATCCTCTCACAAAAGCTGAGGTATTCTGGCAATGTTAAAACGTCACAGTGGACTGGAGAGTAGGGTGATAGAGGGCTCAGTTTCCAGAAAATGAGGCAGAGGCCGACATCTGCGAAGGTGGATACAAGACAAGAGGATGCAGACTGGGCTGGAGAATTGGCTACAGAAAGAGAGACTTTCAGGCGTGCCACGAAGAAAGTGATGTTCTATAAAGGACCTGCTGATTAATGATGATATCACATTCACAATATTATTCAATTAAAAAATCAAACAACCTGCCACCATTTTTTTCTTGTGTGTTTGTGAAAAGGCATCTCAGTTCCATGACACAACAAGGCAAAGTACAGCACAGACACTGCAATGTGTTCCGGGGAGTGGTCAAGGCACAAACCAGTGTGATAGCTATCTCGCAGTAATGACCAAGCAGTTCTGGCAATTGGCAAATCTTCCCACAAATTAGGCTCCATCCACTGTGACATGGATTTCAGGTAGTGACAAAGGTACTGTTGAGAAAAAAAAACATAAGCATTCATAATTATTTCCCAAATATTCTTCTTCTTTATGTTCATTGGCTGTAAACTCTAGCGGAAAGTTCTGCTTGTTCATCCACTTCTGAACTTTAATCTTGTTCCAGAACTCGAGTTTTGCGTGCTACATCTGTTTTACAGGTCTGGCTTATTTGTATCAAGATAAACAAGTTACCATTCGTTCCTTATTATCTTTTTTCTCTTGTAGTCCGTGCCATTGGTGATCATGTAGGTCAAAAGGACTTCTGCCTTGTGTACGTTCAATCATTTCTGACAAAAATCGTAAATGCTATGATACCAAACTGTTCTCAGTCTACCTCTGCTATTCTTCCCCTCCCACAATAGCGCTTCCATGATGCACTCAGTTTTCTTCTTCTCATGACTTGACCAAACAATGATTATCCTCTCTGATGTAGGTAATTAACTATCTTTATTAGTTAATTTCTTTGAAAACATCTTCATTATTCTTTTTATCTGTCTATGGCGTCCTCATCATTTATCTGTAAAAACTAAAAGCTCCCACATTATTATTTTGTACTAACTGGTTGACTGTCTATAATTTACTTCTGTACATCTACCTGCTTAGTCGCTTCTCTTCTACCTGGGGTGTAGAGGTTTGTCAGAGAGATCACCAGACGTCTCTATCAGCAGTTTTTTTTTTCTGTCTTTGTTCCATTCCTGTCCTCTGTCAGTCAAGTACTGTCAGATGTTGTCTTCCCAGTGGACCCCGGGTCACCCTGGTTCTAAGCCTCCAATGCCTGCCATGGTGGCCTATTTTCTCCTGTTCTGCATACATGTCCAAACCATTGTTCCTTTGACCCATTCATTGGAGTTTGTAAGGCTGAGGTTTCACGATCTTGACACAGTCTGATATCAGACTGTCCCTTCTTGTCACTTGGACCACTTTTCTCAGATATTTCTTAGGCCTGAAGCTGGCTTATTTGAGCTGTTGTCATTGCCCATGACTCACACCTTTAAGTCAGGACTGGCACATAGGCAGAGCAGTAAACAGCCATATTTGTTCTCTTGCCAGTTTCTCTTTTGCTAAGAAACCATCTGTTTATGGTCTGGAAAAGTCTCCAAGCAGCTGCTTTTCACGTAGCCAGCTCTGTCTTAATGCCTCCATTTTGGTCCATTACAACTGAGGTGTAATCTACATTTAACTTCTGTAATATTTCCATATGCTGCTATCAAGATAATTAAAATTAAGTATTTAATCATACTGACTTGCTTCAGACTCGTCCCATTTAGTCTAATGTTAGCTCTGAGTTCTTTTGTGTGTGTTTGTTTTGACTTTCTAGTTTTTCATCAACATCCTAAAATCAACCATACAGAGAATGTCCGCAATTCAGAAGCACTGATACATCTAACAGAGACAACATTGCTGATCCAGATAATTTATTTTAAGTGAACGAAAAAAAAAAAAAACAAGAAGACATCTAATATATTTACACCCATTCTGTCACTGATTCCAGTGTATTAACCACATGTTTATTTATTAATTTCAGTGTATTAATTGTCACCTTCTAACCCACTGCAACAGCAGAAGCGACTTGTCTGCTAGTCCAGTCATCTAGCATTCAACTCATTCAGAAGCACTTACATCCTAAAGTACCAGGTAGCTGCCTTTTAAGCTCTATCCCAAAAGTGACATACGACATACATTTGTGAAAAATGCTGCGTGTCTTGGTAAGTGAAAATTAGACAGCAGTGAGACAGAATAAGTTTGTGCAAACAACAGATGCAATGAGTTAACATAAAAATGTAACAGAGCCAGTTATCTTTTGTTTGTGTTCACCGGCTGTAAACTCAGGTGGAAAGTCCTGGTTGTTCATCCAAAAACTCAAACACCAGTTATAAAGCAATGTAGGGGAGTTATCAAGATATGTATGTTGAGTTGCCTGGTATTGAAAAACTGAAATTCTTACTTCTTCTTCTTAGCATTCAGCAGCTGTCAACTCCGGTGTAAAGTTGTGGTTGTTCATCTACTTCTGGACTTTGTTTTATTCTACACCTTGAGTTTTGTGTGTGCATCCATTTTACAGATCTGGCTTACTTATACGCTGATTCCTTGCATCTCAAGCAGATGCACTCCAACTACAAAGGAAACACCCTTAGTTATTTGTCTTTCACAACATGCTTCTGATGTATTTTTTTTTTAAAGAACTGACATGGGCTCTCAGTTTATAACAATACCAGAAGATGTTCTAGGAATAAAGATGACTGTTATGATAGCAACCATATCATTTATTTAGTGTCGACTGGTCTTTACAAATGTAGGGTTAGCAATATTTCTAAATAACAAAAGGTCCTTTACTGTTTATGATATGTATAATACAGTTGCTGTGTAAATTTACCACTTAAAAAAGTAACTCTGATTAACCAATGTTCCTTCTGTTCTCATAATACAGCAGTGACCATGCATACTGCAAACAGAAGGATCTCTCACGGTGATATGTATGATAAAACAGTTGGCTGAGTGATTTATTCCCTTGACAGGAATAATTCTAATCTGAGCATCGAGGAAAACTTGATCATAAACAGCATCCTGAATGAAAACTGAGGTATCTGTGGCCACGTAAAAAGTCATGGCAGCCTGGTGAGAGCAGTAATGGAGGTTACAAATACCAGAAAACGAAACAGACCTCTACGAAGATGGATACAAGACACTGAAGATGCATTGGCTATGAAAGCACATAGGGCTGGAGAGCTAGCTAGAGAAAGAGACATTCAGGCATCATGATAAGAATGACACTCTGTAAGGGATCTGATGTCTGACGATAACGTAATGTTGATTTATTCTGTAGTATGCATCTGTAAGGGATCTGAGAAATGTGACAGGCAATATATTTTGTTTGTGTTTTCATTATTTAAAAACAAGCAATGGAATCAGCAGAGAAAAAAGATTATTATAGCCTGGAGAGAATGAGGCACCTGTGTGTAACCAGATGGTCTGGCCGGCTCACTACACTCAGAGGAAAGGCAAGACGGACATATAACCAGATTGTGACCGGTACCATCAGTATTGTAACTACGCGCTGGCTGCTGAAGATGAGGATGGAGCATGCATGGGAATGTCCCAAGTGCTGTGGTGTCAATTTTTGACTCAGCTCAACTATTTAAAAACACAACAGGAAAATGCCATTTTGAAATATTAATAGGAAACAGCTAAACCTTGCCTTGTGAGGGTGGTCAAACTGCACTTTGAACTCTAATGCCCTTAAAAGATACAGCTCGCATCTGGCAACACTTTCTCGAAGACTCCAGTAAGTGTCACCTATTTCCAGTTGTGTCTTATTCTTGTGTAAAGTCCTTAAAAAGGAAATAAAAGTTAAAGAAAAAACTGTTTGAAAACTATTACCATGTTACAAATTAACCTCTTCTTCTTTTTCCTGACATTCAGTTTTGTACGCTCTCGTTAGATCATCAAATGGGCTGCCTCTATGAAATCACATGTCAATTGCAGGTCCTTCACCATTCACCATAGCTTGCTCTGCACTTTGCTTTTCAGGCCAGGATTTTTTTCTTAGGTGTAAGTTTAATGGGCAGGCCTGCAAAATGTGCTCTGGCATTTGTGGTCCTGTTTGGCATGCACACTGTGTGGTTACACAATCATTATTTTATGCATGTGGTAGCTGAGCCTGCAATGTCCTGTTCTAAAACAGAAAAATGTTTCCTGTTGAATCTGCTAATGGGGACTAGTGGATGCTTACTGTTTGTTCTCTCTATAAATCTCTGTATTTCCACTTGATATCTGAATTGATCTCTGGTAGTGACAATGGATGTAAAACATACAAAAAAGCCTAACAACTGCTTACATGTTTCTTTATTAACCCTGGTGGCTTATTATACTGAAGGTAATGGCTGTGAGAATGACAAGGCATTGGGTTGAAACTCAGGACTATAGGAGAAAAGAGGTGAGAAGATCAACTTAACAAACTGTGCCATTTATCCCATACGGCCCAGTCTCTCTTCACGCAGCACAAACTCTAGAACTCCAGCAATAACTCCCAGGAATCTTTGAAACACTTGTACTCACAAATTGAAGGAAGGATCCAGAACCAAACACACAGCCTTTAGAGCAAATTCATGCTGGTGTCAAAGAGGATGAAAAGGCAGATGCACTGACTGGTTCTCAAATTATAATGATAGGTCCATCTAACTGATTCTGTAAATAACATAAGCCCGGCTCTCTAACGTAGCTGGTTAAACCTAATTTCGCTGTGACTGGGTGACGAACCCCTTGTGGCCCGGGTTCACTCCCGGGGGTAGACAGAAAAGCAACATTTCTCCCAGATTTACGATACCTATCATGGAGTCAAGGCCGAAGGGCTGCGATATCCATAGTACTGAGCCAAAGGGTTAACGATTCATGGTTTCTGGATATTAAAGGAAAAAAAGTATATAACATAAACAACAATGTGTCTAAGAAAATGAAGAACTCTGACAATATATATCTCTGCAGAGGCCTGGAAAGAACAGTAATGGAGGACATTGTACCAGAAAAAATAGGCAGGGGTCAACCAACAAGGAGGTTGGGTCAGAAAATAGAAAACACCTTGGTCAGAAAAATGCATGAGATGGGGCTGCTGGTGATGGACCGAGTTTCCTCCAGTTGGGTTGTGATAGGAGTGAGGTCCACATGATGATGATGAACAATGTGTAGCATTATATTCATTGTCCCTTTAATGTCACAAAAAATTATAATTTTAAATTAAGGTTTCATTACTCTTCCTCACTTTCAAATAGAGTTACCCAATTTTAACTTAGAATGGAATGAAATGATTTAACAATAACAAGCTAATATATATATATATATATATATATATATATATATATATATATATATATATATATATATATATATATATATATATATATATATATATATATGATTTTAGTGATTAGAAAGAGTTATCATCACAGCATTCCGGACAGATCCATAGGTGCTTCCATCTCCTTCTAAAAAACTCTACAACTGTAAAACGACTGATGACGCCTGTTCTGTGTTGGTTAATAAAGCGTCTTGTCCACATAGTGAAATGTTCATTTCTTGCAGCTCCAGGCTGCACCCTCATATCCATCAGTCTAGACCGGGATACAGAGTCATGCCCTTTGGTGTGTTCGTCATCACAGTGAGTGCTACGCATAGCATTAATAATATCGTTTCTGCCCAGCACTGGACCAGCCACAGCAACCACAGTGTCAGTAAGATAACCTGCACGCTCGTTAACTTGAACACCTGCATGATTTGGCACAAAGATGCGAAGTGCTTAGTGTTGCAATCCATGCTTGTCTGATAGATGACTTCTTCTTCTTCATCAGCATTCCGAGTCCTTGAGGTTCATTGCTGCAAATATCACTCCCCTCTAATCATCTCTCTGGTTGGCCTTCTCTTTCCAGTTGGTGACACCAAGTATTTGCAGGTCTGTCTGGATATTACCTCTCCATGATCTTCTTGGTCTGCCTTGTGGTCTACAATCACTCATCTCCCTTGTGTATACAGTTTTTACTTCTCTGTCATCTAACATTCTTTCAATATGCCCCAACCATTTCCGTTATGATAGATGACACTATATGCAAATATACTCTCACATTAGACTTTCAGAAATCCGGGTGTTGGTCATCAAGATGAAAAACAATTATAAATCTAACATACTTCAACAACCCAAACTACTTAAAAGCAAAAAGAGAAAAAATATAAGGAAACAATCAAATACAATCTGTTATTACCTGTAGCAAACATTGACAATATCCCGGAGCCTCACAGACTCTTCTTCAGTCTTGCAAGCCAAGGACAAGCAGGCAGCACCAATCAACTTAGAAACAAATATTGTAAACCAGATATTACATTTGTAAAATTTGTAACTACAAATACTTATTTGAAAAATCAAGAAATTTTTTTTTTTTTTTTACAAAATTGCATACATGCATTTGCTGCTTTGTTCTCATTGTTTCATTAAAAAATCAACACCACAGCAGTCGGGACATTCTCATAAACGCTCCATCCCCATCTTCAGCAGCCAACACAGAGTCCCAACTCCAATGGTACCAGCAACAGTCTCACTGTGTGTCCATCTTACCTTGAGCGTTGATCGTCAGCTAGATCCCCCCTGGTCACTCCTCGTAGTCCATTCTCCTCAGACAGTGATGATCAATCTGTGCTTCAGCATTGTTCACTTGCCTTTAAAGGACCCCTACAACATCTAGCTTGTCATGCATCAATTCACCACCAAGCTGTGCAGAACTAGCCAGTCTATCTGCATGTTCATTTCCTAATACACCGGGTGACTTAGCCAGTCTATCTGCATGTTCATTTCTGAATACACCGGCATATCCTGGAGAAAATATCCAAAGGTCACTAACTACACGGGACCTCTATAGCGATGCTTGTCAGTCTTCATGCAGCATATATGAGTCCGTTAGAACTATGACATGCGTAAACAGCTGATTCTCAAGCCATCAAAGGCAGCAGTGACTTCATCAGCCTTCATTCTAAATGTTGTGGTGTCATGTGCCATGCTTTTTTGCACTAAGTGATGACCATTCGCTTTTGCTAAGAACACCTAAAAACTTTTGACTCCCTCTCAACATAGAGCCATCTCACAATCAATATCAGCAGGGAGGAAGTCTGGTCATTCTGGACAATGCTATTACGGCTTGTTTGGGTGTTACTTCTCTGCTTAGTTTTCAATATCCATCCATTTGGGAAACATTTCCTTGATTAACAAAGTAGGGGCTGCCTCTGTCTTTTCATTCTCTGAGAATGAGAGAGAGAGGTAAACAAGGATAGTACGTTGTATCATGGTTCACTTTTGACTCTTACAAGTTCTAGCCCGTGAGTCATATTCCAAACAAAGCTCATATACCAAGCCAAGTCTTTCATGTCCAAACAGGATTTATACCAAATTGGACTTATTTCAAGCAGATGTATACCAAGGACCACTGTAATTTCAAAATAGTCAACAGATAACAAACAGAAAAATAAGCCACAGTCTGGATAATGTGTATAGGGGGGCCAGTGCAAGATAAGTTTAGGAAGTCAATAAAACAATTTTCAGAAATGAAAAACACAATGTGGAACATAAAAGTCTCTGTAACAAACACACACACACACACAGACAAACTTACAAAAGGATCATAGTCTTGTAGTTGGTTTAGCCGGAAGAACTTATGGTATATAGTAGAAGCTGTTGCTAGTGGAATGCTTTGTAGGTGAAGCCTTGAACCTGTCATAAATTATATCAAAAAGTTTATATAAATCAGCAATTTCTGTTGTGGAAACATGGCGTGGCTATGTCTTTCAAATTTCATGATATAACTTAGGTTCTTTCTTTCATTATTAGCTATGGGGTATATTTCCTATCTATTGGTTGTCAAGGGGGGTTAAATTAATTTCTGGCTTGTGTAAAAGAACTCTCTTGACATAATAACTCATGCCTGAACCATGCTCGCACCTCGCTAAGTTTTCAAAATGGCTTTATTAGTAATCTTGGTAATGTTAGTTTCACAGCAAACGGGTCACCCCACAGTTGCTCCGCTCCTGTGCCAATGAAAAACACACATAATGTTCATCACAGTCCCTTTTGGAAAGATTGACAGACTGCTGTCTCAGCATATGCACTGGTAGTCTTAGTTTCAGATTAATAGAAAACGGGTCACCCCATCTTTGCACCGCTCCTGTGCCAACGAAAAACATACGGAATGTTTATCACAGTTCCTTGTGCAAAGACTGACAGACTGCTGTCTCAGCATATGCACTACATATGCACGCATTAAAATCATACGGCAGCCATCAGAAGTGCTCTTTTCAGGTGCATCCCTTTTATATAAGTGATTGCGCTGTGCAGTGGGCGTTGATGTCTGCTAATATTCTCATGTACGCTTTCAACCGTGCCACTTTATGTCTGGTGGCCATCGTCCCTAAACCTAGCACATATCACATAGCGTGGCACAAGGTGTCTTATGTGCAGCCAAGTATGAGTCTCATTGCCTCATTTTGTACCCAGTCCAGTCTTTCTAGCTGGCTTCTGCTGACAGTGAGGAGGTCCAGACCACAGTCTTTAACACTTAGTACAAGTCCCTGACAGAGCAGGAAAAGTAAGTGTTGTTCAACGTCTGTGTATGCCATCGCCTTCAGATCTTTCATGGCTCTAAAAACGACACTGTCTACATGCTTGTATCACAAGCATCTGCATAAATTTATGCCAAGATATCGCATTCTGTCAATGTCTATACCGCACATACGGTATGAGTGGTGCAGGTGTACTGACAACGTGGGTATTCAAGCACACTTATATCAAGGAAGCCTTAGCCAGGTTTACCTAAACTACTGATTCCTGGCACTATTCACTGGGTCGGTCTTATTGATGCTGTAGAGTTGTAATTTCATGCTTGTTCGGTACACAAGGATATCGTCTGCAAACGACATTATTCTGCCTAGACCTACTATCTGTGCACCAGTGACTACTGATGTATCTCTGCCAGGGCGCTACCCACCTAGTGTAGGTGCCAAAAGAGCACTAGCCTGGGACAAGCAGACAGCACCAATCAACTTATAAATAAATATTGTAAACCATATATTACATTCATAAAATTTGTAGCCACAAATACTTATATAAAAAAAATCAACAAGATATTTTTTTAATGCACATGTTTTTGCTTTGTTCTGATTGTCTATTCAAGAATCAACATCACAGCAGTCAGGACATTCTCATCAGCACCCCATCCCTATCTTTAGCAGCCAACACAGAGTCCCAATTCCAATGGTACCACTAATTTTTGGCTCAACATTCTGGCTACAGTTTTTCCCAAAGGTTTTCCTACGGTTTTCTGAAGTGTGACAATTTTGTAGCCGTTTACTTTTTAATGATCTTTTCCAGGCTTAGGATTGGATCTGAGGTAGCTATGCAGCCAGTCATTGGGGACAATGCTGCTTCTGATGCTCTTGTTAAATGCCTTGGATATCTCCACGGTGTCACGTTTTCTCTAGGCATTTTAAGTGAGTTTCTTTTTCTATCGGGTCCTGGGGCTGTGTCAGGACAGGTCTTCAATATTGCTCTGATATTTGCAACACAGATGTACACTGTCATCTTCTCCATCCATTTCAGCGATGTGCATGTTCATTGACTGTTTGTTTCATCTGCTTTCCCTCATCTCTGTCTTTTCAGTCTGCAGAGAAAGTTGTGCAGGAGTGCCTCACCTTTGTCTTTGTCAGATCTTAAGATCATCCCACTGTCCCCCTTTAAACTGGGCATATTACAGGATTGTTCGCCGCAGTTCATACTGCGGGGGAGTTGCCATAATTATATGAGGGATTTTATGCACCCTATTTCATTGCAAAATGTCTCCCATGTGGTGTGCTCAACTGGCATAGTGCACTTATACTGGGGGAGACCAGAGTGAGATCAAGGGCGCTGTCAGAATCGCCTGACAGTTGTATATGAGAGTGAAAATGTGCGTTTTTTTTCTAGTAAAATTATAATTATATTATTAAATTTTTTTTTTTTTAATTTAGGAGATACAAAAACCTCCTTAATGTGAAATCCAGAGGGCCTAAACTTGAGTAGTGCTAACAGGTGATTAATATATTTATCAGCTATCCTCCGAATAATGGTCACAAATTATTGAGGCTAAGAAAATACCCTAATAATAGGGCCTCAATGCTTGTGACTGTGCCGCCAGGAAACTGCCTAAATATTTAAAGCGCGACTAGTGCTACCGTGGTAATTGCAATACTCCTTGCCCTAACCCTAATCCAGGGAAAAAGTTAAATCTAGGACCCAGGGGAGAAGTTAAACCAAGCACTCATTGTCAGAGCTGTTGACACACTCGATGATATAGGGCCGTTATTCGGAGGAGTGTTTCCCGCGTTATGCGGTATATTTACCAGAAAGAAGTCCACAATTTATGTATGATTGATGCCCTGTTAGGGTATTTTCTTTGCCTCAATAATTTTGGACCATTATTCGGAGGATAGCCTATTTATCAATATATCCTTCACATGTATGTAAGAGTGAAAATAGTTTTTAGCTATCCTTCGAATAACGGTCCCAAATTATCAAGGCAAAAAAAATACCTCAGTATATGTAAATTGCGGACCTCTTTCCGGCAACTTTACCACATAGCGCAGAAAAGCTTCCGCTGAATTAAAGTCACTGCCGAGAGTTTTCCCCGCACCGCGCGTAGCGGCTGGGACTTAAGAGCAGCAGCTACCGCACCTGCAGCTTCCTCCATTTTATTTGCTCGTGAGTCCCAGCCATCTAGTTTAGCCCCCCTCCGCGCGGCGCAGGGAAAACTCTTGGCTGTGACTTTAACTCAGCTGAAGCAGAGTAGCCGCACGAGGAATACTTTCGGCGGTGGCAGTATAGTCGCCGGAAAGATGTCCATAATTTACATATGACTGAGGCCCTACTGTTCGGTTATTTTCTTAGCCTCAATAATTTGGGACCGTTATTCAGAGGATAGCCCAGTTTTTTTTTTAAGTTAAATTATAATTATATTGTTTAGTTTGGTCATTTCAACATGTATGTGAGAGTAAAAATTATTATTTTTTTTTTAGTTTAAATAATTAGTTTTCATTTTTAATTTTGGAGATACAGCAAAATCTCGTAAACGCGAAATCCAAGGGACCTACGGAAAATCAAGTTCGTGATAGAAGCAGTTATATTTAAAATTATATTTATTTCATAAACATTAATTTTTATGAAATGAATATTATATATAACTTTATAAACAATTAAACTTCAATAATAATTTGAAATTTCAAAAAAAAATATATAGTAACTCGTACCTGCTTCAAACATAAACATAATAACTCTGAAATGAACTCGAGTTTCACTGTTCGACATCGTGGAGAAGTTAAAACAGTGTGTTAAACGTTATCAACAGCTCAGATATGGGTTCTACCTACAAACTGACTTTACTCAGAATAATTTAATAAATTTCCACGGTAACTGCGTCCACCGCTGTTTCGTTTAGTGTCCTTTCCCGGTAATCTTTTTAAAAAAAATATTTATATAGCTAGAGTTGTTAATTTAGCTACTTTTAGCAACTTCTGACCAACGTTACGCAATACAGTGCTATAGACCTATTCATTAATTCATTCAGTAGCATGTCCCTCGCGGAACCTCGCTGCCATAACAACCCTCCGGAAAACCTTCCTATCCTGAGCAAGATGTCCTGCGTCTGATACACCCATCTGGAGTTCATCTGCCACATCCTGCACCCATCTTCTCCTTGGCCTTCCTCTTCCTCTCTTCCCAGGCATATACCCCTCCTTTATTGTTCTCTCTAGACTTCCATGACGTTTCAAGTGACCAAAATATTTCAATTTTCTTTGTTTTATTGTCTTTACTAGCCAACCCTCTTCAATATTCAGCTCTTGAAGTATGGATGCATTTGTTCTTTTCTTTACCCAAGATATTCTTAGAACCTGTCTGTAACATTTATATTCAAATGCATTTATGCGCTGTTCCGCTTGTTTAGTAAGTGTCCAGGTCTCACAGGCGTATGTTGCAATGGGAAAGATGCATGCTCTTAAAAATCTGACCTTTGTAATTCTATCTGTACAATTCCATAATTTATTCAGTTGTTTTAGTCTTTGAAGAGCAATTGATAGTCGCCGTTTAATTTCTTTCATTGTGTCACCATTGTTGGTAACCAGTGACCCAAGATATTCGAAATTTTCCACCACTTCCAATCTTTCCTCATTAACATATATTTCCTTCTCCATGGCAGTTTTGTTTGTATGCATTATCTTTGTTTTTGCTATGTTAAGAAATAAGTTATGATTTTCACTATTTCTTTGGAGTGAGGTTAATAAGTTTTCTAAACCATTTTGTGATGTTGATAGTAATACTGTATCATCAGCATAACGAATTTCTGGTATTTCATGACCACCGATGTTTAGGGCATCATATTGTTCCTTGTTTATATCATCTCTTACATTTCTCATTATATTTTCGGCGTACAGGTTGAACATATACGGTGACAGCACACATCCCTGACGGACTCCTTGCTTGATGCCAAACCAGTCTGATGTCTCTCCATCTATTCTGACTGCTGCTTGTTGGTCTTGATAGAGCATTTTAATGAGCTGCACTATATGTGATGGAAAGCCCATATTCCTCATGATTTCCCAAAGCTTCTGATGTTGTACACAGTCAAATGCTTTTGAATAATCCACAAAACATAAGAACAGATTTACATTAAATTCTCTACATTTCTCTATTATTAAACGCATGTTGAATATATGATCTCTTGTTCCTCTTCCCTGTCTAAATCCAGCCTGAGCTACATTAATCTCTTCTTCCATTTTCTTATGCAGTCTTCTCATTATAATTTTTAGTAGAATTTTACTTGCATGACTGATCAGGGCAATAGTTCGATAGTTTGTACATAATTTCAGGTCACCCTTTTTTGGTATTGGAATGAAGATAGTTCTCTTCCAGTCTTTTGGCCAAATACCATATTTCCATATCTTTTCACATAATGCATGATAGATTTTTATGCTTTCTTCTCCTCCCGCTTTAATCAATTCAGCTGGTATCTCATCACATCCAGGTCATTTACCATTTTTCAGGCTCCTTATTGCCCATGAAATTTCATCTAATGAAGGTTCAGGTTCTGCCTCTACTGTTACTGGTTCATGTATATCATTCATATCCTCACTGTCATTCATATCATACATTCCGCTGCAGTATTCCTGCCATCTTCCTAGAATTTGTCTAGATTCTGTTAAAGTATTTCCCAACCTGTCACAAATAACATTTAACTGAGGTTGAAAATTTCTTGTCAATAACTTCATTTCCTTGAACATTTCGTAATCTCTTCCATTTTTATGATGCTGCTCTATTTTAATACAGCAATCTTGTACATACTGATTTTTTATCCTTTCTTGTGTACTTTCTTATTTCTCGTGTTAAAAATTTATACTTCATCCTACTGTCATTGGTTTCTCCTTTCTTTTTCAGTTCCCTTCGTTGTTTTTAGTTCTAACGTGTATGGTGTGATCCATGGTTTATGTTGCTTAGTCCTGGTGGGTATTAAGTCTTTAGCTGCTGTTATCAAGATATCCCTAGCTTGTACCGCTAGTTCATCAGGTGTCATTTCCTCTTGTACAGACATCAAGACCTCAAAACGGTTCTTCACTTCTACGTTGTATGCATCTGGTATTTTTGTGAGATCAAATCGAAATGGCCTTGGTCCTCGGGTAAGCTTTTTGAGTTTTAATTTCAGATCTGCTTCTAGTAACTGATGATCTGTATCGCAATCTGCACTTCGCAGGGTTTTTGTAGATGTTATGCTCGATCTCCATCTTCTTTGTATTAAAATGTAATCTATCTGATTTTTGGTAACACCATGGTTTAAATAATTTCTAGGATTTGCTTCTGTTGGATACCCCCCCCCCCCCCTCATCCGAATAGTGACGACTCTCATGGGTGTCCAACATATAATAAAGATTTTTGTACTTGTGTTATTCATAGTGTTAGACTACATCAAATGAAGATACTATTCCCACCACTTCAGGTGTACACAGCAAACGACACTAGCCTAAATTGTCTAAGCTGGACCAATTGTCCCTTGCAAGTGCTTGGTAAATAAATGTTTTAAAGATGAGAAGGTCATGCTATAACGCAAGGTGTTTTAGGTACCTAGTCACATCTAGGAGCCATGGTGACTTAGTAATGAGTTCACTTGCCTGCCAGTACAGTAGTTTAGGTTCAATCCTGAGTTAAAGCAGATTTTTCTTTCTCGGCTGGTATAGCCCCATAGTCTCCCAGATTTTTAAAATTAAGTACCAGGCGAACAATTATAATTTCCTGAGAATCGCCAGGAAAGGGAAGGTGCTAAGGAAGCGGGCATGTTGTGGCCTAATATAATTGAAGCCCTAACACTTCACACTCCAATAGCAAGCAGCATTAGTTATAGGAATACTCTTCTTCTTTTGTCATCCCACTGATATTAGGTTGTAGCCCGGTGTCGCAGTTTTCTGTATTTGTCTTGCTCTTCTCATGTGGCTTGGGTGATGGATTTTTTCATCTTTTTTACAGGTTTCAGCGACACCATTTATCCACATCTTTCCTTATCTTCCTCCCAGATATTCTACTGTAGAAAGTCTCATATCCGGTCCCAGACATGGTCTTACTGCAAATTTCTCTCGAATGCTGGTGTTTGTAACCCTGTCTCGTCTAGTGTTGTTCATGACCTTGCGGAGACAGCGCATTTCACATGTAGTTTGTTTCTGTCCTAGTGCCCTATTCATTGTCCACGTGTGGTACTGACAACATTAAGTAGGGATACAGATGCTATTAATGATTTACTGTTTTGCTGGAAGGGAGACATTTGGGTGTCTAAGCAGTGGTTCTAACTGGTAGGTGACAGTATTTGCCTTCTGTACTCTGGCTTCTTTCCCTCTGTTCATCTGCCATCCTCAGTAAATATGCTTCCTACATATTTGAATTCTCGTACTTGTTTTGTACTACCGCTGACATCGATGTTCATGGTATTATGTTTCCTTCCCATCCTCGTTACCTCAGTTTTCGCGGTGTTTACTTTCATGTCATACTTTGTGCAGGCTTGATGCAAGGAGTCAATATGGTGTTGTAAATTATATTCTTGGTGGTGTATTAGACATTGATCGTCTGCAAAAAGAAGTTCATTGATTTCTTTAGTGTCCGTATTTGCCCCCTCTATTATTTTTATTAATGAACAGCAATGGTGAGAGGACACATCCATGTCTGACACCTGATGAGATGGGAAATCAGTCTGACAATCCTTTTGTTATTGTTATTGTCTTAATGCAAGGAGCATTTCTGTTGTAATACCATCTGTTCCCGCTGCCTTGTTCTGTTTGAGTTATGAGTTAGGTTATCTCCACAGCACTCCGGCCACATCCATAGGCGCTTAGATTCCCCTCTCAACATATTCATCAACGTCACGCAGTTATTAGTGCCAGTCATATGTAGGTTAACAAGACTTTGTGCGCGTTCGGTGTGTTTCTCATGCTTGGCTGTGCCGATCTTTACTCCAAATTCTAGTATTCTTAGCAGTGATGTGGACACGTTGCTTCAAAAATCTTCAGAACGTCCTATCTCTCTAAGGGCAATGACAATGTCTGCGTGATCCATGGGCCGGCCATCTTCAATTAATGCAGCACCTGCCAGTCTATCAGCTCTTTCACTGCCAACAACCAGGGCATGCCCTGGAACGAATATAAAGGTAATTGCACACACAGGAGAGTTTTGCAATGACTCAAACCACTGTCTGCGCAACCAGCCTGCCTCAACCCGCCGGATCATGCTCAAAGAACCACTAAGCACACACACGCGGGAATAGTCCTGTGATTCTAGCCACATGAAAACTTGTGTCACCGCCATCACCTCCATCGTCATGCTGCTGGTGGTCATGTAGAAGGCACCGCTGGCTTCTTGAACTGTTCTGCCTGAAAAGCGAGCTGTAAATGCCCATGCACTTTTATGTACTCGTATAACGGACCCTTTTGTGAAGATCGCCACATGTGTCTCATCTGACTTGTCACTGATAAGCGCGCATACCTCGGCATCGACAGCAGCTGGATTCTGCTCCCGACTTCTATCGAGCGTCGCAACACAGGAGAATATGAGATTGGGGCTTTAGATGCTGGTATCCATTCCTCACCTGGATGGATGTCTGTAAAGCTGCAAACCCGCATGATGTCATCCTCTGCCCTACCCAACCATGATTTAACCCTTTTAAGCCTATTGCCTTTTTTTTTTTTTTTTTTTTTTGAAGAGCATGTGGTGCAAAGGGTGCATCAGATCTGAGTTTATCTTGAGATCTTGATCCTGTAGCTCATAGTAGGGAAGTCAAGAAGGTACCTCATTGCAACACAAGATGTGTCTCCAGTGCACCCCAGAATAATGCGCACTGCTTCGTTTTGCACCTTCTCAAGTCTTTCAATCGGAGTATGGCTGACGGTGAAGATGGCTAGAGCATATTCGATGGGAGAAAGTACAAATCCCTAGAACAGATGCGGTCTCTGCTCCGAGGTAGCGGCGGTCATGACCCTCGCTGACAGGCTTTGCGTGCTTTTTGAGACCGCAGTTCTCTTTCACTGTGTTCAGTTTGCAGGTTTTAAAAGTCAGCCACTTATCTACTATGTTGCCTGGCTCTGTAAGGATGTTGAAAGAGATTCTGACTGCTCTATCTGTTTCCTCCGCAACTTCTTTATCTTTTAGTTTCACAATATTCTTCTTTGCGTTCACCAGCTGTAAACTCTGGTGGAAAGTTCTGGTTGTTCGTCCACTTTTTGACTGCGGGTCTGTTCCAGAACCTGAGTGTTGCATGTGCATCTGTTTGACAGATCTGAAACATTTGTGTGCGTACTGTTGGTTCCTTGTCCTCTCAAGCAGATACACTCCGACTTTGAAGGAAGCTCCCAATTATTCGTCTCTTACGACATGCTTTTGGGTAGGCAATGGGTCTCTTCTAGTTTTCCATAAAATAGGGCACCGGAACCCACACAGGGGTTTCACAATTTTTATTACCTCTGCTTGTTGAGCTGATTTCCTGGTGTGTGTTCTAGCAGGTTTATTAAGCAAAAGTATCACTGGTCTGTTATCCAAATCTATTAGCGCATTTGAGATAGCCCTGGAATTCTTTATTCTCCATCTCTCTCTCCTTCTTGTCCATATAAAATCAATCTGTGATGATTGACTGAAGTTGTTCCATCTATATCATGTTAATATCTGACTTCTTTGATGTTGATAAAATGTGTTACTGATAATCAAGTCATGTTCTACACTACAGGAATACAATTTTTTTTTTTTACTGTAGCTTGAAACTGAGACCTAAAAAATAAGTAGACAAACTGAAAAATTTCAAACGGCAGCAGAGATGTGGATTCTAGTGACAATTCTTACTTAGTGGATCCTCCTTCTACCACGGGGTGTAAAGGTTTACTGGAGAGATGGCAAGACTTTTCTATCAGCAGTTTTCTTTTTGGCATTGTTCCGTTCCTGTCCTTTTTCAGTCAGGGACTGTAGGATGTTGTCTTCCCAGCGGACTCTGGGTCATTTTAGAAGTTTGGTTTCCTGGTTCTTGGCCTCCCATGGTGATCAATTCCCTCCTATTAAGCATACATGTCGAAACCATCATAATTGTGACAGATCCATTTGAGTTTGTTAGGCCTGGGCTTCAAGATCATGACTTATTGTGTAGTTGCAAGGGTTGTCTTTTTTTGTCACTTGGACCACCTTTCTCACATACCTCATTTCTGAGGCCTGAAGCTGACTTCTGTGAAATCTAGTCATTGACCATGACTCACACCATAAGACAGCACTGGCAAACAGGCAGAGCAGTTTCACAGCCATTTTCATTCTCTTGCTAGTTTTCTTTTTTCCTTTACCTGAGAAACTCTTGGTTTATGGCCTGGAAAAGTCTCCCAGCTGCACTGAACTAGTGACAACTCAAAGAATACCATTGGCTGATAAAATCAAATGAGGCAACCTTTAAAGAAGCGGAAGAGAATATAAAATTCCACAGAGAATAAACATACACATAAGACTCTTTGGACATGCTAAAGTAGAAGACAGACTTGAAAGTATAGCAATAACTGGAAAATTTTAAAATCTAAACAGGTATAAATACATTAATGGCTTAGTCACTTGCCAAAGCCTATAGATATGATCTGACAGTGGTGATCATATGAGATAAACTGTGCCTAGGTGTGTTTAGCTTAAGTTCAGGGCCAGATAAATTTGCACACAGTTTTAAGAGTGATGTATAAGATAGTCAAGATATTTTATCTTGTTAGAATGCAGCAACACCAGTTGCCACCACAAGGATTTCTGCTTCATACACATAACATGCTTCTTTAAGGCCCAGCCTTGTAGCTGATATTCATGGTGAGATCCTGGGATAAAAGCCTGCTCTGGGATCCACCAGGCGGGACGACATGTCTGCCTTCCTGGACTTCTTGGGCGCAACTCTTGGTTATTTGCCATGTCAATATTGTGTATTTTAGTGCGCGATCTGCATGCGATATAATCATTGTATATTTTCTTTAATAATATTTGAATTTCATACTTATTTGTAAAAAAAAAAAATTGATGTTACAAAAAAATATAACTTGTGCTAACAAAAACAGAGAGAAAGAAGGACTAGAAAAGGGTTGGGGGGTGGGGTAAAAATATCAAATAATACACAAGTAAACTATCAAAAAATGTCAAATACTGTTGTTCCAAAAAAAGTCATTCTCATGTTAAATATTACAAACAGTCACACACATAAAAATAACTACAGACAGTTTTATAATGAGCACTTATTCCACATTACTTTTTCAGTCAGAAATGGATCTGTACAATTTAATGCAACATTTAAATGAAAATTATAAACTAATTGAGGAGCAGCTGGCCAAACAGTTAAGAGAAACAGGACTTTCATGTGGGAGACCCCAGTGTGAATCCGTGTTAGGATTTTTTCTGTCTAAGGTAAAAATCAAATCCTAATCTGCAAAGTCTGTGCCGACAGCACTAGCCAAGGGGCCCTAAATCCTTAGGTTCAAAGATCTCCCTGCCTACATCACAAAAGTGGTAAGTACAGGAAGAAACAGGAGTTCTGATTAAAAAAAATTTTTTTTTTTAATAAATCTATTTGGTGCCTTGCAGCTTATTGCAAGCAACTTAAGTCCACAGTCTGACGGTCACTCTGTGATGTGGTCAGTTGTTTTTACTTCACAGAATATTTCCTGGTAGCAATTTCAGACATATTAGACCTGGATTCCTAGATCAAGTTTTAATATCTGCCTTGATGGGGGATTTAAACCTATGATCAGCAGGCCACCAAGCAAATGAGCTAGCCACTGTGGCATTGTGTCTTATTTAAGTCATTTTTAAAATTCATGTCATTTCCTTCATGGAACAGATGCAAAGATAACAGTCATTTAAAGTGTTGACGGGTAATAGAAATAAAGGGCTAGCACTGAAAGCATGAAAAGGGCTTTTTACTTAAAATTTACTCTTTAGTAGACATCAAGTCATAGACATCATTTCTTCTTGAAAACACCTTGGAGGACTCATTTTAAATGAATATATACATCACACTTTTGCAACAACAACAACAAAAACACTCCACAGTATATCTCTGTAATTATTCATTTTCAGTTCAAAGAGACTGGCATGTTTCAGAAGAGCAAAGATATCTGTCAGTTCATATTTAATGTGGTCACCAAATCCACAGTTTTGAAGTGTTTGCAACACTGTCTTGTCTTAGTCTTATCAGTGTCAAAGCCACTGTGCACCGCACAAATTGCTCAAAAGATATCAAGCCTCCCATTAAGAAGAATGCAACACTAAAGTGCAGGTCCTTTCAGAATCAAATAACCTTGGAAGTTTTATTTTTGTTAACTTTTTGATATGTTAACTATTTTGATACAAGCAAGTCTGTCTTTGCACAGACTCGAATACCACTGTCATTATCATCAATGCTGATATCACTGCTGTTGTTTTCTTCTGAATTGTTTTCAAAATTACTTGTTTCTGTCAAACCAGCTTCTTTTTGTATTTCTTGTATAACAACATCAATAGTTTTTTGTACCTTCACCAGAACCAAAAACATTATCAATTCTTGTAGTTTTATCCCAAACCTTAACATTCTTGTATTTAAAATACTGAATCCTGTGCTTGGGAATTGCAAGCGCCTCATAGTCAACAGATGCCAGATTTTCCCAGGAAAAGAGTGAAAACCTTTCTTCTACAAGACCTTGAAATCTATCAACGTAACCAACAATAAAATCATCTTTTTCTAACATTTCATCCCAAATTATTCGTTTCACAACATCATCAGCCGTCTTCATAGAAGGGAGCTTACTGTCAAGAACTTCATTCTCTGAGCATATTTTGGTTTTCTGTTTTTTATTCTTTTGCTTGCGGGTATCAAGAAATCTGTGACTGCTGGTCTGAACAACTTTGCCTGGCTTAAGGCCGAGTACTTTTAAATGAGTTTCAGCATCTGCAATAAGTTGTCTGATCATTTGTTGACCTATAATCTCCCTTGCTTTTGATGTTAGCAGCTGTGTTATTGAAGTTATGTTTTCTTGACTCAGTGATTCTGAACGGATGGTAATTTCAGGTACGGTTGCTGGGTATGCAGCTGCAAGAGAAAGTAAAATAAGAAAAACTTATAAATAATGAACTCTGAATGTAACAGAAAACAAAAGGCTATAAACATGTTACAGGAAATAACAATAAGGCTGATATAGTCAACAGCAGCCAGTCTGATTACTCGGAAAACTGACTTTGAGATCTCTATTCTGTCTCGTCAGCTTGGACCTTGCGAATGCACTTCATAATTGAGCTACCTGGTTTGACTTCAGCTGCTTTAGTAGCAGAACGCGCTTTGCTGAATTTGACATTGGTATCAACAGCCGACCATTCCGAAAGCAATGACAAATTCAAAGAGACTAGTTAAACTGGCGCTTGTTCTGTAATGTCCTTAAAGATACGCAACTAACTGTTTACTCTTTGTTTGTTTTTTTAGTTGAAGAGGTCATATGAAAATCTCCCCAGGCAGCTATTGGTTATCGTTTTATTTTCATCTTCTCAAAAGAACTGATAGTCTCTTTGACATTAATTCTCCGTATATTCCGGAGAATATGTAACCAACCACTTCTTTTACTACCTGTCCTTTTTGCTGTAAATATGTTCTTGTAATCAAAATTTATTGACAGCTTTGAAATTCAGTCACAAAAGATCTTCTTTTCCAGCTAGATGTGGGTCATCCATTGTAGAATTGGGTTTACTTTACAGTAGCACACAGTTAAAAAAAAACACACGAATCAACAATTTTCTGAATGCTGTAATATACCACTTTCAATTCCAGAAGAGTTTAATAAGTTATAAATCAGCATTTGATGTGTCCACTGGTATTAAAAGAGATACAAGAAATTAATCATATCAAACTGATAAAATGATATTCCCCAAGTGACCTGGAATTGGTTTATATTAGTAAGCATTTCTTGTTGGTATACAAATGTAATTGAAATTAAATTCTGCACATAAGATTATGACAGAAATGATTCAAGAGTTTTGTGTATACAAAATGTAAGATTGGCCATGTGTACATACCTTTTATAGGGGCTGGAACATAGAGGCTAAGACACTTTGACATACCCCCACATTCTGTAAAACAACGAATGCCAAGCCCCCCCCCCCCCAGCAATGTTTAGGGAGCACCCCCCCCCCCCAATAACTTTTAGGGAGCAGCTTCCCATACACACACACATACCCACACACATTCTCTTTTTAAGCTCTTTTTATACACTTCATATATTATTTTAAAAAAATTTTTTTAAAAATAATTATTATTATCCTCATTCAATAATACAAGGCGTAAGTCCATTGAGCACCTTTCAACACCCCCCCTCCCCAATATTTGTCTAGAGGCAGGGGCCTCAAAAGGGTTAAGCCTTGTTTAAATGTACAATAAAAACGATACTAATAACTGCTATGATTATTATTACTATTATTGTTACACTATTAAACCAGGCTCAAGCCTCCCCACTCTTAGAAAAATTATTGCCCCCCCCTCCCCCCACCCCCCTTCTTACTCCCCCATGTTTTATCTGTGGTGCGCATGACATGGATTGACTCCATGTACAGCAGCAGATCATGTACTCTAATTCTACCCTCGATAAAACACATCAAGGCAAACTTTTTTTCTGCACTTTAGAAACAAGAGTGAGAGCGCAACTTTGGGACCACTGTATCAACTAAAAGAAAAAGTGAAGCATGAAGTACATTTAAGAGACAATATTTCAGAAATAGACAGTATATTACAAGCAACCAAAAAGAAGTGATTTTCAACAGTAGAAGACGAACGACAAGAACAGCACATAATTAAATGCATACCAGGCAACTGAAACTTGATGGTGGCATCCATGTTTTCTGGCTGAACTGTAATTATTTTACTGAATTCTCCGGTGTCGGAACTTATTCTACATCTGTTAGGAAACATAGCCTTGACAGAGTCAAATTCATCAAGTTGTCTATCACTGGCAACATCAGTCATGTCACAGCCATTAGTCAGAGCCATTTTTTAACAGCTGTCTGATTTTCCACTGCAGAATACATGTGCATCAAATGTTTTACAAAAGCAGCAACAAGAACTGTTACAGCATGTCCATTATTATTACTTTTAGTATTATTACATTTTTATTATTATTACTATTTCTTGTCGTACCTTGATCAAACATAACCTAATTTTAAAATGTAAATTTGTTCTTTTTTTTTTTAAAGAAAATTAAAAAATTGTATGACAGGGCACCTAAACTTTTGTTTTCACTCTCAGCTCATCAACATTCACATTAAACTTGGGAATGAGTTTTCACTAGATTTAAATTTGTTAGTTCTGGCCAGTAGATTTGTTGTTATGAAAAGAATAATTTTAATAATATTAATTAAATCAACGCAACAAAAGGTTTGTTCTCCTCCGGCTGCTGCCTGAAGGTTGACAACTCTGAGAGACAAAAATCTCAGCCTGGATGACACACCAACACGGCAATCTCTGATACCGTGTTCAATCTCCAAGGAAGTATAATTAGGGCATCAGTAAGGGCTAACCCTCTCAGTGTAAACTGCAGTCATGTGCTGGCAAGAATAAGATTCTTGACATTTTTCTGTCAGTTTTCTTTCATATTAATATAATAAATGTTTTAGCTCACTCTTTTCTTTTATTTCACCCATCTCAGGGCCTTTGAGATTTTGTGGGGAATTTCCTGGGAAAGTCCTATAGTATAGTGGTGTTAGTGTTATTAGATAATGATTTCCCATAAAGGAACAAAAATAATATACATAGAAAATTATGATGCGATAAAAGCTGAAAACAACCAGCACATGCATACAAAAAGAAGGAGGCACAGTAGTTCACACAAAAGAAAGTTCCACGCTTTCGTGTGCAAGATAGTTTGTCGACCAATTCAGCATCTGTAATTAGTTTAAGTTTGCTGTATTGCCTGTTTGAGATATGTTTACCTGCCCTATCACTTCGAAATCCAGAGCATATTACCCATTTTGGCTGTATTTTGTAATTTTTTTTAAAATCCTTACTTAAATGCTAGTTAAATGAAACTTATTTTTAACAACTGCAACCATTTTAGCATTTTTTTTCTTTATGCAGCTGTCATTTTAAGTTGGCATTACTATTGTTTTGATATCTTTTTACTAGGGCACCACCAGCCTCCAATTATTCACCCATCAGGCAATATTGTCCATATCTTTAGTAATTAAGTTTGTATACATACTAAAGTACAATTACTATATGAGTTGTGCTTTTTAATCTTTAACCACTGTATCTAAGTGGTGAGTAATTACTCTGGATACAGTGATAATTTAACAATAGATTGACATCACTTATCACACTCTTCCTTTAACAAATAACATTCCAGAGTTTTCCTTTCAAGATATTTCAACACAAATCAATGCAAACATATTCTTCAGTACTGGTAAATAAGTATCACAAAAATAATAATGCTCACCCACAAACAGCAGATAATCCATGGATGTACACAGTATAAGTGATAATGAATTTCAATTTTTTTAATACATCACATTTATATGACATGTAAATTCTAATTACTATAAGCTAGGTAGCTTCCAAACATTAAAAACACTGTTCCTTTAATATTTTTACAAATAAATTAAAACTACAGGATAACACTAAAAGCAGAATGCATAGTGGCTAATTTGGTATGCCATTTGCATTTGCCTAAAGTCTGAACGTTTTAGGCTCCCTGGAAATTGTTGCTGGAGCTACGAAGGTTGTGCTTTGTGCATTGTTCTTGACAGGCAGTTAACCATTGTGTAGAAAAAGATTGAGCCATATAGGGTAAAACCAAGTGCAATGAAGTAGATATTTTTTTAATGAAAATTTTTTGTAATCTTAAAACTAGTGAGCTGGCAGCTGTATTTTATTTATGGTAATTAGATTATGTTGTCTAATATCTGCATAGCGGAACAGCGCATAAATGCAATTGAATATAAATGTTACAGACAGGTTCTAAGAATATCTTGGGTAAAGAAAAGAACAAATGCATCCATACTTCAAGAGCTGAATATTGAAGAGGGGTGGCTAGTAAAGACAATAAAACAAAGAAAATTGAAATATTTTGGTCACTTGAAACGTCATGGAAGTCTAGAGAGAACAATAATGGAGGGGTATATGCCTGGGAAGAGAGGAAGAGGAAGGCCAAGGAGAAGATGGGTGCAGGATGTGGCAGATGATCTCCAGATGGGTGTATCAGACGCAGGACATCTTGCTCAGGATAGGAAGGTTTTCCGGAGGGTTGTTATGGCAGCGAGGTTCCGCGAGGGACATGCTACTGAATGAATGAATATCTGCATTTCCGTGTGATCCATATATCCACCTTATTACTCAGCACAATGTGGTATACATCTTGCCTGGCAAATAATCATAAATGTTTACTGTGTTTACTTAAAAATAGTGAGCTGGCAACCATGTGTATATGGTTAGTAAGTCCATTGTTGCGAACGCCCTTAGCGCCAGGTTTAATCCCAGCTGTGGGCCTTGCGCCTTGCATTGGTTTCAACAGTGGTATTGAGAAGTCAACTGTCCAGAAAGTAATGGCACACTACTGGACGTAAATTTGCCTTAAAAACCCATAACAGCCAAAAAATGCTGAGGTTGGTTCTGCCACGAGCTTCTCTTTTTATATACAGAAGGACATGGTTCTGCAATAATATGGAACTAACTTTATAAGCCTCACTGCCCTGATTGCAATGATATACAGATGCTAAGGGATTCGTAAGAAAAAAAGGAAAAAAAAACAGTTATTGCCATTTAAATGCAAACATTTAGTCAGTTCAATCCGACATTTTACAGCCCGAATTCTATCTTTTGTCAGATTCCACTATTATTTGTCTGTGGTGGTATACACCACTATCTTCGTTTAGAATCGACTTAGAGGCTTCATTGATTTATCGTTGGATTGGATATGTTAATCTCTATCTAGCTGTGATGGTTTCATAAGTAAAAGCCCAATATATACAACTTCGCTTTGGCTGCTATTGAAGTTTTTTTATACTATAGTAGTATATATTATTGTAGTATATATTATTATAGTATTACTAATTACTAACTTACCGTCAGGTATGGATATAAAATGATTAAAATCACCGTTTAAAAAAAAAAAAACTAAGTGAATGGCGTATACAAGAGGACTTTCACCTTATATACAAGTTGTATAACAACTATTACAACACTATGTGATATTTTATATGCATAGATTACACGGAAATTGTGCAATGAAGAAAGTATCAAGTTGTGGCAGACTAAGTTTCTATAATTACGATTCTGACAAGAGAGATCACTCAAGTTTTTAATCCAAAGGTCATACTAGACATCGTTTATCTTATCTTTACACTTACTTGGGTTTGTTAGGCTAGTCAGGGAATGTCATATTATAAATCACTAGAAACTCTAAAAAGAATTTATTGCATAGCACCTCTAAGCACGTTAAAGCATAGGCGTCGAACAAAACCTGGGGCCTCAGGTCCCTTCACCCCCCCCCCTTTTCTCCCCCATAATTAGCGTAAGCTCGTTTACTGAAGCCGATTTGTTACCAATGATTTGTCATCCCCTTGTGGGATGAAATTTGTAGTTTATTTGAAGCCCCACCCTGGCTTTTGTCGGGGACCGAAATGTTTTATCTATTCGATATCCTCTTCATGTCGCCGTTGACACATAGAGGGCATTCACAAGTGATCTCTATTGCTGCCGGTCTGCTGCTTTTCTGCCCATTTTATCCAGTGTCAGTTTACATTCCTTTATTTCCCGTTATTGTCCTTCTCCAGGTTTCCTTAGGTCGTAGGCGTCTCTTTTTTTTCCATTTGCTGTCCACAGGAGAGCTGTTTTTGCCAGAGTGTCACAAGGCATTATGCAAACATGTCTAAGCCATCTCATCGTCTTACTGTGATAACATTTGCCAGTGATGTACATTCGGGTTTCCTCCTCAGTTCTTCATTTGTGAACTTATTTGGCCAAAATATAGGTATAATTCTCCTTAAACATTTTTGGGGAGGGGGGAGGGGATCCCAAGTTAATGTGTAATTCCCGCTGTCATTTTCCAACATTCACTGTTATATAATAGTATTCCTAAAATGTTGTTCTGGAATATTCTTAGTTTTGTCTTTGAACTAAATCTCTTTGACTTCCGTATATTGTTAAGCATGGCAAATGCTTGATTTGCTTTGTTTATTCTTGATGTTACATCCTTTTCAGAATCTCCATCTGGCGTAACTTTACTTCCGAGGCATATAGATTCTTTAACTTCCTCTATTTCTTCATCATTTAAGATAATTGGATTTTCTGTTTTGTAAATATTTTTCATTACTTTGTTTATTTTGAGTCCTATCTTAAGGACTGTTGTTGAAAGTCGTTCAATCTCTTTCTGCGCGTCCACATGACGGCTTGATATAAGGCTGATTTCATCTGCATAGTCCAAATACTCTAAAACAGAGGTGAGTGACCACCTGAGACCTCTTTTTCTATCTCGTGTAACTTCCTTCATAGATCAGTCAAAGGCCAAATTGAACACAAAGGGGGTAGTATGCATACCTGTCTGACTCCCGTGTTGACAAAAAAAAAACTTTGTTTTATGATAATCACAAACTACCTTGCATTGAAACTATAAGTAAAAGGCTTTGATCAAATTTACTTTTTTTCTGTAGTACACCATAGTGACGCAAAATCTTCCATAATTATTCTCTGTGCAGGCTATCAAAGGTTATTTTTTTTTTTTTTTTTTTTCAAAATCCACAAAAGTCATGTAAACTGCACTATTCCATTAGTTACATTGTTCAATTATTTGACCCAGCGTGTAGGATGTGATCAATACATAATTTCATTTCCCCTTTCTGAATCCTGCTTGCTCTTGCCTTATTATACTATCTAGTGCTTTAGTCATTTTTTTAAGATTCATTCGGCTACAGATTTTACTAGTTACTGACAGTAATGTGATACCTCTCCAGTTGTTACAGTTTCCTAAATCTCCTTTCTTTGGTAATTTAATAATAGTA